ATCATTATCATCTTCAAAACTTTGAACGTCTCAACTTGTAATCGGCTTATAAGCCGTGTACGTTTAGTATGGTGTCGTGTCGCACGCCCATCAGACGGGCCGAATCGGCCGGTAACTTTTTATTTAACATTCTGATTGTTTTCCGTGACGTCGGCGGTGAATTCAAAAGCAATCCTGTCGGTGTTCCCTCGCCCGAAGCAAATCTGCACCAGGAGTTGGTTCGAGAGGCCGTGATACCGGCCATCCTCGTACCGCTGCTCGACTTCCCTAGATGATTTTTAGGATCGCTGCGCAAACGGCCCACCCGCCGCAATCACCAAGGTTTTTCTGTTCTTCTATCACTCGCAAATCGCCGACGAAATATGTTTCGGTTTTATTGGCTAAAACGTGGATTTGAGAGACGAGGAAATCCAGTTTCCCTTCAAGTTCTGACCCACCGTTCGGATCCGGGCCATTAAACTGGACAACTTTGCCCTCGGGAGCCACGAGGAGCATTGAACAGGCTGGAAGCAAAGTTAGGTATCCGTTGTAGATGAGGTCGAAAGATGTATGATCTCTTTTATTTTTTGACGCTCTACGCTACTCTACGCTCTCAAAATCCCGACAAAATAAGCAAAATACCGGGAACTTTGAGACCCTTCAGTTGTGGGGGGGTAAAGTAAAGTCTTACCGTTTTTTCGATTATTTTCTTATTTTGTGAGGTACAATGATTACCAGAAACTCACCGATTGTCATGAGGTGATAGATCCCAGTCCTTTCTGAGAAGACTCGGGTAGACTGGGTCAATTTCCGGACTGGTGGCGGACATGGTTGGGCTTGTAGTTCCTTGGCTCTGCCCGCTGTCGCAGAGCCTTTAAATATATTTTTAGGAGCCTATTGTCAAACACTACCATCATGCGCCTCGAAATGCATTGAAAAAGTCCGCTCTCCATCCGCCACATCGTCTTCATCATTTTTGAAGTTAATCTCAAGCGACGTGTTGACGGCCGTGTAAAAGCAGACAGCACCTTGTCTGCGAGCATGAGTGTTTTGCGGTATTTAATCAGAATTAACAACCCTACAAGGCGCGTGGGATACGGTAGATGGTGCCCACGAGCTCGTAGATCTCACGGATCTCCAGCCAATCATTAACGCCCGCCGAGAATTGAGTTTTGGCGATAAACCTGAGGAAATGGCCGGGGAGTGGGGTTATCTGAAGAAACGTGAAAATTGTATATAAGTGCTTATTAAATTATTAACCGACCAAATACGTGCAATTCCACCCGTGGCCGTATTTCTCGCCTTTCCCGTTCTCCGGATAAATATCCGCAGATCCATTAAATCTGTCGCGCATGATGATTCCGGAACTGCATCTCCATGGATGTTGGGTGCTTTCGGTTGGTTCTGAATTTTCTTTGTGCTCCCCTAAAACGACGAATTACATATGATAATTATTCCTTAAAAATTTGATCGGAAAAGCGTGATTTTCTGCAGTTTACCCGGGGCTGGAATTAAAATGCGCTGTGCCTTCTTATAAAGCATTAACTAACCGTTTTCTGACTGGTACGCCTCTGCCACTAACAAATTAACAAATAGCGTAGTGAGAATAATTTGTATGTGCTGCCGCAACATGATTTATAGTTTTATGACAACAGTTTATAAACTGGGACTGGTGATCGGTAACAAAAAAAAGCGAAAGTGGGAGCTGGCTGAGAGAATCTCGGAAAGAAACGAGTCCTAAAAGGTATCAGTTTCGTGAGTGATAACTGACCGTGATCAGTAAATTTTAAGGTAGCGTTTCAAGCCCTCAAATGAAATGAAATGAGCATTAGCAAAAAACGTATGCTATAAAATCATTTGTAGCGAAGTGGAAAAACAACCGAAGTGAATGATTGGATGGTCGGACGCGTCCGTAAACTAAGCTTTTAATAATTTTCAACCCCCGGAAATTCTAAAATAGTCTGTATTCGTGAGGTTTTTACCGCCGTGTCATCAGCTGATTCACAAAAATACGCCTGGAAAAAAAACCAAACGCGACGCCCCTTCGTGTGTCATTTGTGAAACTATGAAAGAACAATTCTGTCTCCTTCTAACAACTTTCGTATTTTCTCAAGCTTTTTATGAGGAGCAATTGGTAGCCGTTGATCTCCTTGTGGCAGCGTCAGCCCCTGCATTTCCTGTCAATCGGTAAAAACGCGTGTGATAGGTTATGAATTCCCAGATATGACGTCATCGTCCAAGGGGAATTGCGCTGCCATCAAAAACCGGCAGCTGGGGTGGAAATCCATCTAGCTGGCAGCGATTTTGTATCGGATGTGAAAACGAAGAGTGACGATGACGGGCGTTTTTATTTGAACGGGTATGCAGAGCACACATCAGTGTTTTTTATGGTATAGGCTGATAATGCCGATTCACAGATTCTGTAAATCGGCATTCTGTAAATCGGCATTCTGTGAATCGGCATTATGTAGGTAAATCGTTTTTTATACATTTAAAAGTTCTTAAATAGGCTTGCTAAAACACTTTAGAACTCTCCACATCACCTCTTTCCCCCTATTTCAACAACCTGTAGTCAGAATTTTGCACTCTTGCTCGACCCAGGTAATTTTTAAGAAAAATTCAACCCGATTTTTCCAGTTTTGTAAAGTTCTGAGCACGATTCCGATTGAAAAACGTTACTTGAGTACAGGAGAGGTTAGTCTAGCGTTTTACCACGCCGTTTCAACATCAATTATACCTTTTTATGATAACTTTAACGCTTTAAAATGATATTTATAGGTCCTCCTCATCTCTCGCGAGCTCTCCGTCCACTACAAAGGTGACAAATTGAAGTGCTCGCTTAGAGATGAATTATTTGAAGGCTTTTTCAATGACGACGAATAAATTTCGACCCGCCCGAACCTTGATCCTCCGAAAAAAACACGTTTAGGACAGTCTGAATGGCCTTATTTGGTTTTTCTTATCACCCCGGGTGGGTCGGGGGGACGAGGGAGTTTATCAGCTTCTGGTCTTCGTGAAGCCTAGATTTCATCCCCACACAGCGCCCAGACATTTCCTCAACGAGCAACTTTCAAAATATAGGGTCGATTTCAAGCTGTTGCTCTTTACTAACTTTCATTACTAAAACGATGTTCAGCTTTATCGACACTACTCAATTTTGAACAAGACTTGACGCCAAAAATAATATATTCTGATTGATTCTTTTTCTTTATAAATCCAAAACCTGTTATTCCCGGACGCTTTCATCTCTCAAAAAAAACTCCTCTTGTGCTGAAAAACAAAAATATCCCGATTGGAAATAGCCTTTTTAGAGAAAGCACTAATATTTGTCGTGGAGGCTCGGCGAACTATTCGTCATCGCGGCCTTTTGTCTTGTCCCACACGATTTCGAGCCCTTTGGGTTGCATTTTTCCTGGTCGCAAGACGTTAAAGTTTTTAGTTTATACCGTCATTTTCTTCTTACGCTTACCCCAACCTTGAAAATTGTGTAAAGAAGTACGAATCGGAAGGGACTCTCTATTCTTGAGTCGTAACTTTGAACTCAAGGAGTGCTTCTGAAGCGTATTTCGTCTGGACTTGTTGAAGTCGTCGGTTTTTCTTGCGCGTTTTCAACTAATTTTGTGTTTTCTTCTACATCGAGGCCAAGGTGGCAGTTTTTCAAGGACTGTCGAGGTAATTGTCGTTCGAAAATCAAGTTAGAACCTCTATCTAATGCTATAGTGCGATATTCGACGAGCCTATAAAGCTTCTCAAGCCAGTTCAAAACCAGAGATCCCAAGAAAATATCATTATGCTTGGGCAAACCAATTCAAATCAAAAGGTCAAGCATCGTACCGAAGATCACTTGATTTCACATGCAAATCCAGCTCATTAGTGTGGGGCCGGGAATTACGCGTCTCGGCGGCCCCGTTAATCGCCGGCAATTAGCCCTGGGGGCATCAAAAGCACCATGGCGGGCAACTTCACCTGCGCCTCGCCGGTCCAGATGTCCATCGATTTATCCCGGAGGTGGTGCCCGCGCGAAAACACAACCATTCCCATTCATTCTGACTCATTCGGCCCGGAGTCTACCCCATCCTCGGACTTTTGCCCCTTGCCAAAACCCCGCGCCAACATGCTCACCACCCCCAGCAACCTCTACAACGCTTTTGGGACCCCCGAGATGCTTCAGGTGTGTTTTGATTTTGTTCTAGCTTTGCCTTCCTTTTTTCTTTGACTTTTTTTAAACATTTTTAGTTAGATAAGCGTTTTCTGAGCTGATAGGTTACTTTCAGTCTTTTGTTGTAGCCTAATTTAGGTCCAAAACCGTTTTGTTCAGCTTCTGTGCGCTTCTAGTTTCAAAAAAAAAGTTTTTCGATTCCGAAAAAATTAGTTTTTATTGGAATATTTAATACTATCCTGGGTCTTTGAAAGGCTTTCTGCTTCGTAAATTACTGATCTGAAATCATTACTAAGCTGCAGTGCATAGCTTTTTTTGCTTCATAAGTTTCGGTTTTTTAAGGCTTTTCGTCACTAAAACTGGTTTTTCGGTTACCGCGACAGATCCGTTGGATATTTGCTGTTTTCCTAGTTTCAAAATGCAAATGCGGATTTTAGGTTCCTTTAACATAGAAATTAATTTAATTGTAAATTTTTAACGGTAAAATGTTAAACTATGTTTTTCTTCAGCCGCAAGCCTCGCCTCCATCAAGCGACGAGTTCATCGGCTCCGGCTCTCGGGATACCACCTTGACAAAGCTGTTCGTTGGCGGCCTCAGCTACCAAACATGCGATCGCCGCCTGCGCAACTACTTCGAGCAGTTCGGCGACATCGAGGAAGCCGTCGTGATCACCGACAGGCAGACGCAGAAGAGCCGGGGATACGGATTCGTGACGATGCGTGACCGCGTTGGAGCCGAGCGCGCTGCGCGGGACCCGAATCCGATCATTGACGGGAGGAAGGTAAAGGTTTTCTAGGTTTCTATACTTTATTGTTTAAGTGCAACGTCAACCTGGCCTACCTTGGTGCGAAGCCGCGCGGGAATGTCACTGTAGCCGCTGCCGCTCAGGCTCAAATCCAGACGCAGGCTGCGATCCAGGCTCAGCTGCTATCCTCGCCATTTGCGGTTCAAACGCTGCTGAACCCGGCGCTGACTCCGGCTTTCCTCAACATGCATGTAAGTTTGGCGGCTTAGTTTTGTTTGATATAATAATTTCGTTGTGGTTTTATTATGCTTATTCCATAGAGATTCAAATTCTGTGCAATTCACAGTTTTGAAAAACTACGGAAAAAATCGAAGCCAAAATCGGCAAAAACCATGGTGTTTCAAAGCTTTTTGAAAGATGGTTTTTGTTCAGAATTTGAAGCTCTAGCGAAGAGGGCCATATTTTGTCGTGAAAAGTTTTTGTTTTCTTAGTTTTTGCTACGGTTATTCACAGCTTCATCCCTATGTTCATTTTTAGATGCTCCGCCAACATCAACATCAACTCCTTGCCCAGCAGGCCGCCCTTCAGCGCGTCGCCCTGCTGCAGGCCCACATGCCCGAGCTGAGCGGCATGTCAACCTTCCCGGATCCATCTACCGCATCGACTGTGGCCGCCCCGAGCTCGGCCCACCCCTTCATTGACCCTGCATTGTTCGGCAAGGATCGCCCCGAGTGCTACCCCTGGAATCTGCCCACCAAGCAGGTTGACCAGAAGCCTTTCCCCGGCTCGTTCCCGCGTATGTAAACTTCCCCCTCCCTGGCTCCTAGCCGCTGATTTACACTTTGTAACCTACCTCTAACCTCGTTGTTTGTAAGTTGTCACTTTTTAACCCACTGCTGTACGTGTGTAACGCCAGCGGCCTTTTTTACCCTTTTTCTTTTTTTAGATGCTGTTCCTTAATTGCCCTGTCGTTTCTTGTGCTTAACCCGATTTGCCACTGCGGATATTTTGTTGGAGATTCGTATTTTTTTGCCCAAGATTTCAAAATGTTGGATGGATTTTGTTGATCGGCTGGAGTTGAGGGTTGGCGTTCGAGATGGAATAAAGATTGTTGATTGTAAAAGCGTGGAGCCTGTTTTTGACGGAAGCGATGTTCGCTTTGTTTACATATTTCGTTTATGCGGGCTACGAAAACGGGCTATTTACGTTTGGATGGTGCCTCATGGCTGCCATCGATTCGGCCTGTTTTTCTTTGCGCCCGGCGTGACGGTTCCGTGAAACTCACTTTGCCGGTTTCTGTTTGCTCTTTTTGAGCTCGTGCAAAAATCAATCGAATCTATTCTTAGGCAGAATATAATTGAAGGTATCACTAGTTTATTTCTAGTCGTAAGACTACGTTTTTTTAGCCTATCTCCTTGCTAATATTCTTTTTCCTTTCCTTCGCCTACCTTCTATTTTAAAAGCCCCAAAATCTAGATGAACATTTCAGTAAAATGCTGGCCAAATTGCTCCTACTTGGCCTCATCGGCTACACAGCCGCCGTGCAACACTTTTCAGTGAAGGACGACAAATATTGTTTGATTCTGGAGGCGGATATTGAGGGAGAGGTGAGTCAAATTTCAAATTGAGTATCAGTTATCCTTTAAAGTCGTAAAAACATCAAAAAGACTGATTAAAGCGCACCGAAATAAATACCAAAATCCTTTTAGCTCAAATGGCCTGCGGGAAACCAGACGGAAACGTTCAAGTGGAAGCTCGACCAGACGAAGAGCACCAGCGGCTCGTGCGTCGGCAAGTCGGCGGCCGGGCTCAAGGCCAACTCCATCGAGGTTTTTGTTTACGTTAAAACTTAAAATGGTGTTTGCTTTTAGATTCAATTCGATCCAATCGAAGTTAGTTTTAACCGCAATCTTTCTTGGTTTTGTTAACGGTGTTTTGCCTTACTAATTCCATTGCACGGCGTGGCTTGCTTTCATTAAAATTCTCAGAAATTAAATAACCTGATTGTTTCAGATCGTGTTCCTGCCTTTTGACAAGAATGCCACGTCATCGACCGATCAGCCGTGGATTCTGACGATGGAGTTCGAGTAAGTAAAAAGATGAAAAGCCAAAGCTTAACGATAAGTATACAAAAGTTTCTGCTTTCTTCTGGAACTTCAATTAGTCTAAAAAAATATCGAAAAGCTTCTTTCAGAAAAGCCGACAACGGGACCTACGATGTGTCGAGCTGGTCCCTGCAATTCCAGCCGCGCAAGGGCTTCATGCACTCCGGCCAATACAAAAAATCGGCCGATGCGTCCCCCGATTTTGGAGCCGTAGACAAGAACGGTTTTAAGGTATCATAAAAGACCCATAAAATACAATTATCCATATTGTTTAGTGCTCCGACATCGGGCTTGCTCTCGATCACGATTCAGTCGTCTCGTTGAAGTCGGTTCGCGCCGTCGCCTTTGCATCGTACGAGAAGGACGAGTTCCCCGCTGGACAGAGTGAGTTAGAAAACGTAGCTTACTTGTTAGTTTTTCGAAGACACTTACGAACGTTCTTTGCGTCAATAGGTTTAGATGTAACGATCCAACGCCGACTTTGGCCTTGTCTTGTCACTCTTACACCTAACTTCTACTTAAGAAAACCATACCGATTCTAGTTTACGAAGTCTGCCGTCTTGACTCGCGCACGTCTGACATCGTCCCCATCGTTGTCGGAGCCGCCCTTGCCGGTCTCGTCGTCGTCGTCCTGATCGCGTACCTCGTCGGCCGCGCCCGTGCCAAGCGCCAGGGATATGCCTCCGTTTAAATCTCTATTAACTCATTATCAGCATCCTTCTGTTTTTCTCCTCTGTTACCTTGAAATTATTAAATCCCATTTTTGCTCAGCCATACGTTGTCGTGAGAGACGAGCGCTAGACGTGTATCTCCCCCTGATAGCCATTTTAGGTGCCTTTCGCAACCCAAGCGAACTCTGGATTGGCAACTTTGTGTAGTTTTTCATTGGGTAATTGTAAAAACATCAAAAAGTTACCAATACCTTGAATGCCCTCCCATGTGATGACGATTGCAATAGTGTTTTGCTACACCAAATCCGCTGATTTTTGTGTTGTGACCTCGTGCCTTGTTTGGCGCCAATAAATAAAATGTTTGATGTTAGATACACGCAATTTAGTGTGCTTTACAAGGTATTAAAGGGATAACAAAAAATCCTCGGGATTTTAATTTGCTTTTAGATTACCGTGGCCGATTTATTTTTCATTTTTCCTTCGAAAAAGCGCAAAATCGGCTGAATGGTTCTCGAAATGATGACTAATCACTTATTTTCCTTGCAAATAATCATAAAAACTCTGCCCTCATTCGCTCTAGAAAGTTTTTAATTTTACCCTTGCGCAATTGTACTCCAGAAAAACACAGCCGACCGGATTAAAGCCGACCGGGTTCATCACAAATTATTTGCTCTCAAGCTCCGTCACGAAATATGCTAGAGAAATTGACCCTATTTATTTTATTGATCTATATTGTATTAGCTGAGAATGCTAGTCGCTATTCGATTAAAGATGAAAATGGAGAAGTCATTGCCTATACCAATTTTGAGAAAGCAGATTTTCCGGAAAAGCCGAGTAAGTTTTAAAAGTTGAATTTTTGCGTTTTTTTTTCTCAAAAATGTATATTTTTGGCTCATTATTATGTCGAGAAACGTTTCTTAGCATGTATCGGCTGCTCGCACGACGACCCTTGGGCCTCGTTGTGGATTTCGGCCGGCGGCGTTTTGGCTGCGATTGTCATTTGTGCATTGTTTTGTGTCGGAATTTGCATATCTACTCGAGAACCGGCACTCCGTGAATATAATGATTGCTAAATTACCAAAGTTCAAGATTGATCTGCTTAAATTTGATACGATTTACATTAGAAATAAAACACCATTTGAACGTCACTTCTGAAATCTTTCTGAATTTTGCGTTTCCATAATATGCGAATGATTTTTTTTATATGTTTCAGGGGAGCAATAAAGTATTTATTGGGTTTTGTACGTTAAAAGGAAAGATACGAAACGCGCTACGAGCATAGATTATAAAATACAATTTTAAATGGGCAAAGATTAATTTTTGATTATTTATTTTGGAGTTAAAATTTTAGGAATTACGAGATTCGTCAAAACATATTTTACTGAAATTTTGCGATATCGCCAGCCTAAATTAAGAATAAATAATAGTACTAATCCCTAAATAACCAAGAAGCATCAAAATGGTTGTTGAAAGCATTAGGCTGTTTTCAATGAGCTTGTTTAAAAGATTATTCGAAATCGAGTTACCGACCTCCTAATATATGTATTCTCCTAAGTATTACGGTATGTTATGAACTTTAATCAACGAGATTCCATAACGTTGCTAACTTTCGTTGCAATCTAATGTTCAAGGAGGTTCCTAGAAGGGATGTATTTCCTTGCCAACCCCCTACCCGATGTGTCACAATATCCTTATCCGCATCACCAACATCCCTTTCCCGACATCGAAGGGTCACCTGTGTGTGCGATTTTTTTCTTGCAACGAGCTTTTGAGATTGGTATTTAAGGGGAACAATAAAATGGGACCTTGACAATCTTTTCAGACCCTCAAAATCCAAGGATGCTGACAAACCTCTTCTTCCTCGGGCTCGCCGGGCAGGTCGCCGCCACGCCGGAAACATTTGTTGCCCTGAATATGAGTGACCGGACCTATTGTGCTGTATTCACGACCCAGATTGAGGGCCTGGTGAGTCGCAGAAAATTTTTTTTGGTCGCTCTAACCCGCGAGCAAGTAACCATAAAGTTCATGGCCCATCAAATAAAACTCTGGGAAACTAAAAGTCCTCAACCTTTTGGAAACCCCAGAAAGGGGAACCGTTTTGACCATTGCCATAAAATTTTAATACTATTAAATTTTTATTAACTTCCATGAACTTGAAAATAGCGCTAAAGTTAGAAATTATAACAATCTTGTAAAGTCTAGAGTTGCTAAATTGGATCCTAGCTATGCCATCAATTCGGCTCCCCGCTGACCTAAACCAATTTTCCATTTTTCAAAATTTTTTTGGCGTTTCAAGCTCGTCCTTAGTAGTTAATTTGTATAGTTTTTAAATACCTTTGAAAACACAAAGAATGTTCTATGTTTTGTAGCTGAAACTTAACAACGACAACGAGACGTCTACCTACAACTGGAAGATGGGCGGAAACGATTCGCATGCCCTCGACTTCTGCTCGGCAAATTCGGACCGCAGCCTGGATGCTAACGTTTTCTTCGTATAGAATTTAGTTTTGTACATAGTCGTCACCCAACCAGATTCCGTTCGATCAGCCGGAAATCACGCCGGATAGCAGCTTCTCTGTCGCCGCCGAGGGCAATAAAACAGAGCCCTGGATCGCGATCATCGGATTTGCGCAAGTTTCATCAAATTTGGATCCAATTGATTTTTTTATAATATAATCTAAAACTTTTAGAATTTTTGCTTTGGTAAACCGCTACGAACGAATAACAGTGGGAGCAAAATAGAGGGGATATTCATTATTTATCAGTAATAGAAATCGTTTAAAATATGAGACTTTCAGGCTATAAAAAAGCTCCTAGTATATTTTTCGGTTTTCTACGCGCATTTGTGCAACATAGTTTTTCTGCAATATAACTTCTACATGACATTTTTTGCGTTCAAAATCATTGGATTAGTATATTTCCGGCGCTCTAGCGAATGACACTCATGAAATCCTACAATACTTTATAATCTGCTGAATGGTTATTGGTTAATCCTCCCCCTTCTCCGGGTACAGCTAGACCCGCCAATTTACGGCCTTTTAGAATTCACCCAAATGACAGCTACGAATTGGAGCACTGGGCGCTGATCGTTCAGCCCAGTCCAGGCATTCCGCTCGTGAATGCCCTCACCCTCAAACAGCCCCAAAACGTGTCGGGCGTGATGTTGGGGGATGGGGCGGATGGATATTCGGTAGGGTTAACAAGGAGTCGCTTTTAGGTGCTTTTGAAGTTTTTGGACGGGACCTTGCTAGTTCGATAGAGAAAAAAGTTCCGAGCAACATACCATTTTCAAAAAGTGCTGATCGATAAAGGCATTTTCGAAAATTTAAGTTAAAATTCGCGCTTTTTTTCTAGTTTTCTGGTCCATTTCCTCGGTTCCTGTCGTTTTCGGGGCTGGGCCAGACGCCATTCATAACCTTCCGCCAAGGAATCCATCACAAGTTGCATTGGTGTATTGGTGGCGCGCTTGCCTACCAACTTTTTAACATTTTTTTTTGCCTCGGCTTCGAATCTTCGCGCTGGCTAACCGCTTGCTTTTTGGTCCTTGAACGCGTTATAGGTGCATGACATTTTAATTAGCAAAAAAGCAAAGGGTTAACGATAAATAAGAATAGAACTTCTGGCAAAAGATCAAAACCAGACATGGCAATTCCGGGCGGCCGGGCCCCGGGGCCGGGCCTGTAATCTAATTTGCATGAAAAAAACCCCCAAAAATATGCAAATTCGCGGGGCCGAGCCCGGGCCCGGCCGAACTTTTTCGGGGCCGGGCTCGGCCGATTCGGCTCAGCCCCGGAAACTAAAATAGCTCATTTGCGTCTAAATTCCGATGCTAAAATGCAAATTTGCAATGAAAATTTTAAGTGCGTTGGTCCAGTTAGGACATCGGTCTTGGTAAAATTCATTGAACTTGTTTAATAATTCGTCCCAACTATCAAAGAGTACTAAAATACGGGTCTGAACCTATTCTGATCTGTCTGGAGGTGTAAGGCAACCTTGGAAAATAAAATTTTTTCGAAATTGCATGGATATTTTGACTGAAAGTGATTTACAACCGGGATTTCTGATTAGCGTGCGGCCTTGCGGCCCCGGGCTCGGCCCCCATTTTGGCTTAACCCGGGGCCGGCGAGAAAAGCCGAGCCCCGGCCCCGCCGGAAGTGGGGCCGAGCCCCATCGGCCCGGCCGCATGCAAATTTTTGGGGCCGAAAAAGCCCGGGGGCCGGGCCCGTTGCCATGTCTGATCAAAACACTTCGTAGACCAACGCACTAGCCACTTGGCCATGTCTAGGACGGGATCCAGGACGCGTGAAGCCCCCATGTGACAGGGGCGGTCGTACGACCACCTCAAATCACCACAAGAGTCCGGATACCGGGAACATTTTTAGTTAAATTAAATTTTCTAAAACACCTTTATCGATCAGCACTTTTAGAAAACGGGATGTTGCTCAGAATTTTTTTCTCTATCGAACTAGCTAGGTCCCGTCCAGAAACTCCAAAAACACCTAAAACGACCGTTTGTAAGTCGGAAAGATGTTAAAATCTTGTTTTCAGTGCGCGGAGGTTCGATTGCCGCTTGAAAACGGATCGGTGATGGTGTTCAAGAATATGCAGGTGGCCGCTTTCCAGAGCTTCAAGCTATCGAAATGGATGGATGGACTGGGTAGGTTTGAGGCTGAGAGAGACCGATAGAGAGAGAGAGAGAGAGCGACAGAAAGGATGATCGTTCATTGAAAATTGAGAACTTCAGAATACGTCGACTTCAAACATCTCCTCCTCACTTCGTTGCTCCCGGTGCTCATCGGAGCCTTCGCTGCCCTCGTCGTTGCCTGTGCTTTGGTGGGGACTGGAGTTGTGCTTTGCAAGCGCCGCCTTGAACGCACGGCGGGATACGCTGATCTTTAATTTGCTAAAATTATCATTGTTACTTGGATTCCTTGATTTACTCGTTTTCTACAAATTGTGTTACAGTTCATGACGGGTCGCTGTTTGTTCCACTAGAAAAATTAATTTTTGTTGCTTGCATATTCCCCGGGGGGGGGACCAACTTTTTTCCTGTCGGCCCTGGTGGGGATAGTAATCAAATATAAAGTGTTTTCACATTTCATTTTAGCAAAATTTAAGCCTATTCTAATCGGAAAAACTTTTTAAAAAGTTAAAAAAACTCTTGAAAAAGTCGAAAATTTGGTCATTTTTCGGCCAGAAAATTTTTTTCGACCTAAAATTAATGTTTAGGTAAATTTTGTAAAGTTTTTATGCTTAGGAATAGCTATAAACAATTTAGAAACACTTCCACCATTTATATAAAAATTAAACAAAATCAAATAAAAATAAAACCAAAAAAAGTTCGGTCCCCCCGCGAATTCTTCCCCCCCCCTCGGAATACGCAAGAATCTAATTTTTAAGCGTGATTAAAGTGTCATTTTAAATTTTTTTGTTAAAATGGTTTATAAATGAAGTTTTTTGTGATTTTCCGCTTTTCTTTTTGTTTCCAAAATAAAGAAACTTTTTATGTTCACAAACTGCAAAACGCAAGAAGGGGCGGGGGTCATTATTTTTGCTTTTACATCTTCTTGTACACGCCGGCGAGCTGGCCGCACTTGGAGGAGTGGTGGTGGGCGTCGAGGAATACGTCCAGGCACCAGGGGAGGCAACTGCACAGGCAGAAGGCACTAAAATACTTGATTTAATTTGAGATTTAAGATTTAAAAGTCAAAACTAACGCCGTCCAGAACATCAGACATCCACTGACCCAGGCGCAAGTACCAGCCTCACGCTCAACGCGGGTGAAAACGGGCTAAATTCGGGTGATACGTGACCAGGGTTACGGTAGCTAGGACAAGATATACCGCTAAAAATGACAAAACATGTACGAGATCTCGAGGTTTTCCTAGTTCTTCCCCACACATTCAACGCAGGTGAAGCCGATTTAAGCTCGGGTCATACGGTGTGACCTGGATTACGGTAGGTATGGCAAGTTTCAGTGCTAAAAGGCGGAAAATTTTATACATCCTAGCGGAGCCTTGATCGGAAAAAGACGATCCTAGCTAGCTAGAACAACTAGCAACTTCGCTGTCTGTGAGGAGCACGAGGGGTCGAGTAGTATCCAACCTTATATTGGTTTGGCTCACATTCAGATCGTACAAGTCAAATTCAGATTCGAAATACATCCAATCCATACAAACCTTACTACCTTCTTATGGTATCTTATTAATTTTAATTAGTGAGATTAGATAACGATTGACCTTTCGTTGAAATCTAATGTTCAATGAAGTTCCTAGAACCGCTGTATTTCCTTGCCAATCGGCGATGAGTCACGATATCTCTACTCTCATCACCAACGTCCCTTTCCCAAAAGCGAAAGGTTCACCCGAGTGCGCCGTCTTTTTCTTGCAACGATCTTTTGAGATGGGTATTTAAGGTGGACAATAAAATGGGGGAAATTCACAAGATTTCAGTCCCTAAAAACACCTTCTGAAGATGTTGACCAACCTCTTCTTTCTGGGTCTCGTCGGGCAAGTTGCTACGACGCCGGAGACGTTCGTTGCCCTGAATATGAGTGATCGGACATATTGTGCTGTTTTTACGACTGAAATTGAGGGCCAGGTGAGCTAGAGGACCCCAGAATACATTATTTTATTGCAACATTTTGCTAAATTCTTATTTTGCAATTTTTCACGCGTTTTCAGTGATTTATACAGGGTGTCCCAAAATTATCCGGACAAAACTGAAAACTGACTTTTACAATTTTCCGCTGTTTTTGGCCTCCGCATTGTATTTCATAATATTTTTTGAGGCATTTTCGATGCACCGTGCAAAAAAAAATTCTTGGAGAACGCAAAATAGCTTCACAATCGAGCGAAGAGCATGTTAAAAATTTTCGCCTCTTAAATAACATAAAAATTGCGGTAGACTTTCAAAATGTGCTCAGACGTTTTTGTGGGCAAGAAATGACGTTTTGTGGCAAAACGGACCTAACTCCGGCAAGATTCCGACATGTTAATGGTCATTTTTCCGTTTAATACCGATTTCCATCCCATTACTGGGCAAGGTGTTTCGATGCTTGCTCGTGCTCAAGCTCCTCAAAAATCAAAGTTAGCTTAATTTAAATCGCTTGTGCATCATCGTTACCGCCAAAAGTTTATGCCTCTAGTCTTTGACAATAATTATATCGCGTTTTTAGGGTTCCTCCAGGGCAAAACCTTTAAGGCAACCGGGGCGGCGCGTACCTCGAGTTCAACTTTTTTTGCTGGCTGTTTTTTTCTGGTGTAAACCTAGCGTTTTTGGGCCGGCTAAAGTGTTGACTGGTCATTTCCGAACTCTTCCTGTGGTTACTTCGTTCGTCTGGTCATGCTGAAGTTTCTTATGGGATCGGAAAGCATGCGCGTTTTCAGCGTTTGCAAGGAGAGAGAAATTTGGTTCGAACTTCTCCAATTTATTGCGAAGAGATATGACGGATTCACGCGCAGTTTTCTTTTTAAGCTTGTTAAATACACTTCAACGGTTCATAGAAATTAAATTATGGTCTGCAATAACAGGGAAAAACAGGAAAAAGCCGCTTTGCAACTTTGTCCGGATAATTTGGGGACACCCTGTAATTGTGTCCAAAATAGGCTTTTTCACGTTCTTTTGCATTATCGGGGGCGGGGGTTATCGGGGGAAAACAAAATTTTGACTATTATCTAATTTTTCTAATTCTCAAAAACTATACCAATTTGTATGAACAATACTTTTCTTTGCTCAGACCAATACTCTTTCTAGCTCAAGCTCAACGCCGACAACGAGACATCCAGTTACAGCTGGAAGATGGGTGTGCGCGGAAACGACTCGCATGCACTCGGCCTGTGTTCGGTAAAGTCGGACAGCGGCCTGGATGCTAATGCTTTTTTGGTATGAAATACCGTTAAGTTTGGCCTAAATCGTCATCTAGATTCCGATCGACCAGCCGGAAATCACGCCGGATAATAGCTTGTTTGACGACGGTGAGCTTAACAAAACTGAGCCCTGGATCGCAGTCATCGGGTTTGCGTGAGTTTCTAGGCTCGTATAAAATGGTTCTTTTGCATTATCGGGGGGCTAACTTTTTTAACCATTGATTTTTTCTATTCCAGATAGAGGAAACTCTAAGGTGTTTTCTCCTGGTCCAGACGTCACTAGACGTAAAAACGTCATATTTTAATTAAAAGAAAAAACCATTTTTCGGCGAAAACTGGCTGAATTTCGACTTAATAACATTAAAAAAAATTCTTTTTCTACTTGAAATATCGCTAAATTTTTAAAAAATTTTACAAACACAAAAAAATATTGAAATATCAGGTTGGAAGGTAAGTCCTGTCGCCGAGATTTTGGAAGGCTGGCTACATTCGTATATAGCTCCATTCTGCACATGCGATATGTCATTTTGTAGCTCTTGGCCTGAACCGTTTCGGGAGGTGGGTCCTGGACCGCCAAAATTAAAGAGTGCCGAGATACAGGCCCAAGAAGTTTATCACAAAATCACCAAAAAGTGTTTTTTCAAGTTATCTCTGCATAGAGTCATTTGCATGCGATACCTTTAACACCAATCGATAGCTCTCAAGGAGTAGATATCGATAGATGTTGAGATCATCAAAATTGGTCACTGGATCGCCGAGATATGGGCCGCTAAAATTTGGCCCATTTCTTAGAACTTTTCTCGAAATCCCATACATCTGGCAAGAACGAGCCAAAACTTGCCGCTCGATTTTTGAACATCACATGAGGATTTTGATAAAATGTATAGGATTTCGAGAAAAGTTCTAAGAAATGGCTCAAATTTCAAGGGACCGTATCTCAGCCATCCTGTTTTCGATTTGGACGATCTCAACATCCATCGATATCTACTCCTCGAGATCTATCGATTGGCGCTCAAGGTATCGCATGCAAATTGCTCTATGCAGAGATAACTTACAAAAACACTTTTCCAAATCGAGGGCTACCAAATGACATATCGCATGTCAAAAAACGATGCTATCTGCGATTTTAGGCAGCTCTTCGAAATCTCGGCGACAGGACTTACCTTCCAACCTGATACTTACTATCACAATCGTGGCGATTCCATGACTCATCGCAAAAATTTTGCCCCGCTCGATATCGCGAAAGAACGCTTAGAGCTTTGCTTACGCTTTTACTTACCGCCTTTTAGACAACACGCAAATGGCAGCTACGAGTTGGAGCGTTGGGCTCTGGTCGTCCAGCCCAGGCCCGGAATGCCGCTTGTCGAACCCGTCACTCTCAAGGCGCCCGAGAATGCTTCGGGCATCATGCTGGCGAGTGGAACGGATGGATATTCGGTAATCCCCGTCAAGAAGACCTTATTAATTTTGTGTTTAGTGCCCTGAGGTTAGGCTACCGCTAGAAGACGGTTCGGTGATGGTCTTGAAGAATGTGAAGGTGGCCGCGTTCCAGAGCTTCAAGGAGCCAAAGTTTCCGGAGGGGCAGAGTAGGTTTTGCGGGAGAGAGAGCGCGCGAGAGAGCGAGAGAGAGTGAGAGTGAGAGAGAGTGAGTGAGAGTGAGTCAGTGAAAACCTATCAAAACTTTAAATAATCAATCGTCTTTCAGAATTCGTCGACTGCAAGCATGAAGTCGTCACGTCTTCGTCCCTCCCTGTCCTCATCGGCGTCTTTCTCGCCGTCGTCGTCGCCTGTGCTTTTGTCGGTGCTGGTGTCGTTCTCTACAAGCGTCACCTGGAGCGCACGGAGGGATACGCCGACTTTTAATTGCTAAACTATAATTTTTAAATTCCTATTTCATTTATTTAAATAAAATTAAAAATTTTTAAATACTGAATTTTTTAATTTTTTAATTGTTTAATTTTAATTTTAATTTGGGATACAATTAATACGGGTTGCTAGATGTTGTTCAACTCGAAAAATGAATTTTTAAGCGCTATTTTTTTTCAAAATTTCTTGATTTGTGGTATTACTTGGGAAAGTCAGGTTGTTTTCCCTGCATAAAGAAGCTTTTTATGTTCACAAAATGTAAAGAGCAAAAGTGCGTCATCAGAGGTGTAATTCACATCTTCTTGTACACGCCGGCGAGCTGGCCGCACTTGGAGCAGTGGTGGTGGGCGTCGAGGAACGTGTCCAGGCAGCAGGGCAGGCAGCTGCACGGACAGAAGCATCTAAAAAAGGATAGAAACTGGGATGAAAAACGCAACTAACGCCGACCAGAACATCAGGCATCCACTGACCCAGGCGCAGGTGCCCGCCTCGCGCTCGACGCGGGTGAAGCCCGTCTAAATTCGAGGTAACCCAGTAAATTCAAGATTACGGTAGCCAGGGGGAATATTTAGTGATTTAGCATACTCCGGTTACACGATGAAGTATGTTAAAAAAATTTTATTATTGTTATGCATTATTATTAAACCTGTCAATTCCGCATGGCTACGACGTAAAATTGCATTTAAATTTTGTATGATTTCATTTGCCTTAGCAACAATAAAGGGCATATTTTACGTTCAGTATTACTGTATTTCCAGCTGTAATTAAACCATTTAGTATATTTTTCCCTGCTCTACAAAACGGCGAAGCAAAAATCCCGACAAAATAGCGGAAATGCCGAAAATTTGGGACCCCGGGAATGTAAGGTCTGGCCAAAATAAATTGATGGAAAGAAAGATTTTTCATTTCTTTTAAGGATGTGATTTGTGACAACGTAAAACACGTTAAATAAGTATTTTTAAGAAGTAACAAATTTTTGGATACCTTTCCACAGTGAGCACACGTGATTTCCTGGGACAGCTCGCCGAATACGGCTGGTGCACGCGGGGTGGGGCGATGGGCTTGGGGGCGCTGGAAGGTGCATTATATCGGCGTTACAAATGCGAGATTCTTGCGGGCACTGCCCCGTTAAATCCAAAGCCTACGGGCGCCGGGGCCTGGGGCCTTGGATGGGGATGGTGTCCCGGTTGGACGTGGTAGACCGGTTGGGGGTACGGTGGGTGGGGCGCGGGATGGGCGGCGTGCTGGAAGTGGTCACGGAATTTTACGTTTTCTAGTGTCTATTTTGCTTTATATTATGAGGAACTTTTATCCTTGTGGTTGAAAAAACAACTGTGTTAAAAGCTGGCGTGCTTGAGCCGGAATAGTAGTTCTTTTGGGATTGGGATTTGGGTTTTTACCGGTTGATTTGGAGGAGCACCATAAGTAGGCTGGAAAGCCGGCGGTTGGCCTCCGACAAGATTCTGGAAATATAAGAATCCGGTGATTTTCTTATTTTAAGGTCTTTTCCGTAAATAATAAATACTGTAGGAGGAGTAGTAGCATAAACAATTACGGTAGAAAAAGACAAAAAAACTTACCGCTGGGTATTCGGACATTTTTTCAGAAAATGATGCTTCTCGCTGCGAAGGGCAGAATTGAAATGAGGAGTGTGTCAATTCGGCGGGGAATCATGCCCAGCTGGCCCGTCAAAATATTCGGTGTCGACGAGCGGCCGAAGCGAGCGGCGAAAAATTGGAAACGCCATTTCTTAATCAGCTAGGAATTCTTTTAGGGGGTTGAAATTATATTTTTCTTCGGGTTTTTGTCACCAACTGGCTGATGTAAATTAAATCCAAATAAAGAATCAGCAGCATTCAGCAAAAAAGTCAGAGCCACTAAAAACAAAAAAAAATAGATTTTTATGTAGTTGGCTCGATGTTTTGTAATTCAAAGATTTTATTTTGGCAGTAAAAACGTCATAAGTACAAATTCAACCCGTTTATAATTTATTAATAGTTGGCATGCGCTTATTCCAGAGCCGATAATCGTGATAGTAGGTGGCGAGGACGTAGGACATTGTCGTCGGATTGCTACGTACTTCGCGCATCCACCTGGAAAATCAAGACACGTCTAGGATCCTAATTAGCAAGGATTAATAACCCAGAATTTATAGCTGCCATTAAGTTATTTTTTAGTGAAATTTAATATAGAACTTTAAAGCTTATACCTATCGTATCTTCCCGCCTTTTTCGGGTCGAGCCGCGCCTTGTTGGTGGTGGTTTTCTTGAGCCGCCGAAGTGCCTAAATCATTTAATTTTTAGTTTTTGCGTTTATTTAATGAACTAATAATATTTAATTTTAGTATTTAGATGATATTCTGTGTATAGATTACGGTACATACCTTTTCAATCCAACTCCGCGGCGCCTCAACTTTCCGGAAAACGCGTCGCAACCGTTTTATTAACACTTCCGGTTTCTTCGAATAGGCGATAGGCACGAATTCTGTGGGATAAGCACCAATGTCGCAGGACCTGAAGATAGCAAATTGGAAATACCGCTTCGCGGTTGTTTCCGGGGTCCGCAAAAACAGCTAATTTTTGAAGACTGCTAAACTACAAAAAAAATCTCAAATGTGCAGGTACCAAAAGTATCTTTGATTTGGTAAGATTGGAACTAAAATTGCTTAAAAAGTTCTTTATAATTCCGCCTTACTTACCATGATGTCGGCGATATATGATGCACAAAAAATTCGGGCGTCACCGCTCCCTTCGGTACCGTCCCAAATTGTAAGTATTCGTAAAATGCCTTGGCTGCCGTGTGGATCGACTCCCCCGCCTTGCCGCATCTTTTTAACGATCTAAAAACTATTATAAAAATTGTAAATAGCGTCTTACATGCAAACATGGCCGTACATCGACACGAACCGGTCAACCGGATCCCGCCAGACAAACATCTTGGTGTTATTCGGGTTCTCCCACCCTTTCAGATAGCTCATCTTGGCTCGGCCGTGTGAGCGGAGACACCAGTTCCTAAAAATTGGCGATTGGTAGAAGAAGGATTCCGATACTTTCCGGTTGTCAGATCGTCTTCGACGTCTTTGGTGATATTCATACCGAGTTTTCGTAGTAACAACTCGCAAAGCATCTGGAATAATGATTATAACGCTGCTCACTTTTTTAAAATCATTTAGCTGCCGCTCTCCCTTAAAAACCAACCATAAAATTAAGATTGCATTAAACGAAAATTTGCGAAATAGCTGAAATAGAAAAATTCAAACCTTTTTCATCTGCCTGGAGTTTGATTTTGGTGTGGATGAATAGACCAGCTTTCCGACAAACTACAAAATGCGGTAAGTGGCTAAGACTTTCGAGATTACCATTCTCGAGCAACTGGGCAACCTTCGAATCGGCACAGGCCAAAGCAGATCGGTACCGTTTTCGATGTCCCAAAAAGCGTTCTGAAATGCTGATTGGATTAAGCCTTATTGCAAGCCGAAGCCTAAGCCTAAGCCTAAGCGTAAAGGAAACAGAAAGTGAAAAACCCACCTTCGGATTTGCATCGGACACCATCTCATAATGATTCGGTCCTATCGTCGCACCGGCCAGTCGCACAATTTGAAATACCATCACCCATCCCAAATACAGCAGCAAAATGCACATTGGGCGGAATCGCCAAAATACTTCAGACGTCGGCTTCGTGCAAATGGCAAGGTATGGCGGTGTCTGACCCCTGGTACATTCTCGAACGTGCATATCCGGGGATCCCGTCGGCATCTGATTTTTGGTTACGGGACCGGAATCGGGGGCTGTAATAAATAGCTGACCGGCTGGTTACGGCTATGCTAATTCGGAACAGACTACCTCCGGAGCGCGGGATTTCGCGCGCCAGCTCCACCTATCTACGCAACATCTATAGGCTATGCAACCTGATGTGTCTGTCAGCAGGATCCTTGCCCCGCGCTTGCCTCCCTCCCCACACCCCACTCCAGACAGCAGCACCACATCTGCGATTTCTTTGTCGCAATAATTTGGGCAAAAGCCAGAAAGTTCCGATGGCCAGCCGTGGACAACGTCGGCGGCAAGTTCCTGGAGACGGCGAAATTGAGGAGAAAGTTCATGAACAGTATCGGAGGCTAATTGAATATATCGATACCTAGTACAGGTTGCTCACAAAAAAATAACGAGCGACACCTCGCTATTTGCGACACCTTGACCACGCAAAATGGGCAAAAGCAAAAAGCCTACGACACTCGGGATTCCCAAGCCGTCTCCGATCCAAGTACTAACCGAGCCCAACGTTGCTTAACTTGGCAGATCGGACGGGATGCCGTGCTTTCAACGTGGTATGGTCGTAGGCGAAGGAAGGAGTGGGGAAGCAGGCTAACTCTCTCACGAGCTGGTCCTACCTGCTCCCTCTCAACTGATCACACTGTTTTGCGCCAATGACCTTTGTACCCCTTTCCCCACCCGTCCCCTCGCCTACGACCATACCACGTTGAAAGCACGGCATCCCGTCCGATCTGCCAAGTTAAGCAACGTTGGGCTCGGTTAGTACTTGGATCGGAGACGGCTTGGGAATCCCGAGTGTCGTAGGCTTTTTGCTGTTTTTTTTGCGCTGAAACGGTTTTAGCGTGTTACTCTGCTAATTTTTGCCCATTGCGTATCATTTCACTATACTGTAGTACCCCTTGATGTTTTATCAGCAGGGCAAGCAATGATCACCACTTGTTTCTGCGGTTTTTAGGTGCGGGTAGGTGTAAGTAAGTAAGTATGATAAATGTGGTAAATCAATGAATGGCGCGACAAAATAAACTGCACGTTTTTCTCCTTTAAAGGAGTTGTTTTATCGAAAATGCAAATCCGAAATCGCCTTTTATACCGCTCAACTCGGAAAGTGAGTCTTCTTTGTAGCGCGGATAGGCCGTGATGGGACCCTCGGCATAAATGTTCATTAGCCGTCCATAACACGGTTTGGTGAACCAACCCTACAAAAATTGCGAACTTCTCGCCCCTGATGCTGACAAATAGTTTATAGCATGTTGCCATATAAAACAAACGGTTTGAAACAGCTGTTTTTGGCAAGATCCCGACAACGCGGCGCCAAAATTGTTTGCTTGCTTTTTTTCCGGAAAAGCACATGGCCCCGGATTGACGTGTGGTGCGTGGTCTACGTATCGGAGCGTAGCGCGACATTTGGGCTGACTAATACAATTAGGATGATGACGAAATCCGGTGCTTTCGTCAGCAACTTGTATTTTGCAAGAGCAGGTGCTCAATTTTATGTTTTGGAGTTGTAGCTACAACTTAATTCTCTTTAAAAATTTTATTATGTCCAAAAGCAGGAAAATCACACGGTAAAGCAGGCGGGGAAAGCGGCTACATGGGATGTTTATGAGGGCACAAGCGAAATGGTCAATAAATACATTGTTGGCCGTCAGGGGATTAGTTCCCGAAATGCTCCGTTTTGACACCGCCGACGGTGTGCCAGACCATGGTGCCCTCATGGACGAAGGAGGTCTCCTAAAAAATAGATAAAAACCTTATTTTTTCCTTCTTTCTATAATCTGGCTAGAAATCATAATTTTCAGGTAAAAATCTAGCTTACTTCGTCAAAACAAAGGCACTGCGTGAATGCCGGGAAGTACAGGTGGAGCGAGATGGCCTCGTTGGAATTGGAATCGTTGTTCATCGAATGCAGGCCTTGATCATCTAAAAATAATATTTTTCAATTTATACTATCCGCACATTAATTTTAACGTTTCTATAACCAACCGCTCATGTAGGAGACGTTGTTTTTGGTGTAGCGGTTCTCGCCAATAAGCCGCATCACTTTTGCGCTGTCCCCATTGGCTTCAGGCTTGCCTTCGAACTGAAAAAGATGGCGTTTAAAGGGCACTTAAATATCGTACGGTACGGCTAGCAAGCTAGCAGAGACCATTAGTGGAAACAAACCACAAGGCTTTCGGGGGTGTCGTATCGTCGCTCGAGCAGCTCTCCGTCAAGCATCTTCACGAAACAGTTTGCGTTCGAGTGGCCGTGAATCCTAGAAAATGACGTTTTGCCATGATACTTCTTTGTTTTATAATTTTATTTATTGTTAATGCACCTATCTTCATCAAATGTACAGTAAAACCTACGCAGATTGGAGTCCTTCCGGCCAGACGAGGACGAGGAGGTACCACCCCTTGCCCTGCGCCACCATATTGCGGTAGTATTTGATCCTGAAAAGAATAATTTTCTTTGGTTGGTTTTAGTTGAAGCTTATGCTAAAGTCTCTAAGATAAATGCCTAAGCTTACTTTTTTGGGTCTCCAAAGGCGTATTTCCGCCAGCCGCCCTCCTGCGACATGTAGCGCTCGAGGAGCTAAAATGGAATTTTTGGAACCTAATAAGTCGTTAAATAAGGTTACAAAAAGTATATTAAGACCTAAGACGAGCGTTAGATCAGCTTTTGTATAATTAAGGTACCCTTCGGCCAATCTTCAGCATTTTCTCCTCATTTTTGACATTGCCGTGTTCGTCTCGATCGCCGCGGAGTTCCGTGTGAAGGTCTTTGACGAGTTGGTCGAAAGTGTACGGTCCCATCTAAAATTTCAAAGTTGCAAAACTTATAAATAGGTTTAAACGAATTCCTGAAGGATCTCTGCTAGACTACCGCATCGGCTATCGAGAAATTGGCCAAAATTTAAGCGGAACTGTTACCTTTGAAATCCCCAAAAAAATACCTGTTGCTGCTTCGGTGTTTCGACAATCTCCTTGCTCATCCAACCTCCCATATTTCCGGTAATATAACCTCTTATCGCAAATCTGGAAAAGACGCGGGGTTACGGTAGCACGTGGGTTTTCCAGAGAGAAGCTGATAAGAGAGCAACGGCAACAATGAGCGACCAAATTGCAACAACAACCCATTCCGAGACTTTTATGCCCTAATTTTTGTTGCGCAACACTTTCGGCTAGTACATTTTGGGCCAAACAACGATTGGCAGCGTTTTTTGCGGGTTAAATTTTGCCATGAAAAATGTTTGTTCCAGCGTTTTGTTTCTTAAGAATATTTTTGAAATTCCAACCAAATTAATAGCTAAATTTTAACTTGATTGCAGAACATTAGAGACAAGAAATGGCTACTGTAATTGGCTATGTTTTTGTGCGCCTACCGTACACTTACTGCGTACTGTAATTTACCCCAAAACGTGGGAAATTGATCAAGCCTATCCAAGAAACTAAATTTTTGTATTTTTTCGCTTTCTTCTAAACCGTTGATTTTTTCATGAGTATGGCTACCATGAAAATCTAAAATATTTACTTCGCTTGCCTAAAATCTGGAGCTACAGTAAGACCCAATCATTCTTGCTAAAATCAGACCTGAAAGCCCGCCTACCGTAGCCCAGTGAGCCCCCAAAACTGAACCTTAGGTTCAAAATTCAAAGCAAACTTGGAGCTAAAGAAAGGAGTGGGCCGAAACCCTGAGCTGGACCTCTTGCTCCCGGCCCTATTTTATAGAATCCGGATTCGGTTGCGCAAAGCTTTAGGCGGGTGGCCCTCCGGAAACTTGACAAATGGCATGCCCGCCGAGATACGGTGGGTGACTCAAACCGAAAAATAGAATCGCTTGCATCAGAAAAATATCTCCTGATCCGCCTACGGTATCTTTGATGGCCAACGTTATCGCTTGCGCAGGGTATTACAGTACTCCCAGCAAAAAGGAAGACGCATCATACGGCAAACAGAAGGTTCGAGATGGTTACTGTACCTAATGCTCAATTTAGAACATTGAGAGCCACACGTAGCGATTTTTACTGTGACTTTGAACTTAGCAAATTAATCTGTTTTTGAAAATTTTTGAGTTCCTGAATTATTCATTTCCTTGGTGTTCCTGTGGGATACAGTAGCCTATATTCCTGTTTATTGTTTTACATTAACATACACTATACAGTAGCATTTTTTTCACAGCCTCGTTTTCTTATTTTACTTTTGCCAAGAAGACAACACATCCCGTTACCAAGATCTTACGGTATTCTAGGACTGTTCCTTTTAAGTGGCTAGCTTTTAAGGGCAACTTAAAAATTTTTGTACTGGTTTGATACAGCTTTGCTGCGTGGTTCGCCTACTCTTGTTTTTCCGCGCTGACTGATGCAATCCTTGGCAATTGTTTTCGTTGGAAATAATATGTCGCTATTAAAACCCACGGTCGCCTTCGCAAAATCCACCACGTTCCTCCCATCTCACAATACTTTCCCTTTTTTCACTAATCCTCACGCGACGTTGGGTTACATGTAAAGGCTGTTCTACGTATCGGGGCGTGGCGAGTGAGGTTGATCGTGGCACGTAGGATGATGATGAAATCGACAGCTGTTTGTTGGCAAAAGGCGTTTTTGGGCCCCTTTTCTTATCGTGGAAGATTTGGGCCATCAAAAAACAGCAAAAAGCCTACGACACTCGGGATTCCCAAGCCGTCTCCGATCCAAGTACTAACCGAGCCCAACGTTGCTTAACTTGGCAGATCGGACGGGATGCCGTGCTTTCAACGTGGTATGGTCGTAGGCAAAGGGATGAGTGGGGAAGCAGGCTAACTCTCTCACGAGCTGGTCCTACCTGCTCTCTCAACGGATCCCACTGTTTCGGGCCAATGATCTTTTCCTCTTTCCCCAAAGCTACCCTCGCCTACGATAGTTTTTATAGTTTTTAACGTTATCCATTTTTTAGGAGACCTCCTTCGTCCATGAGGGCACCATGGTCTGGCACACCGTCGGCGGTGTCAAAACGGAGCATTTCGGAAACTAACCCCCCTGACGGCCAACAATGTATTTATTGACAATTTTGCTTGTACCCTCATAAACATCCCATGTAGCCGCTTTCCCCGCCTGCTTTACCGTGTGTTTTTCCTGCCTTTTGGCATAATAAAATTTTCAAAGGAATTCAGTTGTAGCTACAACTCCAAAGCATAAAATTGAGCACGTGCTCTTGCAAAAATGCAAGTTGCTGACGAAAGCACCGGATTTCATCATCATCCTAATTGTATTAGTCAGCCCAAATGTTGCGCTACGCTCCGATACGTAGACCACGCACCACACGTCAATCCGGGGCCATGTGCTTTTCCGGAAAAAAGCAAGCAAACAATTTTGGCGCCACGTTGTCGGGATCTTGCCAAAAACAGCTGTTTCAAACCGCTTGTTTTATATGGCAACATGCTATAAACTATTTGTCAGCATCAGGGGTGAGAAGTCCACATTTTTTATAGGGTTATTCAGAGTTGTGAAATAATACACAAGAGTATCACTCTAAAGTCCTTTAAGTGCAAAAATTAGCAAAAAGCCCACGACACCCAGAGATTTAGTCCCCTTTCCAACCTCTTCCCTCGCCTACGACCATACCACGTTGAAAGCACGGCATCCCGTCCGATCTGCCAAGTTAAGCAACGTTGGGCTCGGTTAGTACTTGGATCGGAGACGGCTTGGGAATCCCGAGTGTCGTAGGCTTTTTGCTATTTTTTATTGTCGAGCTTTACAAAACGTTGCGTTTTCGGCCTGCTTTTCGCCTCCGATCATTTTGCTAGTCCGATCTTAGGCCGACCGATTCTGGCGAGCTTCGAGCAACAATTTTCGTTCCGTTTTCCAGCCATAAAATGTCGCAGTTTCTGGTGATTGACCAGTTGAACCGACGCCGCCCTGTTATCACCACGTGGTTCTGCGGGCCTTGGCAGCCGCAGTCAACAAATGACGAATTAAATGGCGCTACGAAAATAAACTACACCTTCTTCAGTGTTGCAAATTCATGGCTTGTTTGCTGAAGATGACAGCGATCAAGAAATCAAATCTCCCCTTCCGGCATCGGATTTTCCATGCAATCCTTTTTGAAATGATCCTGAAAATAAGTTTTCCCTGTAGTTTTTCTACGCCTCACAATCCAAATTTTATTCAAAGACATTCAAAGACAACATTTATCACGAGATCACAACGACTAACCAAAACGCGAAAAACAGCGAAGAAAAGGGGGAAAGATTCTGAAATCGAAATGTGTGTGTGTGTGTGGGTGGGCGGGTGTATGAGTCAACGAAACGAAAGGGTCAACGACATTTGTCTGGGGGGTACCTCGTATATGATACTGGGCGGCTACATCTGGGCCATAACAACAGAAGCAAAAAAAAACGAAGAAAAGTATCATGCGCCAACGAAAACAAAGGAAACTCATGGATTTGTCGATTTCTTGCGAAGCGCGCCGCCCTCTAGCAGCTACTTGCCCGCGAGTTTCTGAAAATACCAAATATAGGAAAAAACAAGTGATGCGCACCGTATCTTCGGTCGACGTACGCCGTCGATCTTTGGGCGCGGGCTTGGAAATCGCTTGCTCAAAGAGACGACCCTTGACCACCTTGAAAAAGACGGGCCATTAGTAATTAACAAGCGCAAATATATAAAACTAAAGGTTAACGCGGACTAGCTCGTGCTCGTGTTCTGGTAATTGAGTATCGGAGTGAGGAAAAACTTGAGAAACAGAGCATCACCACGAAATTAAAAAATTTGGGAAAATTAGCCAAAATAAAGCGACTTCTGACTAAAAATTTAAGTTGTTTTAAAATGTAAAGTTTTTATGTCCATGAATCCTTCAAAAATTAATTTTGGTCCTCCGCGAATACTCAAGTACCGTTTTTTAATAGCAAAAGCCATACCTTGCGCTCGTCCTTGATCCTGGTCGCCGTACGCGTTGAAGACGATCCTTTCTCGCGTTCCCGCTCCTTTTCCTTTTCCTTCTCCCGCTCACGAGCCCGATCCTTCTCCTTCTCCCGATCGGATCGTCTGCCCTTGTCATCATCCTTCCGCCTGATGTCCCTCTCCGACGACTTCATCCTCGGAGATTCGGGCTTGATTTTGCCCTTTGGCGACTCATCTGGCTTTGAGGAGGACCGACGCTCCGATTTTTCCGACTTCTCGGGCTTTGCAGATTTCGGGGTCTTCTCTTCTCGTTTCTCCTCCTTTTTCGCAGACTTTTCAGCCTTGTCGGACCTGGCCTTGTCGGACTTGGTGTTGGTGCCCGATTCTTGCCTGGTGAGCTTTGCAGGCGGCATCGGTCCAATTTCCACGCCGGCCTCCTTTTCTGGCTTCACTTCCTTGGCGGGCTTTTCGGGCTTCGCTGGCTTTGAATTCTGTGAGGCCGATTTCGTCTCCGCAGACGGTTTTTCCGGTTTCGTTTCCTTCACCGGTTTCTCTTGCTTAACCTCCTTTGCCGGCTTTTCGGGCTTAGCTTCTTTGACTTCTTTCGCGTCCTTCTTCGGCTTTTCGGCGGGTTCCATTTGATTTCCTTTGCCGGCTTCTCGGGTTTACTTTCTTTGGCGAGCTTCTCCTTCTCTGGTTTGGCCGGTTCCTTCGATTTGACGTTTTCCTAGAAATTTTTAAACGTGAAAACTGCATTCAGGGCTCACCTTCGACTCGGCACTGCCGTTTTCTTTCACTTCTTTTGCCGCACCGCTTTCAACCTTGCGCTTTTTCGCCGCGGGGCCGTCAATGCCGTTTGTCTAAATAAATAATAATGAAATTGAAGAATTCGATACTTTAAGCTCCCGCTTCGGCTCCGGTTTGTCAAAGATGGTGGTCACCGTACTGCCTTGGGTTGTCTAAATTCACGATACCAAGGAATGATGTTAAAAAAATACCGAGAATTCGGTCGTTTCGTAGATCTTTGTCTTGCGCAGCTTCAGGTGCGACATGTAGCTGGCCGCCTGAACTTTTTTTGTATTAGAAAAATGCCCGAAAGATACCTTTAGACACAAATCATCACGCTTCCCCTTTTCGCGGTCTCTAACTTGTTCGGCCAGCTAAATAATGAAAATAGTCGTTTTTAGAAAATAGCCTACCTTGGACATATCATCAGCGACAAATTTGACCACCGGGAAAACGGACATCAGCTAAATTTGCATCATTTAGAGAATCAAAAATTTTAAAAACCTTTTGAAGGAAAAGCATCGTATTCCGGATGATGTTGTAGTCTTCGTTGGCTTGTCCCAGGATAAATGCAAACGACTTGCCCATGAGGTACTAAAATTGAGGTACAAAGTCCGGAGCCTTGCGTACCTGATATTTGAAGCAGAGGCGCTGGTACTTTACGTATTCCATGCTGACCAGCTGTGCTTCGGGGTTGGCTCTTGTTTGGAAGCCGGGTCGGCCGTGGCATTCCTAAAATTAAAAATTCTATAGGTATTGATTAACCGATTTAATATTAATAAAGCTATCTAATTTAAAATTTTACCTTCTGCCAAATAGCCGCATCACTTCGCCAGTGCAGCGCAGCCTCCATCATCGCCTGCAAGAAGCGCCCGACCGACGCGGCTTCGCACTCCGTCAGGCCAAGAACAAGCGGGACAATGTCAGAGAAGAGCTGAAATTCCTCAAAGTTCCTCCGCTAGCTCGCCCATACCTTATCAATAGTCATGATCGTGTTGAAGTTGGTGGTGTGGATGGCGTGGAGCTTCTTGAAGAACAGCGCCGAGTAGAGAGCATCGTCTTCGGAGATCGAGGCGCGGGCGAGGAAGCAGATTTGGAGTAGGGAGCCGATTTGTTCGATATCTATGCGAAACAAGTGATGAAAAATTAGTGACGGCTCACTTTTGGGGTGTATCAAATCGTCCTTCATCGCCGAGAGCGCGGCGTGTACTCGTTGGACATGCTCTTTTTGCCTTGCCCACTCTTCAACGAGTTTCGATTCGATTTTGCGGAGTCGTTCCTCTTCTTTACGCCTGATGCGACCCTAGAAATTTAATTTTTAATAATAATATTAAAAAATAGAAATCACCATCTACTTGCACGATCTATTATAACGCACCGGTTCCGATGAGTTGCTCTGCTCCTTGATCTTCTTCTTCGTCGCGTCCAGCGCGCGTTCATAGGCGGCATTCGGAACCTCAAGGTCGTAGCGTGTCAATAGCCAGAAAAGGGCGTAGGTTCTAAAAAACAATGTAAGGGTTTTTGATCAACTACCAACCTCGCAGGCAACTTCTTGGCATATCCGGGCATATGGTCAGAGATCTCGGCGGCCACCTTGTCCAACTCCTTCTCGAGCGCGCCCTTGAAGCAGGATTGCTAAAATACAATTATTTTTTGTTAATTATGAAGGTAATCTACCTCTAGAGCCGCATCGAGCGCGTTCGCCTTGGCGTCGTTGACCTCGCCCGGCTCGGCGTCGACCTCCATTTGACCGTTCGCCTCCTCGGCGGTGATTTTCTTGACGCGGTTGCGCAGCTGGTCGACGGCCTCTTTGTGCTTCAGGTTTACCTGAATATGTGATGCATTGAAAAAAACACCTCTCGTACCTCTCGCATAAACACAGGCCTGTACAGCGCCATCGCCTGGTCCATCTGCAGGTGGAACTTGCCGAGGAGGTCACCGATCGTCGGCACCAGCTGGCAGTAGATCTTGATCTCGACGTTCGTCACGAAAAATTCGGCAAATTGGAGCATCGTGTCGCGGCACTACAAAATTAAGGATGACGCAGGCAATTCAAAACTGACCTGGTCGATCAGCTCGCCGGTGAGCTTCAAGGGGAAATGGGTGGAGTGCTTGTAGGCGAGGCATTGGTGTTGTTGGCCCATGAGGATGTAGAGGCCGGTCGCAAGGTCGTCCTAAAAACGTGTTGTTTTTTTTAGTTTAGGGCCAAAACCTGTAAGATAGCATCCCGGAGCCGTCCGCAAGCTTTCTTGTCGCGCGTCACGGTGAAGGAAGCACCCTAAAAAATAAATGAATGTTGTGGATAGGTTTTTGCTTCAATTCAACACTAAAAAAATAAATCTAAAGGCATAGAAAGCGTAAAGCTAAATAAATATAGCATTTCTAAAAACCCACCTCTTGTCTCAAGGTCTTATCCCCGGCCAGCGCTTCCAAGTGCTCGTCCGTCAGCCCGTTATACGCCTCGACGCCGCCCATCATGTGTACGATTTCGCGGAGGATCAGCAGATCAAATCTAGAGGACGCTTAAAATGTAATTTTCGCTTGAAAATACCCCTTCTCCCGCTTTAGCTGATTGACGATATAATGCAGCATGGGGACGATGTCGGTGTTGTAACGTCGAAAAACGGAACCGGTCAGCGTGGCCAGCGATTGGAGCCAGGCGGAGAGCGAACCGTCGGAGGCCTAGAAGCTAGCTTTATCTGTACAATGGCATCTTTCGTACTTTTAGCTGTTGCTTGTCGGAGGCAGCGAGTTGGGAGATGATGCAGTAGATGAGGACGTCGAAGGACAGACTCGAAAAGAAGCGGATGCTCTCAACGACCGGCTCGATGAAATTGTCGAAGGTTTGCACCTAAAAAAGGTTCAAAACTCGTTTTTTTTTGAGATTTACCTGGGACAGCAGATAGTCAAAAACGGCGAACGGATAGACGTAGCATAGCTTCGACAGCGAGCGTCCCATTTGGCGAGCCGTTTCTTTGGAAAGGCGCCTAGAAAAAAGCTCAAGCTATTCAATTTGCAGCTTACTTCAGCAAATACTTCGTCCGCCCCAGGATCTTTCCCTTTTGCAGCGTAATTTCCGGATATTTCTTCGTGTACAAGCCGCGCCATCTAAAACATTGGTTTTAAAACGCGGATGTAAAATTACCGCCCATAAAGCTGGAAGCGTTCTTGGTAGGGGAGATTTTGGAGCAGCTCCCAGACCTCCTCGGCTACTCCACAATTTTGGTCGAGGAGCGTCATGCCGGGGAGTATGACCTCTTCGAGGAGGGCGCGAATTCGGGAAAGTTCTGAAAACGGACATTACGAAATCTATAGTCTAAAGTATTAAAATACCTTCACTCCGATCCTCTTTCGACTTGACCATCTCACCGCGCAGCACCTTCAGCACCCTCAAAAACTTGATGTAAGCCTTGGGACGAAGAGCCAATCGTGGGCCCAGTATCGACACGATTTCGGACAGCGCGAAGAATTCTTTGACGTTCGAGACCTAAAAAGGTCGATTTTTATTTCCTGACTTTCCAAACCTCTTGCAAAATCAAGGACTTGGGCTTCTCGCTAGACGCGCGCTGCCGGCGGACAAAGTGTGGGGAACATTTTCTAAAAACCTCAATTTTGACATGCAAACTGATCACCTACGCCTGATAGAACTCGTCCAGCGACCGGTCGACCATCTTGGCGATGGTGCAGCTGATTTTCGGGCTGAAGAGGAGCAGTAGATCCAAAAATCTAGGCAAACAACGAACACTGCGGTCAGCGCAAATCCCTCCGGCATGCATTCGAGCAGAAATTTGGCGAGCGTCCACGAGCCGATCTCGCACAGGGCACACGTGAGGCCGAGCTTTTGATTGGTGGCGAGAAGACGTTCCTAAAACGACATCTCCGAGCTAAATATTCGATTACCTCATCAAATTCCGCGCCCAGCTTCGCGTCCTCCAGCTCTTGTTGGGCAAGAACCGTGGCGAACGAGATCCCCGAGCCATTAGTGTTCTAAAAACGAATATAACGGTATAAAACAAAGTCTGCGCACCTCAACTTGCGGCTGCGCCTTCATTTCCACGGTAATATTTGAGGTGTGGATAATTTCGGCGGCTTTTGCTCGCTTTGTTATATTTTCCAGCTGCCGCTTCCGGATCCCTTTTATCTCTTCTTGAGTCGGGGAGAGCTAAAAATCAATATAAAAATTACCGGCAGGCTGTCTTACATATCCACATATATCTTCTAGCCGCACAAATTTGTTCTCGATCAAATGGGCCGTGATCAGGTAGAGAGCGTAAGGAGTACCGTTCGTGGAACCCTACAAAAAAAGATATTTACACCATTAATACTCTTTTTGCTTACCTGACAACTAGAGAGTTTAAAGCCCAGAATCGTCGTCAGATATTCGCGGCTGACACGAAGCTCGGTGAGGAGCTCGAGGAAGAGCGCCGGTTGATCCGTGGAGGCTTCGAAGGCTTCGAGGATCACATCACAGACACGATTTGGATCCAGGTTGAATTGACCTAAAAATATCGATTTCATTATTTAAAAAAGAAGCTACCGATCAAGCAAAGAATCCGCTGCGCCAGCTCCCCGGACGACAAATCGGCTTCATTATCGATCAGCTCGGTGAGTAGTTTCGAATAGCCCTCGCTTTCCTCCCGGAGAAGGTTGAATTTGAGCTGTTTGTAACTGGAAAAAAACACTTAATTTATACGTTATATACTTACTATAATCGTGTTCGCGTCCGAATCAACGATTGCGCATCGGAGGGCTCGATCAAATCGGCGATTTCGAGCGTCAGCGCTTCGCTCGGAATGAACTAAAGTAATAATAGTTATTCGATTTTGAGAAAGTTCCCCACCTCATCCTGCACCAGCTTCAAGAAGTCTTTATAACCCGTATTCGTGGATGAGCCCTCTTTGGCCTTCCCGATCTCGTGGTCAAGGATGGAGAGCACGTCGAAAAAGCTGGCTAATCGTTTCTGCCTAGAAAAAAAACATTAATCCAGTCAATAGGCTCAACATACCGAGCAGCTCCTCAACTCCTTGAGCACCAGTTGTTTGTCCTGCTTCTCGTCGATGGCCGTCTTGCAAAAGTTGAGCAGTTCTTCGGTTGACAGTTCTTTTTTGGTCTCGTTTTCTGCGGAAGCCGTTTCCCCAGTTTGGGCCGGCTTTTCGGTCATTGCCTGGAAATAAAATTGGGTTTGACTTTCAAAAACTATTCATACAAAAAAACTAAAATGATTATAAAAGTTGTTGATTTAGAAAGATACGTATGAAGTTTCAAAAGTTTCGTGAAAACGTGTAGTTTATAGGGTGAGAGAGCGGGCGGCGAGAGAGCAGAGAGTGCGGGTGGCTGATCTGGAGGCCCGAAAAAGGTAAAAAAATACGCAAAAAACGCCATAAAAGGGTTTTTAAAAAGTTATATACAGTTTTAAACAAATAGACCGTATTCTGGGCTGTTACAACATCTCGGGAACGGTTGGGAATACTTTTTTTAAATGTGAAAACACAATTTATAACCTACAACCTGGCTAAAATATGATACAAACATCATTAATTTCCACAGGAACATACCTATAAGTTGAATAAAGCTGTATAAAGACGCAGAATCAATTCCCTCGTATCATAATCATGATATCATCAGCGTGCGTCGCGAAGCAGATGTGCCTTTTTGAGCGGTGGCTCTTATTCATGCATTTTTTTGTATATAAATATATATCGGGCGCTAATAACTCAAATTGTTGGGTTTTTAGTGTGGTTCGCGAGCTGTTGGAACCCGTATTTTGCTCTAACACGTATTTACATCAGATTTGGATTCGGATCGGACCGGATTTTGGTTTACATCTACACGACATCTCCCGTTCCACGAACTACATAAGCCGTCGACCCACCCGGGAGCCACAAAAATCCAATTTTTCGACAAAATCTTCCACCGGGGACCCAGCAAAACTCCTGCAGTCCCGCAAAAACGACCCACCGCGTGGCCAATTTGCGGGGCACGATAAATGAATCAGTGTTTTTCCGGGGTGGCGCCAAAATGAGGATCGGCGGAGCGGTAAGGTTTGGCCTCATTTCGAGAATGACAGAGTCGACGATCCCGTTCGACTCCGTTGCTGCGCGGGTTACTGTAATTTTGGACCGGGGCGCCGCTCCAATGTGATTTTCGTTCTTTTCCGAGCCTTAATTTCAGCCGCGTAAATGGGGTTATTCAAAAACTTGCCCGCGAAATTGAGTCTGGTTTTAGCCTTTGGCCTTGCAGGCCTCATCATAGTGCGGGAATCAAATAAAGATTGTCGGGTTAGGGCAAGGTGATGGTAGTTTTCTGCCGAGGAGGGTAGTCACTTTTGTTTAGATTACGACGAGCGCCACGCGGGATTAAGTATACAGTTTTGTGTTTAAAATTGTTCTTAGTTTGTTCCTCACTAGCAATTGTTGCAATTTGGCTTTGTCGAGCTGGAGATTTCAGGGAACGTTTTTCAGAAATTTTTGGGGTTTTAAAGTCACGCTTTTTGAAAGTAGTTAATTTTTGGAATTTCGCGAATATTGGGCCATGAAAAAACTAGTACGACATGCTGCTTCATTCGATTTTTTTTTATGTTTGACCCGGTCGCAAATCAAAATCGGAAATGAGAGGCTGCATTGCGCTTAAAAAGAGCCCAAAAACACCGCATGCAAGGAAAATCTAAAAGCCACGCTGAAAAGTGCAATTACCGTTTTTTCATGCGCAGTTCGCCCTTTTAAAGACCACTATAATTTTTAATACGGCAAAGTATAGATAGTTTCCGGAATGTTTCCTCCGGATGTTCCGGCGAATTGGGATTGGAAGCGTAACCTCTCCACTTGGCCCTACTGGTCTGCCCAAGCGCGGAATGAGCAGGAAATTCTCATTGCCGCCCAGCAGAATCCATTTGGGCAGGTAATTCTGAGTCTTATGGGCTTTAGGGCATCCGGAAATACATTTTTAGCGTCGGAAGCGCAGCCCAGACCACGCCATGGTTATCGGGGTGTTAATAAAAATTTTTTTAGCTATTTCACTATGTTCATCCGAAATATTTCGAGTATATTCGGCACGAATGCTTGGAACTGAACGGCAGCTACAGTCTGCTACGGAACTACCCTTTAGGTATGTAGGTTTAGAGGTATTTTTTAGAGCTCTCTCTAGCTCTCTCTTTCTATCTCTCGCGCTCCCTCTATCCCTCTCACTCTCTCCGCTCTCACTCTCTCTCTCTCTCTCTCTCTCTCTCTCTCTCTCTCTCTCCCTCAAGCTCTCTCACTCTCTCCGCTCTCACTCGCGCTCTCTTGCTCTATCTATCTATCTCTCTTTATCTCTCGCTCTCTAACCCTTATAGAATTTTCTAAATTTTAGTCTAAATCAAAGTTTAACTAATTAATTTCAGTACGAAGATATTTGGAGCTTATAAATATTTTTAAGGCGGTCTTTACCTTACTTCCGGTATCATCTACGAAACCATATATATCTCGGTCCTCATCATCATGCTTAAAAAAGAATTTTTCCAGCATGCTTGCTATAAGATTATGTAAGAAAGAATATACAATTTTTTAATATTTAAAATGTAAGGTTTTGCATGGGGCTGATAGACATCTCTAGTGTGGTGCCTAACGCTTTGCTAGCTGGTGAGGACTCTCAAAAATTTGCCTATATTTTTAGGGTATTACCTCTTGGTGGGTGGATCTGCTTGCACGTATCCGTTGCTGAACATGTGGCTGGGTTTTGTGGCATTTTGTAGGGCGCTGAATGCATTACAGAGAGGCAATTTGATTTTAGCGTTCTGGTGTGGGTACTCGGGCATGTCGGTGTTGTTGGGGTTGAATCGGGCCTTGGATTTTGAGTTTCCGAGACTGGCTGAGGTAAGTTGAGGAATGTTCTGCTTTCCCAGCGGTGCCGCGATGTGCAACTTTTCTTAAAGGGGCTCGGAAGTCAAAAGTCGTGAGTACAGGGATTGAAACTGCTGGTCAACAACGAAAGGGTTACTGCCGAGAAGTACCGGAAACGTGATTTCGTTGCGAAAATTTAACTAAAGCGTAAAATATTTGAGAAAACCGAAATCTTCTCGAGGCGAAAACGCTTTTTGAGTGCGCGGCGATTACATGTCGTAATGCCATCCAAGGCACCCAATCTCTCGATCTCGGCGATTCTCTGGTCAATTTTCGTACTTCAAAAGTCTAGAATGATCAAAATTCGAAGAGGATTACAGAAATAGCTTGAGAATTTTTCAATTCGAGCGTTTTCATGTCCAAACAGGGGCAAAAGGTCATGCGGCGCGGTCGCATCTGGCAATTTGCCAAGGATGAACTTCGAGGGGTGTGGGTCGGAGCCCTTTAATTGAAGGCAAAACGCGAGCGTTGCATGTCGCGGCACTAAAAATCGAAGCTAGGCCGATACGGCAGTAATGTACCCTCCAGACCCTCTTCTCCGGCTACCGCGTCTACATCTGGATCCTCTGCGGCCCGATAGCGTTCATTTTGTACGTGATGCTGACCAACGTCCCCTGCGTGTTCAACCCCGTCCTGGCCGGCTACTTCTTCGAGATCAACATCTTCAAGCCGATGATGGTACATATACGTCGATTTTTAGCATCGTTTTTAGCCAAACACCGTCCATCTCTTCAACAACCTTGGTGTGACCACTTGCTCGATCATCCTAAATGTACGGATTGGGCGTACAGAAGCGGAATGTTCTAATTTTTTTAGTTGATGATGGTTACCTTCCTCTTCAAAATGACCCGAAAGGCTGCTGGAGATACGGCCGTGACCCGGATGCAGCGTGTTGTGAGTTTTTCGGCATGGAAATTACCGGCGAGCACGCGTCACGTTTTACCGCATAGCGCAGTCAATGGGGGAGTCAATGGATGACTTGTCCACCCCGTTAGTAACCTGAAAATCTCCTAAGCGCTCTAGGTGGTAATTCAATGTCTCCTGATCTGCTCGATGATGATGACAGCGTCGGCCATCTACTGCTTGATGCAATTTATCCCGGTTCCCCCATCTTTTGTCATTGGCTCGACAATCATGTGGCAATTTTCGAATGGTAAGCGTTCGGGGAGAGAGAGAGAGAGAGAGAGAGAGAGAGAGAGAGAGAAAGAGAGAGAGAGCGAGATAGAGAGATAGAGATAGAGACTGAGAGAGATAGAGAGAGATAGAGACATAGGGAGTGAAAGAGAAAGAGAGAGAGAGATGGAGAAAGAGAGAGATAGCGAGAGAGAGATAGCGAGATAGAGAGAGATAGAGGGATAAAGAGAGAGATTATGAGATAGAGAGATAGAGAGAGATAGGGAGATAGAGAGATAGAGAGAGAGATTGAGAGATAGAGAGACAGTGACCGAGCAGAGAAAGAAAAGTGTTTAGGCGCGCCCGGCATCATCTATCTAGTAGTCAACAAGTCGATGCGCAGGGCCTATTTCTCGACGTTTTTTGGGTTCAAGAACGAACAGAGTAGGTTATATTTCCGGATTAATAAGCTTCTTTAGAAGTCAACGTCAGCACGACCAGCAACAACTCCGCCAAGAATCTGGTGGCCGCAATTACGCCTATGGCCCAAGAAAATCAGGCTCAACCGGAAGCTGTCGAGGAGCAGATTAAGCCTGTTATTGAGGACGATTGATTTTTTATCGTAATTCTGATTTTTTTTTGATTTTTGATTTTGACGAACCGCTTTATCTGTTACTGTAGCATTCATTTTTAACAAGTCGCGAAAAACACGACTATAAAAGCCATTTATTAAATTTTACTACGTTCATGTTAATAGTGGTAGTTTGTGCGTTTTCTGAAGTTTTTTTTCCTGTTTTCTGGATTTTCTCTGTTTTTATTAACCACCTAAATTCCAAAAATTAGCCCCAAAACTCGATTAGCTTTTTTCGCCTTAATTTTGCACCCAAATAATAAATCGCGCTCGGTTTTCTCAATAAAGCAACCCTGTTTTTCCGAAATTGCGCCCAAGATTGGGGCCCTAAAAACATGCAATTATCGACGACGCGTCGGGTTCAGTTTCTGGCCAAAACAACCGGGTTAATTTCATGGAATTTGATCATCAAAATTGCTCTTATGGATTTTACAACTAATTTTGATTGGGAGGGAAATCTTACTGATGCCTCAAATCGATGGTCAGCCGCCGCGAAATTCGAGCAAAAATGGATTGTTGAAGCGGAAGAGTCGCTGCTTGGCGAGGTTTGTGGCGTTTTATCGGATACCTTCTTAAAAACTACACAGCTTGGAGAATTTTTGGATACCTCAAAGACGTTCAAATTAGTTAAATACGTCAGCTTTAATCGAAAAGTTAGACAAATTTCAGCTTTTCGACCTTATCCACCCAATCTATTGGCAGTACGTCCATCGAGAATGCCTGGAATTGGATGGGATGTATCAAAAGTACAACGATCAAAAGCTCGGTATGATAATTAGTCATAAAGAAGTGCAGCTTTTGCTATATTTAGGCCTAATCTTCTTAGCAATTGCTGTAGTATTCGAATTTCTCTATCTCCCGGTCGTGTTAGTTATGCTAAAACCCGAATTTATTCAACATTCTTGCTACAAAATTATGTAAGCTCTGGAAAATGTTCAAAAGCCCAATTTAGGTTGGCCATGGGTGTTATCGATTTGGTGACATTAATAGTTAATGGCGTAATACCAGGTAAAAACCGTAACCACAATATAGACCCAAGCGATTGTTTTCGGTTATTTCCTACTCGTTGGCGGCTCAATCTGCTCGTATCCATTAACAAATGTTTGGTTAGGTATTTGGGCGTTAGGTATGCGGTTTATTTAACGGAAATGACTGATGATCATCCGCCAAAATGAAGTGCAGCGGTTGCGTCGCGGTCCCGGCGTAGCGGTCGCGGCTTCAATACCTACCAACTTGGCATGACGCGACCGCAAAGCGTTTACCCGTCCCTTGGCATCGTAATTGACTAGAATTATCTGATTATTTTTATTTTATATTATTTATTGATTTTTTACAGTTGGATCGATATATTTTTAATTCAATCATTTTTGTAGCATTGTGGTATGGCTATTCTGCCCTTTCGGTTCTACTCGGTCTCAATCGGGTGCTCCAATTTTCCACTCCAAAGCTCGCGGAGGTGAGTACGACACCCGAATCGATAGCTTTCCAGTTTTAGCAACTCTTCGACAAGCACCGAATCTATTTCTGGCTCGGCATTCCAATTTTCTACATGGTTATGACACTACTAAAACGCACCCGTGTCAATTCAACCCAATCCTAGCCGCTTACTTTTTCGATATCAACATTTTTAAGCCGATGGAGGTATGAAAGCCGCTCATTAACCGGATATGATCTATATATTGAGGCAAACACCCTACATATCACCAATAACGTCGGGCTGACGGGGTGTGTATTGGTGTTGAACGTACGGTCCAAGGTTCTTCGGAGTTTCATAAATGCATTTTTTAGGGCAGCCTATGCTATATTCTCTACCGTTTTTCTAGCAAGCGCTCGATGAGGATGACAAATATGCAGAAAATTGTGAGTGCGGGGGAGAGAGAGAGAGAGAGAGAGAGAGAGCAAGAGATAGAGAGCTAGACAAATTTTGCAGATCATTATCCAATGTGTCGTGATCTGCGCCATCACCGGCACGATGTCGGGCATGTACTGCTTTATGCAGCTGGTATCTATGCCCCCGATTTTCGGCTCGATCTCGACAATTATGTGGCAGTTGACTAATGGTAATTCTCAAGAAGCAAAAAAAACATTGGTTTTAAGGAACTCCCGCTCTCGTTTATCTCATCGTTAATAAATCCATTCGGAACGCCGTTTTAAAGGGATGTGGAATGATAGGTTAGACTTGAAGTTTTATCGTACTTTATAACATTTTTAGACGATCAACACGCTCGGATTTACTGCTGCGGCGCAGCCAGTGGGTCGTGAATCTATTTTTATAGGCTTTGCCCGATTTAGAGGTGCATACTACTGAGGCACCCGGAACGAGCAGCAGCGCTGGAAAATACCTCGAGGCCGACAATAATTTGAATTAATAGGATAAAAACATGAACCGGCAATAAAAGCACTAAAGGGCCAAATTTATGGTTCTAATTAAAAGGGTTTTGACAAATTGCATCCCATAGCTATGGTAGATCTTGATTTACAGCAAAACCCTTATTTTCAATCGGCTCTCGAATCGGGGAACATGTTAGGAAAAAGGCGTATCTCTAAAAAGCGTATCCGTTTTCTCTGTCACGGATCCTAATCAGACAGAGAATCGATCCCGGGTAACTGTTGCGAGCGCCCATTGATTCCTCGAACCCGGAAATGCATCCCTATTTCACGTCCCGGGCGGCGAGGCGGTCGCTAGCCGAACAAACAGCCTTCCGGAACATTCTACGAAGCTTGGCGGTGGCGTTGTCGATATATGCTCTGGGGGTTACTGTATGTGTCTATTTGCTAAATCGCGGGCAGCATGCGCTATGCGGGTAATTTACACACTAAAAAAAAACGGGCGGTGTTTTATTAGGAGACCATCAGGGACGACATGCCGCCCAGGATGGTATCCGGTGCCGGAATTCAAAAAGTGTCTCAAGGTAACGGCGAGTGTCAATTTTGGCCGGCTGAAAAAGGGGCTGCGTGTGGGGTATTGGGTTTTAGTCATCTTTCCTAAAAGTCATCTTTCCTAAAGTCATCTTTCCTAAAAGTCATCTTTCCTAAAGTCATTTCCTAAAAGTCATCTTTCCTAAAAGTCATCTTTCCTAAAGTCATCTTTCCTAAAAGTCATCTTTCCTAAAAGTCATCTTTCCTAAAAGTCATCTTTCCTAAAAGTCATCTTTCCTAGAAGTCATTTTTCCTAAAAGTCATCGTTCCTAAAAGTCATTTTTCCTAAAAGTCATCTTTCCTAAAAGTCATCTTTCCTAAAAGTCATCTTTCCTAAAAGTCATCTTTCCTAAAAGTCATTTTTCCTAAAAGTCATCTTTCCTAAAAGTCATCTTTCCTAAAAGTCATTTTTCCTAGAAGTCATTTTTCCTAAAAGTCATCGTTCCTAAAAGTCATTTTTCCTAAAAGTCATCTTTCCTAAAAGTCATCTTTCCTAAAAGTCATCTTTCCTAAAAGTCATTTTTCCTAAAAGTCATCTTTCCTAAAAGTCATCTTTCCTAAAAGTCATTTTTCCTAGAAGTCATTTTTCCTAAAAGTCATCTTTCCTAAAAGTCATCTTTCCTAAAAGTCATTTTTCCTAGAAGTCATTTTTCCTAAAAGTCATCTTTCCTAAAAGTCATTTTTCCTAGAAGTCATTTTTCCTAAAAGTCATCGTTCCTAAAAGTCATTTTTCCTAAAAGTCATTTTTCATAAAAATCAATATTTCTCAGTTGGTTTTTTTGCAAGAAAAATTTTTTTGGAGAGGCCCGGGCCGTAAAATTTTAATGTCTCCATGCCGTACTAGACCTTTTCCGGATGTTTTGATTTAAGTTATGCTATCTTTGAATTCATAAAACTATTCAGAAATCAAGAAATAGGATAGGCCCTGATGCGACTAAGAGCTTTTATGAGGACTGACGGCGTTCAACGCCTTTTGCCGTTTCTACACAGGAAGCAGGTTTGAAGTTAGGCGGAGGTGGCATCCCTATTCGCATACCTAACTTCAGGAAAAATTAATCTTCGAAAAAATGGTTTTTAGAAAAAGTGATTGAGGAAAATAAAAATTTACGATTACCTAGTTTTAGGAAAAATGACTTTTAGGAAAGATGACTTTTAGGAAAAAATGACTTTTTAGGAAAGATGACTTTTAGGAAAGATGACTTTTAGGAATCATGACTTTTAGGAAAAATGACTTTTAGGAAAGATGACTTTTAGGAAAGATGACTTTAGGAAAGATGACTTTTAGGAAAAATGACTTTAGGAAAGATGACTTTTAGGAAAGATGACTTTAGGAAAAATGACTTTAGGAAAGATGACTTTTTAGGAAAGATGACTTTAGGAAAGATGACTTTTAGGAAAGATGACTTTTAGGAATCATGACTTTTAGGAAAAATGACTTTTAGGAAAGATGACTTTTAGGAAAGATGACTTTAGGAAAGATGACTTTTAGGAAAAATGACTTTTAGGAAAGATGACTTTTAGAAAGATGACTTTTAGGAATCATGACTTTTAGGAAAAATGACTTTAGGAAAGATGACTTTTAGGAAAGATGACTTTAGGAAAGATGACTTTTAGGAAAGATGACTTTTAGGAAAGATGACTTTTAGGAAAGATGACTTTTAGGAAAGATGACTTTTAGGAAAGATGACTTTTAGGAAAGATGACTTTTAGGAAAGATGACTTTTAGGAAAAATGACTTTTAGGAAAGATGACTTTTAGGAAAGATGACTTTTAGGAATCATGACTTTTACGAAAGATGACTTTTAGGAATCATGACTTTTAGGAATCATGACTTTTAGGAAAGATGACTTTTAGGAATCATGACTTTTAGGAAAGATGACTTTTAGGAAAGATGACTTTAGGAAAGATGACTTTTAGGAAAGATGACTTTTAGGAAAGATGACTTTTAGGAAAGATGACTTTTAGGAAAGATGACTTTTAGGAAAGATGACTTTTAGGAAAAATGACTTTTAGGAAAGATGACTTTTAGGAAAGATGACTTTTAGGAATCATGACTTTTAGGAAAGATGACTTTTAGGAATCATGACTTTTTAGGAATCATGACTTTTAGGAAAGATGACTTTTAGGAATCATGACTTTTAGGAAAGATGACTTTTAGGAAAGATGACTTTAGGAAAGATGACTTTTAGGAAAAATGACTTTTAGGAAAGATGACTTTAGGAAAGATGACTTTTAGGAAAAATGACTTTTAGGAAAGATGACTTTAGGAAAGATGACTTTTAGGAAAGATGACTGGGATTCTGGGGTATTATTGCCGAAAATCAGCAAAACAATCTCTAAGATGAACTATTTCAGCTTATTTTTTCTTGCCATTCCCGTACATACAAACTTTACAAATTTTTATCAAAAATATAGGTCGGTAAATCGATAAAAATCGATAAAAATCTGTATTGTCCATAAATTGTTTTTCGCCCTAAACTAAACAAATTCCAAATTTTGAAAAATCTCGTCACTTTTTCGATTTGAAATATAAATAGCTTTAAAGCCAATAAAACACACGCTATCTTAGTATGTTATTTTTATTAGCAGGCTAACAAGTTCAACTCGTAGGAAAGAACTTTCTATACAAAATGTAATAATTTTAGGGGCTAAACTCGACTTTTTGCCCTAAAATAAGTGAACTTCGAATTTTTGAAACAAGCTCGTAAATTTGTCGATTTTGAATATAAAAGTTTACTAAAATCGATTAATATACGATACGCTACAACATGCTACTTTGTTTACTAGGGTACGTAGGGCTTGTAGGGAAAACGTCCAGGTATTCTTCGGCCAAACAAGCACCATAACCGCGGCACAAGCGTGTCATGCCATGGACGCCGGGCTGCTGGCCCTCAACAGTATCGAGGAGGAATATTTTGTTTTAAGTAGGTGGATTCACCGGGATTTTATGTCGCGGGTAACACCGTACTCCACCCCAACACCTGAATGATCTCAACGTTTTCGGAATTTTCGCTTATTTTGTCGGGGTTTTTGCAACGCCAGTCGATAGAGCGTCGAAAAATATACCAAGAGTTTTATTTGAGCCTACAATAATGTAAAATAAAAAAGTTATAACCAAAAACTTCCGGCGGGGGGGGGTAAAGTAAAGTGCAGCCAATTCGCGTTTCAGACATGGAGGTCGGCGGGGAGCCGCTCCGCAATAAATGTGAATTCTTGCTGCTGAGCCCGTGGTCGGAGGTGAGGGCCCTAACCCACTCACGTTGAGCGGAATTCCAGGGCTCTGGCCAGCAGTTGACCGGACCAAAAGGGGAACAAAGGCTGTATTCGAATTTCGTAGACGATGAACCACAAAAGATGAGCACTGTGCGTGGATTGAGGTAATTAAATGGCATACCGGCGGCATTATCTTACCGAATTCAGACGCGCCGTTATAAACCGCCTCACCATCCGCCGACCAATTTTTCGGGCACCTGGATTAGCGAGGGTTGTGACGTCGCACGCTCGAGAAGCGCCTACATTTGTGAAAAGGAAGAATCTATTAAGGATGAATTATAAAAGGGACATTCAACACAGGCGAACAACAGCCTAAATTTGTTTTGAAATTGGCTAAAATTTGTCTACGATGTTAACGCCTACACAAATCTGAAGTTGTATGTTTTATGCCCTCAAAACTCGGGCATGATTCAGGATGACGGATCAGGCGTTACGACGTGGTTTACTGTCATACTTTGGATTTAAATTAAAACATTATTTCTGATTTTATTTACTAAATTTTAAGCTAAATATTGATTATACAGATATTCGGTATTATAAAATTGATCTTACGTATTGAAACATCTGGACGAGATTTATTGCACTGGAAAAAACAAGGCGGTCTAGTGAACCCTTACGAGATTGAGAGAGAGAGAGAGAGAGAGAGAGAGAGAGAGAGAGAGGGCCGCTGACTGATATCCTTCGCTGCTGATCCCCATTCAATCTTCCACTCCAATCACTTGCAACAGCTAATTTTGGTGTCGACATTTCATCTTTTTCTGCCATTTCAGCTCAAGTCATTTTTCCTAAAAAAGTCATCGTTCCTAAAAGTCATTTTTCCTAAAAGTCATTTTTCATAAAAATCAATATTTCTCAGTTGGTTTTTTTGCAAGAAAAATTTTTTTGGAGAGGCCCGGGCCGTAAAATTTTAATGTCTCCATGCCGTACTAGACCTTTTCCGGATGTTTTGATTTAGGTTATGCTATCTTTGAATTCATAAAACTATTCAGAAATCAAGAAATAGGATAGGCCCTGATGCGACTAAGAGCTTTTATGAGGACTGACGGCGTTCAACGCCTTTTGCCGTTTCTACACAGGAAGCAGGTTTGAAGTTAGGCGGAGGTGGCATCCCTATTCGCATACCTAACTTCAGGAAAAATTAATCTTCGAAAAAAATGGTTTTTAGAAAAAAGTGATTGAGGAAAAATAAAAATTTACGATTACCTAGTTTTAGGAAAAATGACTTTTAGGAAAGATGACTTTTAGGAAAAATGACTTTTAGGAAAGATGACTTTTAGGAAAGATGACTTTAGGAAAGATGACTTTTAGGAAAAATGACTTTTAGGAAAGATGACTTTTAGGAAAGATGACTTTTAGGAATCATGACTTTTAGGAAAAATGACTTTTAGGAAAGATGACTTTTAGGAAAGATGACTTTAGGAAAAATGACTTTTAGGAAAGATGACTTTTAGGAAAGATGACTTTAGGAAAGATGACTTTTAGGAAAGATGACTTTTAGGAAAGATGACTTTTAGGAAAGATGACTTTTTAGGAAAGATGACTTTTAGGAAAGATGACTTTTAGGAAAGATGACTTTTAGGAAAGATGACTTTTAGGAAAGATGACTTTTAGGAAAAATGACTTTTAGGAAAGATGACTTTTTAGGAAAGATGACTTTTAGGAATCATGACTTTTAGGAAAGATGACTTTTAGGAATCATGACTTTTAGGAATCATGACTTTTAGGAAAGATGACTTTTAGGAATCATGACTTTTAGGAAAGATGACTTTTAGGAAAGATGACTTTAGGAAAGATGACTTTTAGGAAAGATGACTTTTAGGAAAGATGACTTTTAGGAAAGATGACTTTTAGGAAAGATGACTTTTAGGAAAGATGACTTTTAGGAAAAATGACTTTTAGGAAAGATGACTTTTAGGAAAGATGACTTTTAGGAATCATGACTTTTAGGAAAGATGACTTTTAGGAATCATGACTTTTAGGAATCATGACTTTTAGGAAAGATGACTTTTAGGAATCATGACTTTTAGGAAAGATGACTTTTAGGAAAGATGACTTTAGGAAAGATGACTTTTAGGAAAAATGACTTTTAGGAAAGATGACTTTTAGGAAAGATGACTTTTAGGAAAGATGACTTTTAGGAAAAATGACTTTTAGGAAAGATGACTTTTAGGAAAGATGACTTTTAGGAATCATGACTTTTAGGAAAGATGACTTTTAGGAATCATGACTTTTAGGAATCATGACTTTTAGGAAAGATGACTTTTAGGAATCATGACTTTTAGGAAAGATGACTTTTAGGAAAGATGACTTTAGGAAAGATGACTTTTAGGAAAAATGACTTTTAGGAAAGATGACTTTAGGAAAGATGACTTTTAGGAAAGATGACTGGGATTCTGGGGTATTATTGCCGAAAATCAGCAAAACAATCTCTAAGATGAACTATTTCAGCTTATTTTTTCTTGCCATTCCCGTACATACAAACTTTACAAATTTTTATCAAAAATATAGGTCGGTAAATCGATAAAAATCGATAAAAATCTGTATTGTCCATAAATTGTTTTTCGCCCTAAACTAAACAAATTCCAAATTTTTGAAAAATCTCGTCACTTTTTCGATTTGAAATATAAATAGCTTTAAAGCCAATAAAACACACGCTATCTTAGTATGTTATTTTTATTAGCAGGCTAACAAGTTCAACTCGTAGGAAAGAACTTTCTATACAAAATGTAATAATTTTAGGGGCTAAACTCGACTTTTTGCCCTAAAATAAGTGAACTTCGAATTTTTGAAACAAGCTCGTAAATTTGTCGATTTTGAATATAAAAGTTTACTAAAATCGATTAATATACGATACGCTACAACATGCTACTTTGTTTACTAGGGTACGTAGGGCTTGTAGGGAAAACGTCCAGGTATTCTTCGGCCAAACAAGCACCATAACCGCGGCACAAGCGTGTCATGCCATGGACGCCGGGCTGCTGGCCCTCAACAGTATCGAGGAGGAATATTTTGTTTTAGGTACGTGGATTCACCGGGATTTTATGTCGCGGGTAACACCGTACTCCACCCCAACACCTGAATGATCTCAACGTTTTCGGAATTTTCGCTTATTTTGTCGGGGTTTTTGCAACGCCAGTCGATAGAGCGTCGAAAAATATACCAAGAGTTTTTATTTGAGCCTACAATAATGTAAAATAAAAAAGTTATAACCAAAAACTTCCGGCGGGGGGTAAAGTAAAGTGCAGCCAATTCGCGTTTCAGACATGGAGGTCGGCGGGGAGCCGCTCCGCAATAAATGTGAATTCTTGCTGCTGAGCCCGTGGTCGGAGGTGAGGGCCCTAACCCACTCACGTTGAGCGGAATTCCAGGGCTCTGGCCAGCAGTTGACCGGACCAAAAGGGGAACAAAGGCTGTATTCGAATTTCGTAGACGATGAACCACAAAAAGATGAGCACTGTGCGTGGATTGAGGTAATTAAATGGCATACCGGCGGCATTATCTTACCGAATTCAGACGCGCCGTTATAAACCGCCTCACCATCCGCCGACCAATTTTTCGGGCACCTGGATTAGCGAGGGTTGTGACGTCGCACGCTCGAGAAGCGCCTACATTTGTGAAAAGGAAGAATCTATTAAGGATGAATTATAAAAAGGGACATTCAACACAGGCGAACAACAGCCTAAATTTGTTTTGAAATTGGCTAAAATTTGTCTACGATGTTAACGCCTACACAAATCTGAAGTTGTATGTTTTATGCCCTCAAAACTCGGGCATGATTCAGGATGACGGATCAGGCGTTACGACGTGGTTTACTGTCATACTTTGGATTTAAATTAAAACATTATTTCTGATTTTATTTACTAAATTTTAAGCTAAATATTGATTATACAGATATTCGGTATTATAAAATTGATCTTACGTATTGAAACATCTGGACGAGATTTATTGCACTGGAAAAAAACAAGGCGGTCTAGTGAACCCTTACGAGATTGAGAGAGAGAGAGAGAGAGAGAGAGAGAGGCCGCTGACTGATATCCTTCGCTGCTGATCCCCATTCAATCTTCCACTCCAATCACTTGCAACAGCTAATTTTGGTGTCGACATTTCATCTTTTTCTGCCATTTCAGCTCAAGTCATTTTTCCTAAAAGTCATCGTTCCTAAAAGTCATTTTTCCTAAAAGTCATTTTTCATAAAAATCAATATTTCTCAGTTGGTTTTTTTGCAAGAAAAATTTTTTTGGAGAGGCCCGGGCCGTAAAATTTTAATGTCTCCATGCCGTACTAGACCTTTTCCGGATGTTTTGATTTAAGTTATGCTATCTTTGAATTCATAAAACTATTCAGAAATCAAGAAATAGGATAGGCCCTGATGCGACTAAGAGCTTTTATGAGGACTGACGGCGTTCAACGCCTTTTGCCGTTTCTACACAGGAAGCAGGTTTGAAGTTAGGCGGAGGTGGCATCCCTATTCGCATACCTAACTTCAGGAAAAATTAATCTTCGAAAAAAATGGTTTTTAGAAAAAAGTGATTGAGGAAAAATAAAAATTTACGATTACCTAGTTTTAGGAAAAATGACTTTTAGGAAAGATGACTTTTAGGAAAAATGACTTTTAGGAAAGATGACTTTTAGGAAAGATGACTTTTAGGAATCATGACTTTTAGGAAAAATGACTTTTAGGAAAGATGACTTTTAGGAAAGATGACTTTAGGAAAGATGACTTTTAGGAAAAATGACTTTTAGGAAAGATGACTTTTAGGAAAGATGACTTTTTAGGAATCATGACTTTTAGGAAAAATGACTTTTAGGAAAGATGACTTTTAGGAAAGATGACTTTAGGAAAGATGACTTTAGGAAAGATGACTTTTAGGAAAGATGACTTTTAGGAATCATGACTTTTAGGAAAAATGACTTTTAGGAAAAATGACTTTTAGGAAAGATGACTTTTAGGAAAGATGACTTTAGGAAAAATGACTTTTAGGAAAGATGACTTTTAGGAAAGATGACTTTAGGAAAGATGACTTTTAGGAAAGATGACTTTTAGGAATCATGACTTTTAGGAAAAATGACTTTTAGGAAAGATGACTTTTAGGAAAGATGACTTTAGGAAAGATGACTTTTAGGAAAAATGACTTTTAGGAAAGATGACTTTTAGGAAAGATGACTTTTAGGAATCATGACTTTTAGGAAAAATGACTTTTAGGAAGATGACTTTTTAGGAAAGATGACTTTTAGGAAAGATGACTTTTAGGAAAGATGACTTTTAGGAAAGATGACTTTTAGGAAAGATGACTTTTAGGAAAGATGACTTTTAGGAAAGATGACTTTTAGGAAAGATGACTTTTAGGAAAGATGACTTTTAGGAAAAATGACTTTTAGGAAAGATGACTTTTAGGAAAGATGACTTTTAGGAATCATGACTTTTAGGAAAGATGACTTTTAGGAATCATGACTTTTAGGAATCATGACTTTTAGGAAAGATGACTTTTAGGAATCATGACTTTTAGGAAAGATGACTTTTAGGAAAGATGACTTTAGGAAAGATGACTTTTAGGAAAAATGACTTTTAGGAAAGATGACTTTAGGAAAGATGACTTTTAGGAAAGATGACTGGGATTCTGGGGTATTATTGCCGAAAATCAGCAAAACAATCTCTAAGATGAACTATTTCAGCTTATTTTTTTCTTGCCATTCCCGTACATACAAACTTTACAAATTTTTATCAAAAATATAGGTCGGTAAATCGATAAAAATCGATAAAAATCTGTATTGTCCATAAATTGTTTTTCGCCCTAAACTAAACAAATTCCAAATTTTTGAAAAATCTCGTCACTTTTTCGATTTGAAATATAAATAGCTTTAAAGCCAATAAAACACACGCTATCTTAGTATGTTATTTTTATTAGCAGGCTAACAAGTTCAACTCGTAGGAAAGAACTTTCTATACAAAATGTAATAATTTTAGGGGCTAAACTCGACTTTTTGCCCTAAAATAAGTGAACTTCGAATTTTTGAAACAAGCTCGTAAATTTGTCGATTTTGAATATAAAAGTTTACTAAAATCGATTAATATACGATACGCTACAACATGCTACTTTGTTTACTAGGGTACGTAGGGCTTGTAGGGAAAACGTCCAGGTATTCTTCGGCCAAACAAGCACCATAACCGCGGCACAAGCGTGTCATGCCATGGACGCCGGGCTGCTGGCCCTCAACAGTATCGAGGAGGAATATTTTGTTTTAGGTACGTGGATTCACCGGGATTTTATGTCGCGGGTAACACCGTACTCCACCCCAACACCTGAATGATCTCAACGTTTTCGGAATTTTCGCTTATTTTGTCGGGGGTTTTTGCAACGCCAGTCGATAGAGCGTCGAAAAATATACCAAGAGTTTTTATTTGAGCCTACAATAATGTAAAATAAAAAAAGTTATAACCAAAAACTTCCGGCGGGGGGTAAAGTAAAGTGCAGCCAATTCGCGTTTCAGACATGGAGGTCGGCGGGGAGCCGCCCGCAATAAATGTGAATTCTTGCTGCTGAGCCCGTGGTCGGAGGTGAGGGCCCTAACCCACTCACGTTGAGCGGAATTCCAGGGCTCTGGCCAGCAGTTGACCGGACCAAAAGGGGAACAAAGGCTGTATTCGAATTTCGTAGACGATGAACCACAAAAAGATGAGCACTGTGCGTGGATTGAGGTAATTAAATGGCATACCGGCGGCATTATCTTACCGAATTCAGACGCGCCGTTATAAACCGCCTCACCATCCGCCGACCAATTTTTCGGGCACCTGGATTAGCGAGGGTTGTGACGTCGCACGCTCGAGAAGCGCCTACATTTGTGAAAAGGAAGAATCTATTAAGGATGAATTATAAAAGGGACATTCAACACAGGCGAACAACAGCCTAAATTTGTTTTGAAATTGGCTAAAATTTGTCTACGATGTTAACGCCTACACAAATCTGAAGTTGTATGTTTTATGCCCTCAAAACTCGGGCATGATTCAGGATGACGGATCAGGCGTTACGACGTGGTTTACTGTCATACTTTGGATTTAAATTAAAACATTATTTCTGATTTTATTTACTAAATTTTAAGCTAAATATTGATTATACAGATATTCGGTATTATAAAATTGATCTTACGTATTGAAACATCTGGACGAGATTTATTGCACTGGAAAAAAACAAGGCGGTCTAGTGAACCCTTACGAGATTGAGAGAGAGAGAGAGAGAGAGAGAGAGAGAGAGAGAGGCCGCTGACTGATATCCTTCGCTGCTGATCCCCATTCAATCTTCCACTCCAATCACTTGCAACAGCTAATTTTGGTGTCGACATTTCATCTTTTTCTGCCATTTCTTTTTCTTTCATTGCCTTTTTCTTACATTTCTGGTTTTGTTGATGGCGCCCCGGCGCCGGGCCTCAACCCGTGACAGCGGCACCGAGGAGGATGAGGCTCTCCTCGTCAGAAAGGGGCTTCTGGCACAGCGTACGACTGAAAGTCGACGTCTACTCGGGCTTACGCTGTCGTTATTGATCTACAATTCTGTTGCTACCTTTTGGGTGTATCTATCGGCAACCGACGCGGACGTAAAATGCAGGTGGGATGAATGCTTAAAGGTACGTGCCGGTGTCGTAATCGTGATTACAAGGCTACGACTAGGGTCTTCGACCGCTTACAGTTAGATCCGTCCCTCCAAAGCACAAGCGCATATTTGGCTACGGTTTACTTTACCCCCCCGGCCCGAGGGTCGCCAAGTTTTGGATATTTTTGTTATTTTTTCGGGATGTTTTTAACGCCATTCGATAGAGCATCAAAAAATAGAGTTTTTAGATAGAGTTTTTCTGGCAGCTCAAAATATTGCAACATAAAATAGTTATAGCAAAAACAAAATTAACCTCTAAAACGGGGTTAAAAAGCTGGTTTTCGATAGTTTTGTTATTTTTTTAAGATTTTCGAAACGCCATTCGATAGAGCATCAAAAAATATACTAAGCATTTTAACCACAACCAAAAATAACGTAAAATAAAATAGTTATGGCAAAAACAAGCAAAATTCGAATAGCCGCCCAGCACTATTTTAATTGTATAAATTTTTATTTTTATTTACTTTGCAATTCCCGGCCGGGGGATACTAGCTGGCACCTAGGGCTATCGATTGGTGGCCTTAAAGGGCTGGAGAAAGATGGAATCGATGAAAGAGCAAAGAAGGTCGCACCGGACGGGGGTCGAACCAGGGATGGTCCGCCCCGCAGTCCGATGCGCTAGCCAGTACACCAAAGAGTCGAGTGGAGAGAGAGGCGGCGGAGGGCCCCCACATACCCTAGGGCACCTACGCCAACTGGATAAGAACTGCCATTAGAAATAAAGCAATTTCATGGCGATAATAGCTAAAAAAATGTTGTGGAAAACCTTGCTAAAGGATAGCAACGTACTTTGCAACTTTTTAGAGGTGTTTTGCTGTGTATGCGCCTCTTTTTCAGCCAAAACAGTGTCCCAAAAACCCGTATGGCTCAGAACTTCACCGCCTTTTATCCAATCAGGCTCAAATTTTTAGCCTCGGTGGGTATCACTAACTCCTTGGTTTCATGAAATTTTTAGTTGAAAACATTGCTAAATGAAAAAGTTATAGCCAATAAACTGGTTTCTTCAAACGAGAGCGGGGGTTTTGGGGGCGCTTACGCGAGGGAAAGCGTCGATGGTAGCGCCGCGGCGGTCCGTCACCCCGACGGACGCCGGCCCATCTTTCTCCAGCCCTTTAAAAAAATTTTGGGACTTTCCTGCTGGGGGCGGGGCTGGGGGGTAAAAAGTAAACTCTTACCGTATATTTAGATACGCGATTCTTGAATTCGTTAACAATGAGACAGTGACGGCGTTGCCGATGATGACCCCAACTAAAGCAGCTACCACGAGGAAAACCACCACCAAAAAGCGCTTTACCACGACCACCGAAAGCCCAGCCACAAATTCTGAACCCTGCCCGCCCACCTGGATTCACATGAAGCAGTTTTCCAAGTGCTACAAGGTGAATTGATTTTGGATTTTTGCGCAGGCGCATAGATTATGCTCCCCTGGTAGTAGATCAAGATCCTAGAAGGAAGGAAAATAAAACGCAACGCCCCTCCACCCCTCTTTGCAGCCTTTCTTGAAACCGGCAAACTATTTGGAGGCGGAGGCAAAATGTCGCGCCCTGGGTGCGGAAATCTTGTCCATCGACAGCTGGGAGGAGAACCAAGCCGTTACACGTATCGTTCACTCACCTCGAACGTTCACATCACCGTTTTTAGACTTGAAGGTGAATGGCAAGCTGTTGCGGAACAGCTATAGATCAATACCGCTCGCACCACGGTTTCATGTGAGTTGCACGTACCGTAATTTTTCTATGTCTCTACGTTACCCTCTCTCTCTCTCTTTTTCTGTCTCTCTCACGCTCTCTTTGTCTCTCTCTCTCTCTCTTTCTCGCACTCTCTCTCCCTCACTCTCTCCCCATACCTCCCTCTCCCTCTCTCCCTAAACCTCTCTAGCTTTCTCTCTCTCTCTCTCTCTCTCTCTCCTTCTCTCTAGCCCTCTTTTATTAAATTTACAAAATATTTTGATTTTTATTATTTTTAAAACTAGTTAGATTTTTTGATAGAAGTTAACGAGAGAATTATATGGGCCACACGGCGAGAAGGTTCATTTCACGAATTTCTATGATGACGGCAAGGTGCGGGAACCCAACGGCATCTACGCCAACGAGAATTGCCTTGAACTTTGGGTTTGAACGTTCAGAAGTGCGCAACAGAAAGGCCTTTTTAGAGGGCCGATCATAATGAGCCAACGACCGAGGAGGCTTTTTCTATGAGGTGGAACGACATACCATGTGAATGGCGGCGTGACGCGTTTATTTGCGAGAAGAAAGTGACGAGTTTTGTTGAACAATAAATTTTTTTCTGATCAGAGATTACCGGAAAATACGTGCAAGGGTATCCCGGCGCTGCAGGGGTTTGGAGGCAAATTCGAGAAGATGCAAGTGAGAAAGTAAGAGAGACAGAGAGGGAGAGAGAGAGAGAGAGAGAGAGCGAGGGAGAGCGAGAGTGACAGATATTGATATAGAGAGCGAGATAGATAGAGATAAAGAAAGAGAGAGAGAGAGAGAGAGAGAGAGAGATTCGATAACCTGACTCGCAATATTTTTCCGGTTTCTAGCTACTGGGTGCCCTTTGACCTCTTCGGCCTGAAGGCGGCAATGCCTTTAGATCAAAGCGCGACCTTCGAGATCAAAGCGGTCAAAAAGACATTTGAAAATCATCTGCTCAAGGCTATAGAAGCCTTTTTAAAGGGGCGCGAAGACGGCACCAAGCAAAAATGCTTCGTCTGTGGTTCTTCTTAGGGCTCTTGCTCCTCGCTCAGGTGAGCTGCGACTTTGAGCTCGCTGGGTCTCTCTGATCTTCGGCTTTTTTTGCCGATTCGGTATCGCTACTTTAATTTTTTTGGAATTTAGTTGGTTGCGGTAAAAGCGTCACATAAACCTGATTTCAAGAAAAATTCAGGAAAAACTATTTTAAGAAAAACAAACGGAATTCCTGATAGGCACGTTCCCGTAGTGAAAACACGCGCTAAACTTTTGTAAAAGATAAAACCTCTTTTTAAAAGCTCTACTAGGGCATTGGAGCTCGGTTAGGGCAAAAATTCTAGGCCTCAAGGCCCGCCCCGGGCCTGGGTATGGGCAAACCATGTCGTATCGGAGGCCCGGCATGCCAACAGACCCTGTTCTGCTGCACGGATCCGAACGTCAGGAACAGGTTAGTGGCTTGTATACCTTACATCCAACTTTTGTATACCTTTCGCTGGCGTTGTCGTACGTCTAGCGCAAAACTTGGAGAGCCAACTAATTTTTCCAGCGTTACCGGCGTCTGTAGGCACGTTTTACAAAAACCAGGGCTTCGTTGCGGCAACAATCGTGGATAGATGGATGGATTTGGCTCTAATAAATCTTTCAAAGCATTTCCAATTTTTGGGATCAAGCCAAAGGGGGAGAGAAATAGAGATCGGAAGAGAGAGGGAGAGAGAGAGGGAGAGAGCGAGAGAGAGCGAGCGAGACAGAATGTCTAGCTGGAAGGAATCAACAGACGGTCGACAATTTTGTAAACACAGGCTTCCGACGTACCAAGCACTTGATTTCTCTGACCACCCACTTCCATCGTTCAGAAAACGCAGCCAAATGGCCTTTAACTGTTACTTTATGGGTTTTCTTATTCTTTCTGTGGTGCTTTGCGAAATAGCTTTTGCCGTTGACGAGGTATGAATTCACAAGGTCCTGAATGTAACGCACTTTTTAGAGCTCTTTAACCCGATCCGGAAATCACGTACCGCGCGGAAAAACCTGTCGAATTGGGGAAACACCCTGTGAGCCGGGATACTTTTGCTGCGCCTCAAAGAAATCAATGTAAGCGGATAAATTCAAACAATGCATGTTTTAAAAGCTTTACCGGCAGCTGCAAGCCAATGATCGAGAAAAATGTGCTTCAATGCTGATTCTGCCAGGCGTTCCTAATAAAGAAATTTTTTGTTCCGGTTTGGCGAATAATTCCAGTATCATTTTTGTTTTGAGAGAGAGAGAGAGAGAGAAAGGGAGAGTGGGAGGGAGAGTGGGAGAGGGCGAGAGCGACAGAGGCGGAGAGTGAGAGAGAAATAATTTTCTGTTTTCCGAAACTGGTGATGCGCCTTTTGGACAGCGCGAAAATCACCCCAGCCCGGGCCAGTTGAGTCAATATTTTTGCATTGCGCCCCGATTTTCGCAATAGTTTACACGCAGTGCTGATCGGGGATTAAAAATTTTGGGGCTATATAAAGCCCAGAAGCTCACGGTTTGGAGCAAACTAATATTGCTTGATATGTTTCGTATTCTTCTGATATTTCTGTTAATCATCTCCTGCGGCTTGATGCTGGCAGCTGGCTATAATAAGGTAACGTTTCATAGGAGATTTAATTATACTTAATGCGAAGTTAATTCCTACGGAGGTTTTTGCATTTTCAGGCAACTCTCGGCCCGGGAGACCCCTGCACTCGCGGTGTCAACGACGACCAATGCCCAAAAGGCTATTTTTGCTGCGCCTTTGCCCGTGATGGATTTTGTGGAGAGATTGGCAAAGTGTTTTGTTGAATAAACATTTTTAACCATTTTCTGGTTACTTTTCATGAATAAACATATTTAAAAGTAAATTTTCTTCGCTCTGACGTGTTTCAGGGGCCCTTGAAATACGAACTGGCCTGAATGGGAAACGTCTAAATCAGCATTGAAATCTATGACAAATCAGGGCCGAGAGAAACCTGAGAAATTCATTTTTCCGTTCCACATAAAAACCCCAAAAAAAAAATAAACAAAAAGACTTTTTTAATAAAAAATTTTCAAAAAAAAAAAAATTTAAAAGAAAACAAGAAAAAAACAAAAACAAAAATATAAAAAAAAAAAAAAAATACAATTAACTTTTAAATAAAAAAAAAAATAAACCAAACAAAAAAAAAAAGGGCCGCGGAAAAAAATTATAATTCCCCAAATATAAATTTTGTTTAAAGGGGGAAAAAAATTAAAATAAAATAAAAGCCCACTGACTTGTCGGTATTTCAATTTCTGATCAACGGCCGTCATCTACATAGAGACAAAATACGCCGAGATGCTAGCGCGTTTTACGGTATTCTTCTTTCTGCTGGTGTTGTTTTTCCAGGTGGGAAAATATTATTCATTCACTATTTTTTGCCCCAAAAAACCAATTAAATTAAAATCAAAATTAAATTTAAAAACACAAAGAGCTCATGCCGTGATTTTTAGACCTCGCTTCAAGTTGAGCCAGAGCTGTGGCTGCTGGAGAAAGGGGTAAGCTTCACCATTTTTGGTTGTGGCATCCCGGAAACGTTTTGCCTGAATTGCTAGGATTTTCCGGAATACGGTACCGGAGTGAAAAACCTGAATAAAACTCATAAAGTTGTTGATTTTTCAAAAGTTTCTAAACGTTTTACAACTTCTAAAACCGGGTTTGGCGTCATTACGCTCCGAGTGCGGCGGCAATCTATTAGCTGGTAACCTGCAAACGCTAAAAAATAAAACGGATGAAGATTACAACTTCCAGGCCCCGAGAACGATGTGCACGCTGATAAAGTGGCCGAACGAATGCCCAGACCGCACGACGTGTTGCTTCGTCGGGCTTCCGAAACCGCATGGGGAATGCTTCCCGGGAATTCACATCGGATGCGATTGATTTTTTGCTTTTGCCTTGTTTTGTGAAGAATGAAGTAAAGTAAAGAATATTTCAACTTATACCCGCAATAGCGCATTAACGACAATTATGCCAAAAAATTCCGAAGAACCACTTCCGCCTTTTTAAAAGCTTGAGCTCATCAGGCTGCGCCCCGAATCCTGAAAGACACTCAAAACCGCGTGTCATACCCCAACCGGAAGCTAAACGGGCAAACCGAATTGATGAGGACAAGCTATAAAATTTGGTCCCGAGCTTCCGGAAGCATTTCACGTAAACATGCGCTTCTTTTTCTTCATTCTCCTACTCGTCGCCGTTGCTGTAGCTCTCACCGGGCGTGGCCGAGACTTTGAGGTGATTTACGGTCTTCAAAATTCAGCCGGGGCTTACAGAAAATTTCTACACAGCATTGGTCTTGAGTTTGAGCTGGCGTTCCATATAATAATACCAACTTGACAGCCGGATGACATCCTATGCGATTTGGGCTCCACTGACCAGTGCCCGAGAGGGAAAAAATGCTGCCCAGCCGGTGCCGAGGGATTCTGCTTTCCGGAAGATGAATGCTGAATTTTGCGATTACAACTGATATATGAATAAACGTTAAATGGACGCAACGGACGTATTAAAAATATAGGACAAACGGAGCGTTATAAAGCTCCTAGTGGGGGTCATGAAGCTCTGACTCGTTGCACCACAGACCTATCTATCTCGCTGTTGAGGCTTCTCGCTTCCCGTCTAGCTAACCCCCGCCTACTGTATCTCGGCTCCCCGTACGGCTACAAGGCTGTAACGTATACGTTAAAGAAGCATTCTGAGGCCGGTTGCCCGCTAATAGTCTTAAAAATGCGTCCATAGCTGAGTAAGCTACGAAAATCAGATACAATTGTTGAGCTTTTCATGCATTTTTGAGCTAGGAGTTTCAAAACATTTGAATATCGACAATTTTGCATAATTCTGATCAACGTACACTCTCAGACAAAAAAAAAGACATGACTGCTCCTCATTTGCTACTACCCGTTTTCCAAACAATGGCTCGGCGCTTCATCCAGGCCGCCAGCAGCCGCTTCAAGCGCTCCAAAAAGGTATGTTCGGGTAGGAGTTAGGTGTAGTCCACCCCCATCCTTTCGTATCTCGGCTTGACGTTACTTTATTGGGTTGTGAAGTATACTAAACCGTCTGGCTTGGCTAGGTATTTTGGTATACTTTAAAGCGGGGTAACAGTCCGGCTGGGGGGGTAAACTGCACTCTTACGGTATTTTGTCTAAGCCCCCTACGTCAAGTTCTTCATCGCCGCCAGGCAGCAGCCGTGCAGGTGACACCCCCGTGAAGCCAGAAACCCGAACGGTACGCCTGTAGACCCTTAACGAAATCTATTTAAGATTGGTACGTGTACGGATGACGTAGATTGGATGATCCGGGAGGTTGTCGTTGCCCGCTCGGTGCAGAACGTTAAGGTACCCGACCTTATTTATACTGACCTCGTCTTTAGAGCCCCGACGCTCTCATCTCGGTCGCGCAGTTCATGAGGATGCCGCTCTCCATCTGGCTGAGCCTCATGAACCTGCTCAGCCCGCGCGACTTGCTCAACTGGGCACATGCGCACCCGTTTTTCAAGGTGGCTGCAAAATTCATGATCAATCCCGATATTCAGGACCTCATCACCAAGTCGCCGAAACGGTGGGCCAGAATCAAACCGCGCGAGGCAATGAACTACGATTTTCATGGACATCGCGAGGGATGGGAGGAGGCGAAGTAGGGTGCTCTTCTTCGTGTAGTTGCCGGCTTCCAGGGCGTACAAGCTGACGTGGAGCCGCTTCTGGTGGGAGAACGAACAGAAATACATTCTGGCCTACGGAGATGAATATTCGTAAGAATATTGAAGAAATACTACCTATGGCACAGCTTCGCACGGGACGATTTCTACTACAAAGGCTGTGACGAACTCCATTTTGTTCCGCTCCGCCCGGGTGTTGATCGCGAGAAAGTGGCCGTCGAGGATTTCCTTATCCTATTCAACAACGCGACCTTTGACCAGGTGACCCTGCCAGGTTTGCCTTTAGCTAAAAAACGTTCTACAGGTCGCCATCGGCCCCAAGTGGGACCTGCCCGACCTCGAGAAGTACAACAACCGCCCATCCATCCGTGCCCACGCCGTCATGTTGACTTGCCCAACTGAAGAGCATTACGCCCAGATGCGTGGGTCCTCTATAAGGGTATACACTAAAGGCTATTTTTAGTGAAATTCGAGCCGCAGTGCGTGGCCCTCGACGTTTCCAACAAGCCAAAAGTTGGCGCACTGCGCTCGGCGGTCAAAACTGTGATGACCATGCTTCCGGTGCGGCCTTCAATTTCTTGGAAAACCTTTTGCGAAAGCAATCTTTTTAAACATCTTTTAACGCAAAACGCATATTAGACTTTCTACCCCTTTTAAGGACTTGCCAAAACTGTGGCTGGTCGTTGGCCGTGAGGTCGCTGAGGTGACCCTGCTCTGCGACGTCCCCTCGCCCACCATCGTCGCCTATTTCGATGTGGTCGGAGGTGCCTTGCCGATGTTGGCCCCCATATAACAACTCACCAGATTATCGACGAAGCCGAGGCGATGCTCCACTGGTCAAAAAATTCGAGCGCACCTTGAAGCCGACGTTGAACACCCTGATTAAGGTCAGTACTGGTCAACAGCAAGCTAGCATTTCTAGAGAATTTCCCTAAAAAAGAACCCTTCGCACTTCTGGCTTAAGTGCAGTTTAGGCCCCCCAGCCACCAACTTTTGTATTTCGGCTCCCTGTTTCTAAGAGGTTCATGCTGTTCATAATCGTGTCACTACAAATTTTTATTACGACATACTAAGAATACAGACTTTTCGATCAAAATGTTAAAAAAATCAAAATCAATATCAAAATTTTTGACCAAAAGCTCAGCTTTTTGAAATTTTTTTACATAGTCTTCCAGTTAAATAGACTATTTTTTAATCAAAAAAATACCAGAGTTGAAAAGCCGCTTCGCGACTTGTGAAGCTACACGTTTTTGCAACTTGGCGTTTTTCAGCAGTGGCAGCGACGTGAGCGTGACATTGACCACATTGCACTGATCTCGCTCCGGTCTTCGGAGAGCGAGCCGGTTGACTGGGCTGAATGGAAACGCGTCTACCCAGGTTTGTGGTTGCCGTGGGTTGTTGGCTGTGAACAAAAAATATGATAGCTAACAGAAACCAAAATTTGTGCAAAATAGGTTAGTAGTATAGTTCGGGTTTCAGGGATCTGCGAGCTACCCGGCGAACTCTGTAAGGGAAAGACCGATCCGTACTGCATCGACTGGGCTAATGAAGCGGACGAATTTTGGCTGATTCGTCGTGGACCCGCAGTCGGCTGTTCTTCCGTAGAATCCGAATCTTTCCCTTTCAGAGCCACGAGGGCCTGTTGATCGGTGTGAAGGGTCCGAGTTTCCTGCTCATCTCCTGCGACTACAACTTCCGCAGGTCGACTTTTCCGGAACAAAGTCGAAGCACCAAAATTTGTTTAGAACGCGCACCAAAGAGGCTTCCGGCAAGTTCTTTGAGGCTTCCCAGCAGGCTCAGAAGAACATCAAGGACGCCTTCGTGGGTGACGATCCGGAAGTGGAGTCGAACTGGCGCAGCAGACTGCCCAGAAGGATCATCACGGATGTAGGATAATTCCGATAGCTTTACATCACGTTTAGCGTCTCGCCGCGGTGGAACGCGCTGAGCTCGCGTTCAAGGAATGGACCAAGATGGAGCCGCACAACTCGGTGCCGATCCGCGAACGTGCCATCGATCGCTTGGTAGAATTTTAAATGCAATTTACTTTTGTATGTCCGCAAACGTAAAAACCTTTGGATAGCAGCAGTTTTGGGTTAGAGTGGATTTACCCCCCAGCATGCACCCAACTTTTGTATCTCAGCTCCTGTTCATCTACAGGTGCGTAAAGTATACCAAAATGTGTGTCTTGATCTGGCAAGTATTTTGGTATACTTTACAGACCTGTAGATGAACAAGGCGCCGAGATACGGTAGGCGGGGGTCGGCTGGGGGGGGGGGGGGGTTGACTTAAGCCCAGTTTTGGTTATGCGTTGTTCCCATGTTATTAAGGGTTTCAGACAGTTTAAAGTAATAGAAAAATGACGACTTAACCTTGGCAAATTAACCGACGAAAATTGACAAATGCTAAGTCTGATTTTTGGTATTTTGGGCGATCGAAACGAAATAACGTCCCTCAGTTATGACCAGGGACGTAGCCAGAAAAAATTCCGGGGCCCCAAAAAATTTTCCAAAAAACTCAAAACATTACCGAAAAAACAGCGCCGCAGGCAAAAATTTTTGAAAACAAGGTTGCATAGCATTTTTGAAAACAGCAAAATTTTTGAGAAAATAAAAATCATAAGGGTCCCCCCTTATGAAATTTCCCCCCGGCCGTTTTCGGGGGCCCCCGGGCCTGGGGGCCTGTATTACGCTACGTCCCTGGTTATGACCCTCGTTTTTCTATCAAATTTGCCTCCAGGAAGTTGGCGAAGAATAAGAGACCCGGTAATTGTGTTAGGGAAAAAACAGTAATGCCGTTCAGCTATTCAACTCGGTGTACCGCCACTCCTGCGAGACGTCGTTCACGGTAGCAACTCGTGTTCTCGTATCCAGCTATTGCTTTAAAGCCGACGTTCGAATTCGACCCGCCGAAGGACACGCTCCTCGGCCGCTACATTTGGCGTCGGTCGTTTATCATTCATGGTGAGGAGATTGCAGTCGCCTAAATTTTTTAAAAATTTTCTCGTGTGAAGACGCCCGATATTTCAGATGACGAAGACGACGCCGAGTTTTGACTGGCTGCAGCTCGCTCATTCACGACGTACAGTTCATCCCCGTTGTCATTGCATTCGCCCTACTTCCATTGACCTGACCTCGAAAGCGTTTTTCTATAATCTACTCGCGTGTGATTTGCCTGTAAATCTGGTGGCTTTGGTGTAATAAATCGGGATGAGAGAGAAGATTTAGCAAAAAATTTTTGCTGCACAACGTATCACCCAAGATACCAAAGATAGGGTGTCATAAATACGTCTCTCTCTCTATCTCTCTATCTCTCGCGCTCTCTCACTTATTCTCTCTCTCTCTCTCTCTCTCTCTCTCTCTCTCGGATCAAGGTTGGCTCACGCCACGAGGTCAGCGCGGTGTTGTCAAGCTCCTGTAGATATCGGCAATAGAAAACGCCAAATTCCCCACAAAATATATGCATGAGGGAGGTCCTGATCGGGACGCCATATAAAATGGTTGAGCCCGGGAATTTCTACCATAGTTGAAAATGCGCTTCTTCACCCTGTTCTTCCCCGCCCTGGTTGCTGTAGCTCTCGCGGGCAGGCCGGAATCTTCAGGGGTTCGTTTTTTAACTTTCTTAGCTCTTTAGAATTATAAAATGTATGGTCATGACAGAAGAAAAATGAAGGCTTAAAGTAGCCCCAAGCCGTAAGCCCAAACCTAAGCCTATGCCTCAGCTAAGTCTAAGCCGAACCCCAAGCCGATGAAGTCGGAACTCACTTTTTGGTCCCATATTTTGATCAGGGTATGAATCCAGCTTTTGAAACTAATTTTCTAGGTTCGCCCCGAAGATGCAGACAGATGCGACCTGAGCATGCAGGACTGCCCGCCCAACTTCAAGTGCTGCCCGATTGGCCGGCATGGAGGGGCCTGCTTCCGTGATGGAGAATGTTAAAACTGTGCGACCAAAATGAATAAATTTATTGGGTTCGTTGGCTGTTTACAGTGTATTCAGCATTTGTTGGCTCACGTCTCGATTTAAATCCATAGGTCAATTTTCAAGGAGTACGTAACGGGAGTTGTGCGTATAAAGTACGATCTCACTCTCTCTCCCTCTCTCTCCCCGCTCTCTCTCGCTCTCTCTTTCTCTCACTCTCTCTATAGCTCTCTTTCTCTCTCTTTCTCTCTCTCTCTCTCTCTCTCTCTCCCTCCCTCTTTCAGTGTGCCCAGTTACTTTGTGTTAGTAAGCTTATACGCTCAGCAAACTTACTGAACACGTACATGGAAAAACTGATTTACCTAAAACCTTCACTTCAGTTATTGCAAAGTTTTGTTGTCTTGCCAAGAATTCAGCGGCTTTTCCGGCTTCTGCGGAACTCATTAAAATGGCTACGACGCGCTTTCTTGCGATTTTGGCAAAGCATCCGACTGAATCAAAAGTTTAAAAGCCCTTTGTGGCGGCACCCTTTGAAGTTCCGCTTTATAAAAGCGAAAAATTTCCTCAAAACACAACTGCTGCCAACTCCAAGTCCAAAAATCCGCGATGAAGCTGCTCGCTATTCTTTTGGTTGTGTTCTTTCTGAACCTACAGCTAGCGGCCGGATTCGTAAGTTAGAAAATTAGCAAAACACGGGTGGGCTTCGATTTTCATATTTTTTGAATTTCATATTGTCTGAATTTCCGAATCCATCCGGTTCATTTAGGATTCGGTTTGCTACGTCGGAAAATCGAACAATTGTCGACCGGGCTACCAAAAGTGCTGCCCGAACACGAAGAAGAATGACCAGGGGAGCTGCTCGTACACCGAACAGGAATGCCCGCCACCTTTGCATTGAACTGGGAATAAAGATGTTTTTCGGAAAAAATGCTATTGATGTTTGATGGCGGTTCTCTGTTTCCCATAAACCCATGGAATTTTTTGTTTTATTGAATTGTTTTAATTTTTCTTTTTATTGTCCATTTCTTTACTCTAGATTTTTCTGTTTTCTCTTCATTCCAAGCCTCTAAAATTTTCCATGCCCAATCAGCCTAGTATGAAGACTTTCGCGATATTTTTCTTGCTACTCTGCATTTACAACTCCCCGATCAGAGCTGCGGCATTTTTTGTCCAGCGCTACGTAAGTTCCGATCATGGCAATAGCATTAAAATTTGCATAAAATTGTTTCGAACCGAGAAAAACGCGAATTGTTACGCCAGGATTCATCTTGCCTCGTCGGCCATCCAAACCATTGCCGCCCCGGCTACGAGAAATGCTGCCCAAATACAAAAATTGGAGTCCATGGAAGCTGCTATGAACCGAAATATTCTTGCCCTGTCAATGCATAAACACTTTTTGGGATTGAATAAATTTGAAGAAAAATCGAAAAATCGAAAAGCCTTTTTCTTTTCAAAACCGGCGCCATACGCTTCAGGTACTTGAAAAACAGGGCATAAATTGAATCTAAAATCGTCACATATATGAGTGGTTTCTTGTTATTTTTCACTTCCGCTTTGGTACCTCTTCAAAAATGCACCCACTAACATCGACCCTCCTGCTTTTGCTGCTCGTGACCATGGTCTGGGCTGCACCAAAAGCCTTCAATTCGATGGTATGGACATATTAAATAAATAACCTCTTCTCTCCATTTTTTTGAAAAAATTAATGCATCAAATTCCAGGGAGACGAATGGCAATACAGCACCCAAATCGGGTGCACGTTCGGCTACGCCTGTTGCCGCCGCGACGGTCACTACTTTTGTCAGCAGCGCTGTTAAGGGCTACAAAGACCATGCGGTAAAAGTGTATAAATTTAATGCGGAAAACAAAACTATTTTCCGACAGCTTGAAAGTCCGATAAAATGAAATCTCGACAAAATTATATTCAACAAATGCAAGCCGTTATCAAATTACCCACAGCAATATATATCTTTATCGAGCGAATGACACTAAAAACAATAACAATCACTACACATAGATTATCCAGACCTAAAAAATTATATGGATACCTAAAGATTACCTTGGCCTTCTGGTCGGTTGGCCGATGCAGGTTCTTCACGGACAAGTTACACCCAACCCGCCCGGCCCTGTCCGCCGCCCGTTTTCGCCTCCTATCGCAAGGATCTAGAAAAATTATTTTTATTCTATCCCGGGAATTTTTATCGAAAAAGCGTACCGTCAGGGATTCGGTGCGTTTTTATACCATCTGCATAGCGCGCCTTGTCTTGTGACTCGTACATATGGTCTAAATAAATTTTGAGGCGGTGCGTTGATTTGAGGACCCGCAACGCGCAACGCGACCCGTCATGGCGTTTTAAAGGGATGGGCAAGGCATCATATCCTTAGATTTTCCCCGTACCACGCGGCAACCGTGTGCCAGCCGCAACGCGCCCTTTCAGGCGCCTCGACTTGACAAAATCGGGCGTGCTCGATGCGCGTCGGAAAATTCTCAAAAATCAATCGAGAATCCATATTCGGCATTTAGCGGATGCTTTAAGAGATGGGAAGTACGGAAATCTACCCCGAGTTTTCGCTAGGTCTCGACAGCTACTAGGCTCACCAAAAAGCGCTTGAAACTGTTCTGAATTTTGTTCTTGTTCGTCAAGGTTCCGGCTGCGGAACCTCGCGCACGACTCTCATTTGGCTTGTCGCCTATTTCTCGAGATCCAGTCTATTTAAAGCATCGATTTTCGCACTTCCTAATCCCTTTAAAGCTAGCTAGTTGCTTTTGCAAGTTAAACTTTCCTGGATGTAATTCGTTGGACAGCTTTGCGAACCGCTTTCTGACGTCCGGCACATCGCGCTGCAACTGGGCCACTAAGAACGGCATTCAGAATTTTAAAATTAGCAGTACCCTCTTCCCGAACATGCTGCGGCACACTATCAAAAATCATTTTCATCTAGGAAGTTTTAGAGTAAAAAAATATCAATATTACCGCGGCGGGATCATGGCCCTGCTTTCGCAGCCTTCGATACAGGGCCGTATCCTGGAACTCGTTAAAGTCCATCACCTCGGGGTGACGTTCTAAAGTGGGGAAATCTTTACGAGCATTGGGGAAAAGCGAAGCATGTTAAATAGCGGGGGGCGAAAAAATTTTCCAGGGTCCTCGTCACGCTAGGATGATGCTGTTTTTTTTTTTATGCAAAGATGCAAACAACTCCGAAAAATCGTGAAACCTAAACTGTTCTATCTTTTAAAGTTTCTAAAAAACCGCATGTTTTGTAATGTCGGACCAATAAAAACTTCTAAAAACACAAGGAAAACACGTTACATTTTATTAACAGGTCCGTTCAGATGAAATTCAGTATCCCCCCCCGATAAAAATCAGATCCAAAAAATCTGCAACGTACCCAGTTGTTTCCGCAACTTGTCGATTAACTGGCGATCGACTAGGTTGTTCGCCGGGTCCAATCCTAGTCAAATATACATAGTTTTAAACGGATTTTACAAAAAACTTACCCGATGTGCCCATCGCGAGCCGTTGGTCGCCAATTCGGGCTTGTTTTGCAGGAGGCTGATGAATATCTACCGGCACTCGACTTTTCGTTCAAATGCCGTCAAACCTGTCTGCGCCTTATCCGCCGATTTCTTTTTTCCTAGGTAGCCTTTGCGGATGTGATTTCTAAAACACTATAAAAAGGGACGAGTATGGATGGCTACTGTTTGTCGCGTGCCGCGAAGGCTTCGTTGAGGTTGTCGAGCTGAAATTGGCAGGTTGTCCAGCTGTTTTAATCTCTAAATTAATCAAAATTTAATCAGCGCCACGCCACACCACTTGCGACACCGTGATGCCCGACTACGCCGCGCGCCTATTTACGCCTACGGCTCCTCCGTTCACGCATCGTGAATGATCGATAAATTGCTGAAAAATCAGTGCCGCTGCCGAGCTTTTTTGAAAAATTGGCTAAAAATGGCCACAAACGCTAAAAAACAGATTCATGTGTTTAAATTTAGCGTAAATAGGCTAATAAACAGCACAGCAAACCACTACGGTTATCAAGAATAGTCAAATAACTCCGGCAATTTAACAAAGAAAAACGCCATAGGCTGACAGCATTGAAAAATAGGTCCCATGGCACAAAAATATTCTTCAAAATCGTGAGAAACGGCGCGAAACCAAATTGTTGTCAGACCTCTGCTCTGGGAATATTCAATTCCTTGCTCAGCCCATCGGAATCTAGGGGTAGGTTGAAGTGGGAGGCGAAGATGCGTTCTTCAAGCACCCGAGCTTTCTGGGCGGCATCAAGCTGGTTGGCGCGCTCTGGAATTACCCAAATTTTTTTGGACTGCTAGCTTTTTTAGCTAACCTAGCTGGGGGATGAGCTGCGTCCTTCCCTTCTCGATGGCGAACCTGTGGAAACCGTCCAATTCCGTCGCCCAGGTATTTAGAGGACCAGTGTATTGGCCTGAATTTGAGGTCTGCAAGTTTTTATTGAGCCTACGTAGCCTCAAATTCTCCCTCAGCGCGGCGGAATTTTTCTTTTTATGGTCTGGATCGGTCGAGGGGACATCTAAGCGGGTATTGAATTTTGAAAATCATGAAAATTTTTACATTGAAAAAGTTGATCTCGCGAGACAGCGGGCGGTAGATGACCAGGGCCCCATGGCCCTATTTTACGTTCTCCTGAAAAGGGCGGAGAATCTCGAAGTGAATCTACTGAAATACTCACCCTTTCTATGCCTTTTTCGAGTTCCCGGCGGCCCTGCGTTTACTTCCTGATCTGGGCTAGGAGGGCCTGAAATCAGTTTTTATGTTTTGCGTCTGGTCCTATATATCAGGTTGGAACGAAAGTCCTGTCGCCGAGATTTTGGAAGGCTGGCTAAATTCGTAGATAGCTCCATTCTGGACAGGCGATATGTCATTTTGTAGCTCTCGATCTGAATCGTTCCGGGAGGAGGGTCCTGGGCCCTGAAAATCAAGAACGGCCGAGATACCGGCCCAAGAAGATTTTTCAAAAATTACGAGAAAGTGTTTTTGCAAGTTATCTCTGCATAGATACATTTGCATGCGATACCTTTAACGTCAATCGATAGCTCTCAAGGAGTAGATATCGATAGATCTTGAGATCATCAAAATTGGACACTGGATCGCCGGGATATGGCTTCTTGAAATTTGGCCCATTCCTTAGAACTTTTCTCGATTTCCCATACATTTTCAAACATTTGACGGACAGGTGCCGAAAATTACCGCTTTATTTTTGGACTAGCGGCGAGGATTTTGAAAAAATGTATGGGAAATCGAGAAAAGTTCTAAGGAATGGGCCAAATTTCAAGAAGCCATATCCCGGCGATCCAGTGTCCAATTTTGATGATCTCAAGATCTATCGATATCTACTCCTTGAGAGCTATCGATTGACGTTAAAGGTATCGCATGCAAATGTATCTATGCAGAGATAACTTGCAAAAACACTTTCTCGTAATTTTTGAAAAATCTTCTTGGGCCGGTATCTCGGCCGTTCTTGATTTTCAGGGCCCAGGACCCTCCTCCCGGAACGATTCAGATCGAGAGCTACAAAATGACATATCGCCTGTCCAGAATGGAGCTATCTACGAATTTAGCCAGCCTTCCAAAATCTCGGCGACAGAACTTTCGTTCCAACCTGATAGTTATTGCTCGCGACATTTCTGGAATTTGGCCGGATGGCAGCCGCGACACCCGTCGCACATCGCGACGATTACCGGTGGTGAAGTCTTTTCCAGTTCCATTATCACTATATCGACCTCGTAGCTGGAGCAGCGCCGTGGTATTGCGATTTTTTGTGAGCCCTAGGTAAGTGAAACTGCCTTTTTGCGACCGCCGACCGTAGCGCGCTCCAAGGCGCGTTGGGCCCGCCATCGATCAGCCTATCGAAATGGGCTTCCTTGAAAAAATCACTGCGCGGTACGCAGCTACGATGCATGTGCGTCGCGTGTTGCGTGGCGAGAAAGTCCTTATTGTATCAATGCAAAATAATTACGACCCCAGAGTTGTAATTCCAGGAAATTCCTACCAAGCTCGTACAGCGGATTGTCTTCCGGTCTGGCGAACGGGTCGCTCCAATCCAAATGCAGATCAGGGCCAAGCACTGAGGGAATTAAGGCAATACGGACCCATTTTTCTAACTAACGATCACCATCGTGTTGAGTCCAGAGCGAGTGTTCTCCGCGCGGTGCTGGCGGGGCATCCAGGCGATGCGAAGGACCTGCAAACCCTACGAATTCTGTTTAGCTCAACACCTGGAACATTCCAGCCCAGTCCAATGTCGGATTGCGAGCCGTGCGGCGCTTCTTGGTCATCCCCAAAAAGCGCAGACGCTGAGTTTAATAATTAAGCTATTAAAAATCCTAATCTACGTGACAAATCCCGGCCCGGTGATCCGTGGCGCCAGGGTGATTGTAGGGCATCAATCGATAGGTATGAGCATGAAAATAGGGTTAGAAAAATCGCGCTGAGCATTTGGAAGTGACCACAGTTGGCGCTCCAACTAGCGGCCGGGAAATGAAGGTCGCACGTCGTGGAATTAAATTTTCTATCGACCAGAAACGCTGCCAGGAATTTGATGTGATTCGGTGTTCAAGAATTGAATCCTATCCTATAAGCGAGAAAAGCCTGTGTGTTTTCTGTGCAGCCCTTTTTTCGGCCATCAGGTCGAATTTCGGGCTGATTTTTGGCATGGAGGTGGAGAAATATTTTTGGCATTTTTCTAAATTCCCTCGTTTAACGATTTTACAAATCCGACAGAGGTAAAAAATCCGTATGAAACTAGGCTACGAGCCGCGTTGTACGGACGATAACTCGAACAACAGATAGAATTTTGATCTGTAATTTGGGACAGTTAGGTATTCGATAGCGGGAATTACTCGCATCATATTAACTTGACGAATTTTGAGAGGATTCAGACTCAAAAATGGAATTTTGGAATGGGACCAGAAGGCCTCGCTCTCCCGAGGGTCGTCGTCCATCGTCGGATCGTCGGAGAATTAAACTTTTTACTTCCAAACGCAACAAAACGCATTACTAGGCACTCCATGTGCTGTATTTGCCTTCCTGCCTTCCTTGGCGCCGCGGGGAAAAGAGCGGATGCCGCTGGCTCAAGCGCCGCAGGCCAAGGAAGGCTCCTTGACCCAGGCTCTCTCGTCGCAGCCCAAATCCGGGAGAAAAAGGAAACTAGTGCCTCAGGCTCAAAGATTCTAGCGCAACTCTGGCGCTGGCGCAGCATGCCAAAAGAAAGCATCCATTCTAGACGGGGTCCAGTGGAAAAGGGTCGCGAAGCGGTCTTTTTACCCTGGTTACGTTCATAGCATTATATCTTTCTCGAAACCGCAAAAGCTTTTTTGGACAATATTTCTGCTCATTGTTTGTGGGTACTACAGTGTTTGCGGTACCAACTTAGTACTAATTGTTTTTACCGAGACTCAAGAAAGATTGGAGTTGTTAGTTACTATGGACGGTTGCGCTATGGAATCGTGATGTTTTATGCTCCTTTTTCGTTTATTTCCGTTTTCAGCATTTCCAAAGCTCTTTGCCACTTCAAAGGAAAATCGGGTCCGATTTGTAAATTCGGTTCCGAATTTGTGAACTCCGCGATAATACGTATATCCCGCCCCGTCACAGCAGTTTTCTTATCGCCATAGAATGGGAGGCGCCGCCGAAGTGTCGCCATTCTATTGCTCACCAGTCTCAATATTCGACGGTTCACCTTCAAGAGTCGGGTTGAATAACAGCCGAACTCGAGGTAAAAATGGGCGCCGGCGCATCAACAGAGGTATTTTGAAAACACATTTAATGTTAAAATCGTGTTATCACCAAATGCAATAATCTGAAGTTTTAGCAAGCAAGACCCATTGATTGGGAACGGAGATATTATGATGTCGATGAAGCGTTCTCCGAACTTGCCGTGAATATGGTAAATTTTTCTTCTTTTTCGTCATCAGTTAGCAGGCATCAAGATATTTTTAAGGTCTTGCCGCTGGCAAGAGAGACCAATTATGGCTTTTGGGAAATCACATTTTAAACAAATTGTTAAAGCACTACTTTTTTTAGGAAATGTCGGTTTCATCGGACCTGCAGAATCAAGCAAGATTAAAAACGCAGGTTTCTTCAATTGTCAGTTCATTATACATATCTTCTTGAGGCCACCGAATTAAATAAGCTCAAGGCAGAAATTGCACGCCTCAAAAAGGTGCAGGTCAGGGATTCTTTTTGTCCGAACATCCGTGATTTAGAGCACAACGGTCTCGCTGGAAACATGGAATAGAGTGAGGCTATGGAGGCGCCTCTAAAATACCACAAATATATTTAGTTCAAGCAAGATTTTGCCGAATTGAATAACAAGATAAATCAGCAACAAAAAGCTATGGTGCGTGACGATTATGTTTTGTCTCGCTGTCTGTCTGTTTGCCTCCGTCCCTCTTTTTTGTTTCTCTTTCTCGCTCTCTTGCCCCCTTTTTCTCTCGCGTTTTCTTTCTACCTCGTTCTCTCTCTCTCCCTCTCCCTCTCTCTCTCTCTCTCTCTCTCTCTCTCTCTCTCTCTCTCACATTCTCGATCTTTGCTACAGGTCGAACTTTAGGTGGATTCCGGCTTTAAATGGAACCAAGAGAGGCAGAACTACCAGAAAGACGTAGGTTTACTATTCTAATCTGCTAAAATTCAAAAACCAAATTTTGTTTGTAATGCCATTGCATAGATAAAACACCTGAAATCATCACTGGCCGTCTTCAAGCATACCACTGTACCGCAATTGACCAAGCTCCTCGTAAGAAATCCGGTGTTCAGCATGACGCTTGAGTTTTCAGGAAGACGAAAAGAAGCGCAGCGCGACACAACAACAACTGATGGCTGTTGAGGTAAAAATAACGAGTTAAGTTCCATTTAGAACTTACAGTAGGTTGAAAAATTCAAAGTCTCAGCCGCCGAAGCAAGACAACAGCTTCAGCAATCAAAAGCGGAAATTAAGAAGCTGTCGGAGGAGATGGTATTTGTCGGCATTTCCATGTTGATACCATTTTTTAGTATAATCGGACAAAAATCATTATCGAAAATATTCCAATGTGTTACGGCCATGGAGAAGTGATTGAGCAAATTTTGTTCAAGGGCGAGCATCTAATTTATTGGGATGAGAGGTTGGCCGGCCATTGTAACTTCAGTGAGCGTGGGATTAGTAAGAGCGAGAGAGAGAGAGAGAGGGAGAGAGCGAGAGAGAGACAGAGCGAGAAAGAGAAAGAGATAGAAAGAATACGCGAGAGAGAGGGGGTGAGAGAGAGAAAGAGAGAGAGAAAAAGAGAGAGAAAGGGTGAGAGAGAGACCGAGATAGAAAGAGAACGCGAGTGAGAGGGGATGAGAGACCAGAGAGAGAGAGACAGAGAGAGAAAGAAAGAGAGAGAGAAAGAGAGAGAGAGAAAGAGAGGAGAGAGAGAGAAATTGAGAAAGAGAAAGAATTAGTGAGTGACTTTTGTCTCTATAGCCCGGATATGATGTTGCGCCTTCACGGCGAAGATGTTCAGCGATGCGTGGCCTATTTGGATAGTGTCCAAGCTGCTGAAGTGGTACTTTAATCGATGCATGTGATATTTCCTAGATCTACAAAAAATGGAACGGAATCGAGGAAGGCGGACAAAGAATCAAAGTCACTTATTCGTCATGTGCCCAGAAGCCAGTCAAATCTTCGGAAGCGGAAAATCAATCAGTGAAGTTTTTCCGAATAATTCATGCGAAATCTTAGAAAAGTTCATTGTATGAGTCGAAGAAATTGGAAGTACAGTCGGAAGATCTGATTGCCGAACGCCTTGCACCACCAAAGCAGCCAATAGTACGCATTGTAATCGCAGGTTCCCATCTAAATAACCATAATTTAGGAAGCTTCGACCCTGGGCCTGCCGGACCCGTCAAATAACCTAAATGTGGGTGAAACGTTGTTTTACGTAGTTTGCTTAGGGCACGAATCGACGAATTTTGTGCGTGACATGGTTGGTAGAGGAAGTCACTGACGCCGAATTGCTAGTCATCGACCCAGGCTTGGAGCCAGGATTTGAAATGAAAAATGGGAGGTAAGCCAACTAACTTCCGCCTAACTATGCCTAAGCTTACCCTAAGCTAGGCCTAAGCCTCCTAAGCCCGCGAAAATCAAAACCTTTCCAATTTTCTTGCAGACCGCGGACGGAGCGTTTGCAAACCGACCATGGCATCATCGGCTTCATCTTTTTCGAGGATACCGATAAAGCCAAACAGGTGTCAAACAAATTTAATCCAGTGTCTTATTCTTAGTATATGAAAAAGCTGAGCGAGTCTCGACCAGTCTGCCTGCCATATCAATTCAGCTACTACGGGAAGTCAGCGCTAATAAATTCGTTGCTGCACCAGCATCTTCGATTTTGAAATTCAGACTAAATTCAAATTGTCTGCGTATTATACCGGTTGAGTAAAGTTGTGGCCGCACAAAGCTATCGCACCAAACGACGACTTTATTAATAACGAAGAATTTTTATACCAGACAAACTTCGGCTACGGTTTACTTTACCCCCCAGCCGGAAGTTTTTGGCTATAACTTTTTTATTTTACATTCTTGTAGGCTTAAATTAAAACTCTTAGTATAATTTTCGACGCCCTATCGAATGGCGTTGCAAAAATCCCGAGAAAATAAGCGAAAATACCTAAAACTTTGAGACCCTTCGGCTGTGGGGGGATAAAGTAAGCTCTGACCCAAACTTCTTTTCGCATTAAAGGGATACCGACGGCATCGGTCGATCACCCCTGATCGACTTTTTGGAACGTTCTTTCAACCTGGAAAATCTTGTTTCGCAAGCCAGCGACCAATCAAACACTTAGTCATTATCTAAAATCATCACTGGCCCACCCACGCCCCGAAGAAATCGCGTCAATTCAATTCTATTCAAGCTCGCAGATTCTTTAGGCCCTTCCATTTGCTTCAAAAAGTTACTATTCAGCCACTGCCAAAAATTTTTGAAAGGAATTATTAATCATCGTTGAACGGGCTTTTCAGTAAAGATCTATAAAACGTGTCAATGATGGAGCTCGATCATTACCGGCGAGATGCACGTCCCCCTGCTGTTCCTGATATTGTCACTTGTCGTTGAAGGTATCATACGGTAACTTTGAAAAGATGCTATCTCAAGAGATCGAAAATTTAGGGTGCCGCTAACAAGGGTAGCTCGTCCGACTCGTCGGTATGCAAAGGCAGGGTTGGTCCCCGACGAGCCGTTGTATACCGAGAATCTGGTGAGTGCTTATCCGTAAAAGTGTATGAATTGAAAAATTCTTATCAAAATTGGTCACGGAATCTTCAAGCAGGGTGAGTTCGTGGTTTTTTTGTGGGCATTTCATGCAATTACCGCGTTCTCAGAAAGGGCAATTTGAGGCCGAAAACGTTTCTGTTTTTATCAAAAATTGGGCGTATTTTCGCAAAGAAATCAATGCCGATGTACTTTCCGCCAGTCAGCGTGTTACTGTTAGGCCACCAGTTTCGATCCCCGCACATTCGATCCATTTTGAGGTCCTGGACCCTTAGAAGATCGTAAGTACTTAAAACTGGGAGCGCGCGTTGCGTGTCGCGGTGGTCGAACAACCCCAATAATTCCCGGTATTACCTTTTCCCAGCAATCCTACTACGGGTTCATCGACATCGGCACGCCGCCGCAGAGATTCTACACCGACTTCGACACCGGCTCCAACCGGACGTGGCAGGCATGCAGCACGTGTACACAGGACAGTTGCGCCAAGCCGGAAATAGGGAAGGTGCGTGACAATGCTTACAATTTTTTACAATCGTTAAGTTCGACTGCTCGGCGTCATCCACGTGCAACAGGACGGACGTGGAATTTGGAATACAATACCATGACGGCGACTTGGTGCAGGGGCACTTGATTCACGACCATTTGTGTGTAGGTTGTAGTCAAATGGCTTTTGATTGCAATTGGTGTGTTGAATTGTCGCATTTACCACGTAAAAACTTTACGAAGCTAGCAAAAAAAACACAAAAATATATATTTTCGACCAAACGGCCTTTTTTCGACTAAAACTCGTCTTTTTGATGGGTTTTCAGTTAGTTTTTCGAGTGAAAACATAGTTTTATTTTATTAAAAGAATGATGAAGATACTTTCTATTAAGTTACTAGGCATTTTTAGGTTAATGCGAAAAACTAGTCCCCCCATTAATGCCACTGACCCCGTTTTCGAAGTATTGAAACCATCTCCAGATCGCCGGCTATCGCACAAAATCGCCGATAGCTATTGGATGCGCCGACCGAATGAAGGGAATGTGGGATCAGGTAAGCGTGCGCTGTAATTCTGATTTTTTTTTGGTTTTGAAGTCCTTAAAAACCAAATTCATTTTCAGAAAATGCCCGCAATCTTCGGCCTCGACATCCAGGGGATGCCCGAGTCGGCGTTGCACAGCATTTTCGAGGATAAAGTGAGCATGAGCAACTAAGAAAAGCCTGTATCCAGGAAAACTGCCCGGAGCCCATCTTTTCCTTCTACATGAACACCACGCTCGACAAGGATGGAAAAGGCGCCGGTGAGATCACGTTCTGCGAAGCGGATACCGAGCACTATGAGGTGATTCTCAAGCTGGACAGTAATATATATAAACAATTAATATAAATTAATCCTGCTTAAAATCGTATTTTTAGGGTGAAATCACATGGGTACCAGTCGATCCCTCCCAAAAAGACAGGGCTTGGATGGTGATGCCCGAGAAGTTCATGGCCAATGGCAAAGAGGTGGAATAGTTTTAAGTGGCTGTGGCTAGCCAAATTAAGTTCCCAGGAGAGCTGACGTACATCGACAGCGGCTCGACGATTATGTATGTGCCGGATGAGGTCCTGAAGAACGTGAGTTTTCCAGGATTGATACCATGATCCGATTAAGACAAAAAAAAAACGCTGTCTGGCCCGCTTGCCTTAAATTCGCATACCTCCACACATGTATATTTCTAGTTGGACCTACCTGCCGAGCCCTACCCGTGCGCCAACGCCACCGAATTGCCGGTGATCTCGATCTACCTGGGCGGTCGCGAAATCAAGATGACCGGGGCTGACTACAGTCGCGAGCTTTCGGTAAGGTTTTGGGGTAAGAGTTTACTTTACCCCCCCCCCCCCCCACAGCCGAAGGATCTCAAAGTTTTCGGTATTTTCGCTTATTTTGTCCGGATTTTTGCAGCGCCATTCGATAGAGCGTCGAAAAATATACTACTAGTTTCAATTTGAGCCTACAATAATGTAAAATAAAAAAGTTATAGCCAAAAACTTCCGGCTGGGCGGGGGGGGGGGGGGGTGAAGTAAACCGTAGCCGGTTTTGGTTTTTGGTAAAGCTGTGTTTACATGATTTTAATTTTAGTAACTTTGATTTTAATGGTGGCTAGCGGGACCACAATGTTGCGTCTGGTTATAAAACATTGAGTCAACTTCAATTCTGCAATTTTAACTTTAGACTTTACCGTTAATTTTACCTGAACTCTACAATTTTAGCTATACAGATTTTTCGTTTACAAGTTTAACTGCTTTTTCAGAGCTCCGGCACCTGCATCCTCGGCATCCAGGGCAGCCGCCAGAGCGGGATGCCCTGGTTCAGCCTCTTTGGGGACATCTTCATGCGGAAGATGTACACCGTGTTCGACTACGGCAACCGGCGCATCGGGTTCGCCGACTTGAAGACGCCCAAAAAGCCGGCATGTTCAACAACGACACCGCATTACTAGTTTGGAATCATATCATGTGTAATCGGCTTGGAATTGACGCAAAAATCAGACTTTTTATTGCACAAATCATAACGATAAAGACGACTGTTAAAATAAATAGAAAACGTGAAAATTCATTTAAACATTTAAAGCTTACCTTGGTATCCTTCGGTATCCCGTTGATGTCCTTTACTTGAAGATTACACCCAAAATTCGAAGACCCAGATCCTATTGCGCGCTTCTTTCGACCGACTTTACATGCCGCGGCACCACCTAAATCGATTTTTACCGGGAACCAGACGACGAAAATCGAAAAAAAAAACAATTTGAAGCCCGGAAGAGCCAAAATCTACCTCCTGGCGGTGGTGGAGGAGTAAAATCACGCCAAGGCTTCTTCGGTAGTGGTCCGATAATCGTTGGACCTACGCGAAAAATTGTAACGCACTAAGTTTCAGATACCTCGAATCCTTTTGGCCACTTTCTTTTTGGTTTCCGTCCTAAAATTATTTTTTCCAGCTGGCAACGGAAAGCCAAACTTTTTCTGGACCACCCCGGCGATCAGGGCATTGTTGGCCTCAATCTAAAAGCGAAGATATATCCTACCCTATAAGCGAGAAAAGTATGTCTGTTTTCTGTACGGCCGTTTTCTCGGCCGTCAGGCCGAATATCGAGCTGATTTTTGGCATGGGGGTGGGAAATGCCATTTATAAAAAACGGGTTTTTTGGATTTTTCGAAATTCTTTCATTTTACGATTTTACAAGCAAAAATGTGAAAAATCCTTAACAAGTTTGGGTGCGCATGTTGTCCGGAACTTTTCTCGGCCCCTAGAAGGAATTGAGACTTCATTTTTGGAGGGTAGATGGCAAAAGTAATTCCCCAGATACATTTTTTCGGATTTCGCCAAATTTTTTTAAAATAAATTTTTTATAAGGATTTTTCTGAAAGGTCCTTAATAAATTGCGTCTCGGTCCGCGGTGTCCGGGCCATAACTCGAGGACAGGACAGAAGAGGCCTTTCCCGCCGCCCCTACCCATGTGCCCCCTTGGTGTAGTGGATTAGCGCTTGGTCTACCAGGCGCAAGGTCGCGGGTTCGGATCCTAAGAGAATCTCTTGTTTTGCTTTTTGGTTGTTGGGTAACAAAGCATATTTCTAGGCTCACGGTGTGCGGGGGTTAGGCCTGGCCATCGCTATAGCGCCGCAGGCCAAAGAAAAGGCCCCTGGCTTGGGGTCTCGCGCCGCAGGCCAATGATAGGTGCTCGACCCGGGCTCTAGCGCCGCAGGCCAGATCCTGGAGGAAAACCAGTAACTAGCGCCGCAGGCTCAAAGATTCTAGCGCAACGCTGGCTCTGGCGCCTCATGCTAAAAAAAGATCTCCCCTTTGGTGTAGCGGATCAGGGCAGGGGCTGTGGCGTTGAGGGTCGCGGGTTCGGACCCGCGAGAAATTTAGGTTTTTGCTTTTTGGTAGTTCAGCAACTAAAGCCATTTCTAGGATGACCGCGTGCGCGATTTAGGCCTGACTCTCGCTCTAGCGCCGCAGGCCAATGACAGGTCTTTGATCTAGGCTCTTGCGCCGCAGGCCAAATCCGGGGAAAAACCAGTAACTAGCGCCGCAGGTAAAAAGATTCTAGCGCGAGGTTTAGGCCTGGCCTTCGCTCTAGCGCCCCAGGCCTAAGAAAAGGCCCTTGGTCCAGGCTCTCGCGCCGCAGGCCAAACAACAGATCCTTGGCTCGTGCTCTCGCGCCGCAAGCAAGCCTCGAGAAAAACCAGTAACGATTCTAGCGGCAAGCTGGCTCTCCTTGACTCAGGTTCAAGCGCGGCAGGCTAAAAAAGAAGGTATTCAAATTCATGGTTCCGGGACTGGGTCCAGTGGAAATGGCCGCGAAGCGGTCTTTTTGCACTGGTTTGGTATAACCGTGCTGTCTCAAAAGCGATTGCTCGCCGATTTTTTAAATGAGAAAACCACCTGTCGTGGTGTTAATTTCAGATGCGCGAGCCGTTGGTAGTTGACCGGCCGTCTCTGCTGCTCGGCCAACAGTCGTTCTTGGAATAATTCCCATTGGGCTGGCACCGGAAGTTCGGAAAGTATCCTTCCTGAAAGTTTCATCTATAAGGCAGCCGCTTTGCCGCTGCCAGCGGCTGGGCTTCGGGCTACCCCTTACGCTCCCTCCCCCGCGCCGAAACGCGCGCGACCTGGCTCGGGCTTCAAGCTGAAGCTCAAGGCATCTTTAAGCTAAAACCAACCAGCCTGCCCGCCCCCAATTCCGTCTGCTTGAGCACGAACTGAGGCTGGAGCCCGGACTCCTTCTAAAAAATGACAGATAAGGATCCACATTAAAAGACCCACGCCGCTCCAGGTTTTCCTTCAGAATTAGGGCATTTTGCTTGGGGTTGTTGTTAACTAAATGGACGCGGTTTATACAGCTAAAACCTAAAAAAGCCGAGAGTTCAAAACCACTTGCACGCAAATTGGCGGGGTCCCGGCTCTCTTCGAGGTGGAGCTAAAATGTTTTCGTTTTACGAAGGCGATTTATTGGCCTTTCCGAAGCCGTAAAAATTTTTTTAAGCGTGTTACGTTTGTATCCACGGTCCAGTAGCTCCTTGTAGTATTCGCTCGGTTTTTTCTGATGGATATCTGGAATTAGGAGTGGAAAAGCTTTTTTCTAAACAGGCTCAAGAGACAGTTGCTTGCGCTTGTCTTGCGAACACCTTTAGAAGAGCGATAAGGGTTTGTGACCCCCCACCCTCGTCATTTGGATGTCTTCCATCGGATCGGGCCCAAATGTTTACCATCAATGGGGACCCCCATAAAAGCTATGTGCAGCCGAATTTTCTAAGCCAAAATATTGTAAAACAAAAAATTATATCGAAATTCAGCATAATTTTCCCGATTTCACTAGGATTTTCACGGATTTGGACCTCGAAAGGTCTAGCAAAATGGAGAGAACACTTTTTTCCACCCCAAAAAAATGTCATGATTTACGAAAATGGCGCCTAACTTGGGGACTTTTCATCACCTTTTATTAAAATCGGCAGCAACCGACCCAAAAATGACAATCTTTCGGAAACTTACGCATAATCGGCATGCTACTAGCGAAAACATAGCCAAAAGTGAGTACCAGCGTTCCCAAAGATCAGTTTTTTAGTGATAATTTTTGTTTTTTTTTACAATGTTCTTTTATTTTTGTGTTTTTTTATTTTGCTTAGAAATCTCGGCTGCATCTAGTTTTTATGGGCCCTCATCGCTAGTAAAAATTTGGTCCCGCTCCGATAGAAGACGGCCAAATCCTGGGGGGATTGTTTTGGGACACCCTACAGTTTTGGAAAGGGGTGGCGCAGCGCATACCGTCTTTTCTTTACTACGCAACTTACCTCTCAGTCGCGGGAACGATGTTACAGCCTTCCCAGGAGGCGGACGACTAGGACGACCGCCAGAATTGCTGGGTCCTGGCTAAATTTCATTTTTTAGTAATTTTTTTAACGATAAATCAAAAATGAAACGACCTGCTGAATGCCAGAAGGCCCGGGTTGATCTGGATCCGGCTCGTATCGGGGCCGGGGACGATTTTGACGCTCTTGCTCGTGCTAAGGGTATTGAAAAACGTAGCGTAATGGCGGCTGGAAGCCTTACAATCTCGTGCTCGACGGGCTCTGCGAGGTAAGCGATATCTTCAGGGTAGACGTCACGTGGCGGCCAATAACCCTGAAATCGCAACTTTTGCTCGATCGGCTCCGGATCCCAGATTCCTAATTACCGGACAGTAAAAGTATACCCTTCGTCTCGGAGGTCGCTCCGGATCCGAATCCGACTCTTCACTGCTCAAGTATGGGCTCAACTGCACCGAGCTCAACGGGCCCGAGCTGCCCGGGCTAAACACGCGACGGCCACCTAGACTGGTTTAGAGAGATTAAACCAAATCTCAGCCATACCTACTTATCTCCAAATAAATCAAAAAAGGAGAAAGAAAGAGTAATAAACTTAATAAAATTTAAAACATATACATTAATACTTTCCTTCTAGTCGAAATAAATATACCCAATTCATATAAATCTATAGCGGTTCCCTACTGAGGAGTCCTTGCCGCTAATTTATGCTCGTCTAGGTTTAAAGGACGAAACGAGCTCCCCCATTAGTTTTATTCACACTAGCCTATGCAGACAAACCGACTTAACCGCAAGGTTAAGTTTCGTGGTTCCCCGGAACCACACCTCTCGCCTTTTAAGTTCATTTGTGAGCTTAATTGGTTCTCTGACTTGCCTCTCAACTTCGGTTGAAAGGTTCTGGGTCCTAGTGACCCTTTTCTCCAGGTTTACCTGGTTATACTCTATTACTCTCCTTCTTATCTAACTCTTTTTAGAGTTATACAAACTTCCTTATACTTTCTATTAGCGAGTCACACGAATTGGTTCTAAGGCTTCGGTAGCATGATAAACGGAAGCACTCGAAAACGAGAGGGTTCTAGCTTGCAGGCACGCACGACAAGTACTACCATGAATGTGCCATCCACCTACCAATACTGCCACCAGATTCCGAGTCGCTCCTCGCGGGTTCGGCTAAATAATAAACAACTTTCGAAAGAATTCTCACGGTCGACGTCATCTTCCCGACGAGGCGGAGACGTGCCGCGAGGGCTTGGATGTCGAATTGTGGCCACAACGGCAAACCCATAGAATAGCAAAAGCAAGAAGGTGTTCATACAGTTTTGCATGACTCGTCGAAAAAGTGGGAATGAGAAAACCGGGACAGAAGAAGGCGTGAAAAGTTGATGACGTCAAGCAAGTCTGGAATTAATGCGGCACATGGTTGGTTCAGAATTTTTCCCAATGTAATTAGGCAACGTATGGAAAATGTAGCTCTGGAAAAAGACTGGCTTTTTAAAGGCACCGGGAAGTCGAAGTGAGGCACCTTGACAGATGGAATTTTATGCATTTTTAGGCATATCCATAAAAACTAAATTAGCATAATTATAAAAACAAAAGAAATTTGTTTAGATGCTAGTCATTTTACTCGCCAATGGCCTCCCTTTCGGTATCCGCGAAGCGGTGAGGACTGAATATGCTAATGTTGTCGAATTTCTTGAAGATCTACTAAAAACCTGTTCTTACGCAAATTTAGTAAAATCGACAACGTTTTCCGCTATGGAGCCCTGGCGGCCGTGAGCTTCTTCACGTTGCTGGTGCTCTGGAAGTTGGGTAAGGCAATCCGACGGATTCTCAAAAATTCTTGTTGGGCATTTCCGCCGGTTATCCGGTTCGGAAACAATTTTATTTTATTAAGTTATTTTTAGTAATAGGCGTAGTGATAGCTAAGCCTCATTCCCCTCCATTTCAGGCTCCATTCGTCCCGAGCTTCCGGTTCAGCAGAGCTCGACGACGCTCGGAACTACGCCTGCAACGGAAGAAACGACGAATACGACGGCGGCTGTCCTGGAGACGACGACTGCAAGCAGTTCAGCGGCGCCGCCGACGGCATCTACTACTAACAGTTCGAGCACCGAATCGACCACCACGGCCGCAAAGTCAACTACAACGACTACGACAACACCAACTACAACTACCACCACGACAACACCAACTACAACTACCACCACGACAACACCAACTACAACTACCACCACGACAACTACAACGACGTCAACTACTACCACCACCACCACGCTGAAGTCGCTGGTCCCAGACGTTTGCACGACGAGGGGCTGTACTCGAACGGCCGCGCTTTTGGTAGGGGATCAGACAGGAAACCTGATATGCTCAACTTCAAGACGTTCAGCTAGTGAAAGTCTCATTACTAGGCCGTATATCCACATATTTCGATCGTTATTTTCAGATCAACTCCATCTCCAAGACGACGGACCCGTGCGACGACTTCTACGAGCACGCCTGTGGACGGTGGATCAGAGTATCGAATATTTGTTATATTGAAAGTTCTGCTTTTTTTCAGGAGCACCCAATCCCGCCCGATTTGGACCACTACGATCGGTACATCGAGCTGGACGACGCGCTGAAGCATCAATACATGAGTCAGCAATTTTGCGTTTCTCAGAATTCAACGAAATCCCAGACATTTTCAAGGAGGAGAGCTTCTACAGCAACCTGACCGAGTTGGACCGGACGGCGTTCAACGTCTACAAAATGTGCATGGAAACAGAGGCGAATCAGAGGTGGGTTGTGTTGTGTTAAAAAATTTAGATAAATTAAGTTAAAGACTAAATTAATCCAGTTAAACTACGGCCTTGAGTGCATGCGTGCCACATTAATCCATTGTAATGCCTTGATAGTCTCTTTAAATCAACTCTCCAGAAAATTTGGTACTGGACTGTTAGCGGGGGGGGGGGGTTTCGGCGGAAAAATATGTTTTTTTTGCTTGTTCACGGATACTTAATGGTCAATAATAAAAAACATGTTTTTATAACGTTCTCGTAGTTTTTAATTTTATAGTTTCAGTAATATTCCAAAATTTGCCTTTTTGGATATTTTTCCTACATTTGTGTGCCGTTTTTTATGAGTTTTGTAGATATAAAAGCTCCGTAAAATACTATAAAAATCGTTTCTTTTTATAGGCCCGGTGCAGGATTACTCGGAAAAATTATTATTGCCCCCCGCTTAAAAATCCGGTACCGAAACTACGTCAAATTCCAGGCCCCTCGATCAATGGCTCCGAAATAGTGGCGGATACCCGTTTCTAATCGATAAGCGCTACGGCGTACGCGATTCCCTGCAGAAGTTAATGGTTCGCTACGGGTTACAAGGCCCCATCCCGTTCTTCAACATCACCTACACGATTGAAGGGATGCCGAAGGAGGTCACGCCCGGACCGGCCACCGATCGCGTCATGGAGGCGGTAAATGGGCATTATACAATTTTTTAACGAAAGCCTTGTAAGGGCGTTTTTTAACAGATTGAACCATAGTTCCCATTGGTGACGATTTACAAACTATAAGAATTGTCGAAATCGACGTTTTTGATCGAAATTCTGCCATTTCTTTCCATCAGAATAATTCCCTTTAGCGTTTTTGTTCTTGGCAATAGTAAAAACAGATGTAGAAGCACTTCCTCTAGCGACATTAGAAAATTTAGGCACCAAAGCAAAGGATCAGCTTTCCAGATCGTCATCACACCCAACTTGGTCTGGCAGGACAACGAGGAGTCGGCCAAGCGCATCCCCCAAAAATGGATGAATGTGGGGGGCTGGAACACTGCAAGCTTTACAACCCAAGCCTCCAATAGGAAATTCCCCGCCTGTACATCGCGAAAAATCGAGCGTTGGACGTCGGCACGATGTGGAACAATTGGCTGCATATCCAGGAGGAGATACAAAAGGTTGTTAAATTTTTGGGTTCTTGAGGATTTCCGGGGGGAAGGATTTCGGGGGGGACCAAATTTTTTTCTAAATAGCGCATGCGTTTCTAAATGGTTTTGAACTATTCCTGAGCATAAAAACTACCCACATTTTAATTAAAAAATTTAATTTCGAATATTCGAAAAATCCTATAGAACCTTTAGGATTAGCGGGGGGGATAGACCCAAAATGACTAAATTTTCGACTTTTTCAAGCTTTTTTCTAACTTTTTTAAAAGGTTTTTCTACTTTAAATATAGTTAAAATTTACTAACAACAATGTGAAAACACTTTATATTTGATTACTAGGTCAACCGGGAAAACCAGGAAAAAATTTGGTTTCCCCCCCCTCCCCCCTCCCGGAAATCCTCAAGAACCAATTTTTGGGATATTTTATCGATTGGTCCGGGTTCAACCGCGGGGGTGCCGAGGGAAAGAGCGTGGCTTTCCCCTTCCCTCTATAGACCCTCCCCCCGTTAACGAACCAGAACCGATCGGCTTGGAAATGCTAATTCTAATTTTTTACATAACTTTTTCAGTGTTTTGCGGACCCAACGACCGTCACGATTCAAGCGGAAGGACTGAAAAGATGGGAGCGCCACGTAATTTGGTGTCGCATCAAAAAGCGTAAATTTTCAGTTTGATTTTGCTGCTTATTTCGCGGCGATCGGTGTGCAAATCGGGCCAAACACGACGATTTCGGTGGCGCAGGAAGCGTTTGATAAGGTGAAAAAGTTCCGAGACTTTGTTTTTAGCTACTTTAAATTGTATTCTTAATAAAAATTAGCTTTATCGACTTCAGAATAATTGGAATTTACCCAGTAAAATTGTGCAATTTTGGGAATTAAAATACGTTTTTGGAATCTTAAACGATAAAAACTGGCTTCATTTCAGATCAAAATTTTTGATTTTGAATTTTAATTTAAGTTTGTAAATTTGGAATTAGACAAATCATCGAAACCTTAAGTTTGCCGAACTGCTCGATGACGGCGCAAAATCTGAATTTGCCGGTGAGGCGCTGGTCTACATGATTTTCCTGGAGAACCAGCACGGAATGGTAGTGCGGCTGCTATGAGCCCTATTTCCATCGAAATAAACTCATTAATGCATCAACAGAGGCGGAGGTATGTGACGGAAGACACGATCCGAGAATGCCACCAGTTCGTCACCGAGGAGGCGATGCCGCTGTGGACCGTCAGCTTCTACCGACGTCACATCCTCCAGAACCCGGATTTCGACAACGAGAAGGTGCTTTACATGCGTCTTTGTAAAGGGACTTGGGCTACGGTTTACTATTTCTCTTCGATAAAGAATCAAAAAATATAGTAAGGGTTTTTATGGCAGCTCAAAAGATTGCAAGACACAATAGTTATAGCAAAAACAATTATAACCTTCAAAACCTTCCGGCTCTAGCCAGGATAGCGGTCAAGTAAACTCTGACCTATCCGTTCCCTTTCAGGCTATCGTCGAAAACATGCGCGCCGCCTTCAAGGAGACGCTCAACGAGGACGACTGGCTCGAGCCGGCTACCAGGGAGAAAATTTTGAGCATGGTAGAGCAAAAAAAAACCGGAAATTCAATTTTCTTCAGCTCGAAAAACTCGACTTTTACCTCGGCGTCTTCTACGAGGCCTACAGCGAGGAGAAGCTGATGGCACACTACAACAAGGTCACCTGAAATCTAAAAAAGTGAGAACATAAGGATTTTTTAGCGCCTCCCGATGGACGCGACCAACTTCTTCGACTGGAAGAGCAGGTTCTACCAGGATGTGGCCGGCAAGGAGTTGTTGGTAGGAAACTTGTGTCACTCTCCCTTTAAATACGATTTATTTAGTCCGACTCACGCTACAAGCTTCAACTAGCCGTTGACGCGTACAGCCGAAAGTTGTATGCATGTGGGCTTTTGTATGGTGAATCATGAAAATAGTCAAATTCTAGGGATCCCACTCGGCTACCTCGGGTTCCACAGCGACGACTACGCGCTCGAGTACCAATACGCGCAGCTGGGCTTTACGATTGGGCACGAGATGACACACACATTTGATACGAGTCGGTTTTGAGGGTTTTGGGATAGCGGGGGGGGGGGCATTGGTCGGCGATTCTAATTTTGAATTTTTTGCATATATTCAAAATATGTAATGGCTTTTTATCGTGTTTTCAGCATTTTTTGAGTGGCAAACGTTCCAAAAATGCTTAAAAATTTTAGGATTGTCAATTGACAGATCCATTATCCTAAAAACAGAGATAAATGATGTAGATATCGAATGGAAAGGCAACGGAACCGTGTTCACCGGCAACGACCGCGATGAGTTCGACGAGAAGACGCACTGCATCGTCGACCAGTTCAAGAATATCACGCATGCCGGCGAGTCAGGGGAGACAGTTACGGTAGCCGTATCACTATGCGTATAAAAAACCTTTTCATAGGAAGCTGGCGAAACCTCGATCCCGGAGACGATGTCGGACAACATGGCCGTCAGGACGTCGTTTAGGGTAGATTCTTAGCTTCCCTTTATTTTTTAATCTGGTTTAGGCCTTCCGAAAGGAGCTAAACCGTCGTTACGGCCGAGAGGGCGACGCCTTCCGCCTCCCCGGTCTCGAGCAGTACACCACTGACCAGCTGTTCTTCCTGTCGTTGGCTAATGTGGGCAAAATTTGAGCATTCTGCAGCTGACCTACCGTAACTTGTGAAGATCTTCATTTTTCCCGACCTTTTGCGGCTCCTACACCCCGGCCGGACTAGCTGAAGCCGCTCAGCAAATCCACCCGCCACACAAGAGCCGTATCAGCACGGTAGCTTAGCTTTTTCAAGGAGAGAGAGAGGAGGGAGAGAGAGAGAGAGAGAGAGAGAGAGAAAGAGAGAAAGAGAGAGAAATTCCAAAAGCTGAAATTTCAGGCGATGAAGAATTCGGCTGAGTTCGCCAAAGCCTTCAAGTGCAAGGTGAACTTCCCGGAATTTTTCAGCCAAAGATTTTTTTAGAAAAACGCACCGATGAACCCGGAGAAGAAGTGCCGTGTGTGGCGCTACAAGAAGCACTAGATTTCGGTGCATCTCATCGTCGTCGGCAAGAGCGATCTCGTTTTGCCGAGGACCACTCCAGATGCAATTCCATGCCTCCATACAAAACATATCCATTCCATTCTTTGTCTGCATGATACCTGTTTTCGGCGATAAATATATGTGCCTCGCGATTTTGGAGGTGAAAGAGAGAAAAAGAAAGAGAGAGCGAGAGAGAGATAGAGAGAGAGAGCCAAAAAGGGGGGAATTTTCGGGTCCGGGGAAGCGAAACAGAGTGGCGTTCCGCTGCAACTCCTTGAAGTCGGCGTTGCAGTGTCATAACATCTTTCAATTGTTCTTGCGCAAATAATCAGATGCAAACCACCAAACAACTCCCAAAAACGAAGTTTATCAGGACGGGGCCATGGCAAGAGCACAAAGAGAAAAATGGCTGCAGTATGGGGGGCGGGTATACGAGATGGGTTGGGGGTGTATTCCGATCATTCTGATGACGTGCCACCATCATCAGAAACAGGTGATCGCGGCGAGTCGTAGCATGTTGGGGCGGATAGATATCGTCTAGTAGACTGGGCCGTCGTCTACTGCTTTTTGTAGCGCCACACGCGGCACTTCTTCGCCGGGTTCATCGGCGAGTCTATCTGAAGAAGCAAATTTCGGTTTGAAAGCAACGTGATTTTGCTACCTTGCATTTGAAGGCGTTGGCAAACTCCTCCGAGTTCTTGATCGCCTGAAAAGGGGCGGTTTGTCTGTTTTTATAGTGATTTTCGACACATAAATCAAACCAATAAAAAGATCTAAACAATTTCCAGAGCATTTTTGGGAGTTTATTGCATAAAAACATCATTAGAGAAAAATTTGGCGCGAAAGATGTTTACTTTCTGCACTGAATGTTAGAAAAATGGGTACTGGACTCTTAGCGGAGGCAGGGGTTTGTTAGAAGAAGGTTTTTGTAAAATCTCTCAAAGTTTCTGTTATAAAAGTAGAGCAAAAACTAAAAATTGATTTTGATGAAATATAAAGTGTTTTCACATTGCTTTTAGCAAAATTTAAGCCTATTTGAATCGGAAAAACATTTTAAAAAATTAGTAAAACGCTTGAAAATGTCTAAAATTTGGTCATTTGTGGGCCGAAAAAAATTGATTTTTCGGCCTAAAATTAAATTTTTTAATTAAGTTTTATAAAGTTTTTATGTTTAGGAAGCTATAAACCATTTAGAAACACTTCCACTATTTATATAAAAAATATTGGCTTGGGCGGAAAAAATTTCGGTCTCCCCCGCCTAAAATTATAAATTATTAACAGGTAGGTTTAGGCAGAAAATTCAAAATTACACATACCCCGGTGATGCGGACCATATTCGGTGGGTGACTCAAATACTGGCGGGCCTCGAGCCCCTCCTGTGTGTACGAGCCACACCAAGGCTAGAATTTTAGGGCGTTAAGGGAGTCGGACTTCGGCCCACGTTCGCCATGGCGAGGTAGAAGATCTGGTCGGGGGTGTACTCGGCGAGTCCGGGCAGCGCGTACTTGTCGTGGTCGTTGGAACGGCGGGCTAGCTCTTTGCGGAACGCCTGAAAAAAGGTTAACTCGGACTCCAGAATCCGAATTTTACCCGGTAGGAGGCACGGAGGGCGAGGTTGTCGGACATAACCTCGTTGATCACGACGCTGCCGTTGAGCTGGAAAACGAAAGGTAGCCAAAGAAACAGAGAGAGAGAGAGAGAGAGAGAGAGAGAGAGAGAGAGAAGAGAGAGAGAAAGAAAGAGAGAAAGAGGGAGAGTGAGAGAGAGTGCGAGAGAGCGAGAGAGAGAGAGAGAGCGAGGGAGAGATAATGACGCTCCATACCTTGAGGGTCGCTCCATCAGCCTCAGCCACCGTATTCCCAAACTGATCGACGAGGCATTGGGCTTTCTCGTGGAATTCCCCCTTGTCGTTGCCGGTGAGCAGCTTCTCGTCAATGTCTAAAAAAAATTTTTGATTTGCTACCATAATCGAGACCCACAATTGGTATCAAAGGTGTGCGTGAACTCGTGGGCGAGGAAAAAGCCGAGGGTGGCGTACCGGAAGACGAACGGGTAGCTCTCCTCCTGGAAGCCGAGGAGCCCCAGATCGAGACCTGAACGGCGTGAAAATGTCCTCGAGGACGGCACTCACTCAAACGCTTGCCCTGGTCGTTGTAGGCGTTGACGCCCAGTTGGCAGGCCTTGGCCGAGTCGGCCTGGAAAGTTTGGGGATCCAGTTGCTGTTCCTTTGAACCCTACGCGCAGCTCCCTGCCCTTGGTTTCTTGGTAGTAGATGGCTTGCCACTCGAAGAACGTATAGTGCTCCCAGGGCATCGGAGGGAAGCGCTGGAAAATGAGTTGCTTTCCCTTGCTCTCCCTCTCTCCCTCTCTTTCTCCCTCCCCCCCTCTCTCTCTCTCTCTCTCTCTCTCTCCAACTACCCTACCTTCTTATAATGCGAGTAGACCTGCTCCTCGGTGTAGAGTTCGTAGGGGGCCCCGAGGTATACTTTCAGGGTGTCCACCTGAACGTTTTGAAGTTGAGTCAGCCCACTGGAGCGGACACCTTTTTCAAAAGTCCCTCCTTGCTGGCCGGCTCGACCCACTTGTTCTCTTGGATGACCTCCTTGAGGCTGACGCGGATGTTCTCGATGAGTTCCTAGGATCAACTCGAAAAAGTGAATATGTTAGAGAATACCCTCTCGTCGGCGAAGTCGCGGTCGTTGAGGATGTGGCGGCGGAAGAAGTCGGGGGTCCACAGCGGCATGGCCTGTTTCGTGATAAAATTGCGGCAATGCTCGTCGACGTCTTCGAACCGTGAGATCTGAAACGTTGTTTTTAGCAGGAGAAAGAGAGAGAGAGAGAGAGAGAGAGAGAGAGAGAGAGAGAGAAACAGAGAGAGGGCGACAGGGCGAGAGAAAGAGAGGGTGAGAGAGAGAGCGGCTCACTTCCCTTACCCCATCAAAGATCCTCGGCTGCAGCTTGTGGAACGTGTAGAGCACCTGCACCTCGCGCGCAATCTGGCTCTTCTCCGGGTCGTCCATCATCACGAAGAACTATTTTTTTCATCATTTTGATGGCCTGCTAACGGACGATCTAGGGCCCCTTCTCTACCTTGTCCAAAGCCTTGAAATTCGCCTCCAGCGTCGTGGTATCGTCAACCCTCATGCCGAGCGATTTGAAGTACTCGAGGAAGTCGATCTTAACGTCTTCAGCTTAGATTATTTATTTTTTGGTTTACATGGTGGGCCCATTTCTTCAGAGGTTCCATGCTACTGAAGTTTTGTTGCGTGGGGTCGGCGAAAATCTAGAATCACGCGTCAACCTTTGAAGTCGTTTCGGCAAGTAACCTGGCTCAGCTCGGCCCTGAACCGCTCGAACTTGAGGGCCATGTCGGACGGGTCGACGGTTTGGCCAATCTCCTTGGCGAGGATTGGGATGTCCTAAAAATGGAAAATTAACACGCTGCTGATCATGAGTTACCTCCTTGAAGATCTTCGGCAGTTGCTCGATGACCTTGTCGGTTCCAAAGGCGGATGGGGCGATATTGATCTAAACGAGAATTTGGAGACGTTCAACCAGCGCCGGAGTAAAAAAAATGAAAGAAAAAGGGTTCTTTCGCAATATTCGGGGCACCCAACTTTTCTGCGAGTCCAGAAAGCGCCTCTCCCCCGGATAACGCAAAAGCTCCACCAAAAGGAACCATGTAAAACCCTCACCGCGTCGATGTGGCGATCGTTGATGGGGCGCTCGTACCAGTAGTCGTCCACCTTGTACTTGATGGTGAAGTAGGTCCATGGGGCGGCTAGCCCGAGCATTTCCATCAACTTCTGCATGGTCGGGCGCTGGGTGTCTGGGCTGAAGGGGAGGCCGCCGAGGGCCTCGAACCATCCATGGATGACTCTAGGAACCCCGGGATCATGGGCACAAGACGATGTTATGGATTTCGGAGCTTTTGCGTTATCGGGGAGTTGCTTTTCTTTAGATACGTTGTTGTTAAGCTTAGGAAAACCACTAATTCTACAGTTTTTGACTAACCTTCGCATAAAAGAACGTTTTCCCCCTTCAAGTATAGCTAAATTTCTTAACATATAAAAATGCTTTCTATCACCTTACTCGGCAGAAAAAACGTTGGAAAAAGAAGCAGAAAAAGCAGACAAACGTTGCTCCCATACCCACTTGGTGTTATCCCGCTCGGCGTAGATGCACAGCTTGTGGAGGTCGAGCGCCATCCGGTCGCTTCGGGTTACAGAAGACCAATTGCGGCCGCTTTTGAAGAATTCTGAAAGTTAGCGCAATAATGCAAAGCTTTGGAGTTCCGCACCCTTCAACTCGTGCTGCTGCTGATCCCCCAACTTGGCGAACCGGTCCCACGCAGACTTGCCGAATGGGATTGGGTTTTCCTAAAAATCGTTTTGGCTCGATGCTTTAATGGGAGGGTTGCCTTGATCCAGCGGTCGCACGAGTGCCCGTAGAAGTCGTCGCACGGCGCGTGCAGGTCGTTGATGGCGTTGATCTTAAAGCTGATCGGTTCTGGTGTATTAGCGGCGGGGGGGGGGGTATTAGGAGTGTTTCTAACCGTTTTGCTTGTTTTCAGAATTACAGAGTCCTCCTATTATCATCCTATGGTCACACGCAAGCTCTATTAGCACATCTTCAAGCAGTTCACCCTACCAGCTGCCCGGCCGCCTTGGTGCACCCCTCCGACACGCAGTAGCCGAGCGGCTTCGGCGGTTCCGAGGCGCCAGATGGCGACGGTGGTGGCTTGGGCGGGTTGGTGGTGCTCGGTGGAGGAGGAGGAGGAGGAGGCGTAGAGGTCGTTGTCGGCTTGGTGGTCGACTCGGTGGTGGTCGTCTCCCTAGTCGTGGTTTCGGACGTCGTCTCGGTCGTGGTGGACTGGGTGGTCGACTCGGTGGTCGACTCGGTAGTCGACTCGGTGGTGGATGACGTCGTTGGCTTCGAAGGGAAGGGTGGGAGCAGGGTCGACGGGAACTCGTCGGGGAGCTCGGGTAGCCTGGCGCCTGAATTGAAAGAATAAGTCTTTCCGGTTCAAAACCTTGGCTGGACCAGACTTAAATGCGATTTAAGCCCAAAAACGTCCCGTTACATACCTTTGTCGAGCACCAAAAACCCGAGCCAGGTGATCAGGAAGAGGGCGATGAAGCCGAGCAGCTCACCGGATTGGGGTCGCATTCTGAAATGGCAAATGAAAAAATGAGCAATTTTTCAAGCTTACCGAGTGTTGGGGCGCCGGGTGAAAAGAATGCCTCAATTTTGCTGCCCTTCGGAAAATCATTTTTCGTAGTTTTTGGGAATTATGCAAATTTCCAACACAAATCCGATTTTGAGTCGTGTAAGACGTTAGAATTCTAAATATGCATCTACCATAATCATTTTTTGCAAAGATTTTTCACTCCACTTGAATTTCTCTTCTCTTGCAGTTCCTTTCTCTTCCTACGTTTTTCGATGGTCTCCGAAAAGTCGGTTTAAATTCCTGTGCACATGCAAATTTTTTCAGGGCCGTTTCCCGGTGCCAAACATGGGCCTGGGTGGTGGCGGCGTTGACTTGCGCGACGGTCTGCGTACTGTTCATAGGTAGGAAGCGTTTTATCCTACTATACAGGGTGTCCCAAAAAAAAAGACCCCCCCCAAAAATTTGAGCCAGAGGGCACCTAGAGAGCTGAAAATTTGCACAGAGGTAGCGAAGGCAATTTTCTATGAACAAGGAAAGTTTCAGCCCGATCGGCCAGCGGGTTTTAAAGTTATAGCGAACATACTTTTCATTTTTAATTTAATATGGGGATCTTTGCAATTTGCATCAAAGATATGCGTTATTCTTGCATTTACGAGCCGATTTTGCATAAATTTCGCTGAAAAGTGCCATTTTCTTGATGGAGCTTTTGGAAAACGATTGCTCATGTAGCGAGAAAATGATCAGCAAGAACGATGAATACCAGACCTCATGGCGGAAACTATCGTTGAACGCTTGAGCCTGGCTTAAACTTCAGCGTACGTGCCAACATAAGCCCAAATCTAAACTTCAACACTGTTTTCGAGCTCGTCGAACTCTGTTTTCGGGCCGACGAAGCTCAAATTGCCAAAATGGACAATAACAAGTGATTTGGATCGATAAAACAGTTGTTTTAACACTCTTTTTATTCTTCGTACGCAATCGTTTTCCAAAAGCTCCATCAAGAAACTGGAATTTTTCAGCGGAATTTATGCAAAATCGGCTCGTAAATGCAAGAATAACGCATATCTTTGATGCAAATTGCAAAGATCCCCATATTAAATTCAAAATGAAACGTATTTTCGCTATAACTTTAAAACCCGCTGGCCAATCGGGCTGAAACTTTCCTTGTTCATAGAAAATTGCCTTCGCTACCTCTGTGCAAATTTTCAGCTCTCTAGGTGCCCTCTGGCTCAAATTTTTGGGGGGGTCTTTTTTTTTGGGACACCCTGTATATAAAAAAAAGTGTTTGTGTGTGTGTGTGTATATTTGCATGCAACTTCCGTGAGTATGTACCGCACCTACAGCCTCAGGGGAAGGTTTTTAAGGGTCGTATGATACGTCATTAGGTGCGAATGGCGCCGAGATGAGTGCACACACATAAAAGTTTGAAAAAATTATTGTTTTCGCTATTAAAATTGAGTTTTTGTAAAGATATCGAGAAACCTCTTTGTTAGGAGGCAATTTGAATGCGCCGGAAGTGGGGTAAGCCTATATAAGGGCGCAGAAGGGGTTCTTTTGATTTTTTTTACGATCAAGGTCCTGGAAGAATATGCATATTTTTGACTACCATGTGCTTTAGACGGGGCCAGGGTTGAAAAGCCGCGAAGCGGTTTTTCAACCCTGGTTCAGCTGAATTTCGCTTTAGTCATCACGCTTATGTTGCTGGCTACGGATCCGGTAGGCAAGGATCCGCTAGACAACTCGGGCACCTCGGAGGTGGGTCTTGAATAAGCCAACGAGCCGCTGCATGCAACACGTGCGTATCACGCTGCTTGTCGCGTTGCGTGTCGCGTGGCATGTCGCGTTCCGCGCCATTTAGGTTTTGACCTCAAAGTTTCAGGACGTCGCCATCGACCCGTACCCGCCGCTGCCGCCCCGCCCAGCCGACATGTGCCTGACCGCTGGGTGCACCAAGAGTGCTGGACTTTTGGTCGTCAAAACCTCTCAATTTTACAAGAGTTTTCAGCTCTCTGCCATGGATTATACGGCGAATCCGTGCGCCGACTTCTACCAGTACGCCTGCGGAGGGTGGATCAAGGTCCGCGAGGTTCCTATGGAAACTAAACTTCAGCACTTTTAGGGCCACCCGTTGCGGTTCAAGGCACTGCAGCTTACTCGGCTGCAAGCTGCCATACAGGAGCAAGAGAATCAGTTGAGAGGTAGAGAGAGAGAGAGAGAGAGAGAGAGAGAGAGAGAGAGAGAGAGAGAGAGAGAGAGGGGGGGGCGTGAGAGTGCTTTAAAGGATCGTGGTCAATATGATGATGTAGCTTATGAAAGAGTAGGGATAAAGCGAGAGAGGGAGAGAGAGAGCAAGAGAGAGGGAGAGTGAGAGGGAGAGCGATAGAGAGCGAGAAAGACAGAGAGAGAGAGAGAGAGAGAGAGAGAGAGAGAGAGAGAGAGAGAGGGAGAGGAGTCCGCTTTTTTCCAGTGTTCTTCCACCACGGCTCGATATGGAAAGGGATAACAGCTTCGGACCGACTAGCGCTCGACCTCTACAAGCTCTGCATGCACCAATACAAGGACGGCACAGGGTACGTCTTCTCGCTTACCATTTCGCAATTTCCTTCAAAGCTGGACTTTGTAATTTTCCAGGCCCGTCCTGGAGTGGTTGAAGAAGTGGGGCGGGGGGCAGCCCCCGTTTAGCGGCCCAGAAGCGAAGTGGAAGGACTGGAAAGCCCTGCTGTTCAACCGCGGACTACAGGGTCCTGCACTGCTCTTCGACATGAGCTACCACATCTCCGGGCTGCCGCGCTCGCTTCAATATCCCGCCAACGATCGGGAAATTCTAGGGGTGAGCTAGCTTAGGTAGTTAGTTTTGAAAGTTGAGGTCAGAAAGACAGAAAGGAAAAGAAAGAGAATGACCGTGAGAGAAACGGGCTAAACTAAACGGAAAAAGCGAGTGAAAACCTGAGCCGGAAAAAACCAAGAGAGACGGCGGGAGAGAGAGTCAGAGAGAGCGAAAGAGTGAGCGAGAGTCAGAGAGAGATAGAGAGCGAGAATCATAACCCAACACTTCGATTATCGACATTTTTAGTTTAACATCACGCTTACCAAGCGCTGGTCCGACATCCCAAAGCTCGAGCAGCTGTTTGATCAGGTGATTTTCGGTTACACTTTATTATTTTTTAGAACATGCCCCACCTGGTCCCCGGCCTCAAGCCTGCAAAAGAAGAGCCAAAATGGAAGCCCTTCCTGGAATTCCTCACCGAGTTCAACAAGGTCAGCACGGGGTACTTCTGTCAAAATTCGTGCTTCAGATCAGCAGCGTTGGCAAGGAGATGAGCGTCGATGCGTTTAAGGCGGGCAGTGTCAAGGCGGTATGCTACTGACGGCAGTACACCTGATCCAGTTCCGTTTAGCAGCTCGATTTCGTCGGCTACCACGAGCTGTTGAAGCTGAACGTGGCCAGCGGTGCCAAAATTTGGTTCCCAGAGGGAGACATAGAAAAGGTATCGAAATCATCCGTCTAGGGGTAGATTGATTTTTAGGGTTTCATAATTGAATATTTTTTTAGTTCAACCAGCTCGTCGCAAAAACACCAGCCATCGCGGATCACCTGGTCTTTCTCGCGCTGGTGATGGACTTGGAAGGAAGCATGTTTGAGGTGATCATTCTCTCTCACTCTCTCTCTCTCTCTCTCTCTCTCTCTCTCTCTCTCTCTCCCTCTCTCTCTCTCTCTCTCTCCCCCTCTCTCTCTCTCTCTCTCTCTCTCTCTCTCTCTCTCTCTCTCTCACCGCAGCTCTTTCAGGAACCTCCCTACAAACAGGCGCATGGACAATGCCACGATTTTGTTGTGAATCGCCTCAGCCTGTGGACCACCAGCTTCTTCCAGCGACACGTGCTTCAGAAAGACGGTTTCGCAGCGGAAATTGTGAATTTTCAAAGCGTTTTATTCACTGAGTTTCAGAAAATGAACCTTTTTTGCAGCAAATCTTCGAGCATGTCCGTAAAGCCTTCAAGGAGCTCGTTGATGAGCAGGAGAAATATTCCGGAACGTTCACGAAAGAAATTCTCCTAAAGAAGGTATGGCTGAGTAGGGATTCGATCGCTTGTTGCAGCTCGACAAGATCAAGATCTTCTTCGGCGCGTACGACCCGTGGGCTGAGGACCGGCTGATGACACATTATAAGAAGGTTTCTTTATTGTGGAGGCAAACATGTTGTTGCTCAGCGCCTCCCCAACGACGCGAAGACGTTCTTCGAATGGAAAACACGGTTTTACGAGGATATCAAGGATAAGGATCTGCCGGTAAGCGACAGGGAGATGCGTGAAAGGGCTGCTAAAAGTTACTTGCTGTCGAAAAAGAACTTTTTTTCAGGCCGATCGCCTCATCCCTCTCGAGTCGCAGGATACAACACATAACAACGAATTTGGGTTGGGTAAGTTGCAATATGTAATTAGTTGCGGTCTGTTAACATCTCTCGCTCTCTATCTCTCTCGCTCTCTCTCTCTCTCTCTCTCTCTCTCTCTCTCTTGCCCTTTCACGCTCTGCGATTCATTTTCTCGCTCTTGCGGTAGCTCTCTTCTCTCTCTCTCTCTCTCTCTCTCTCTCTCTCGCTCTCACTCACGCTCTCCCTCTCTCGCTCTTACTTTCTCTCTATTGACGGTAGGATTAAAAATTTCAAACTCAACTGCAGCTCCGAATGCAAAGTTTAAACTCTTAAAAGACTCAACCTTCTAGTGCTCACTCTCCCCAAGATGGCCCTCCACGACCCGAGCCTCCCACTCGAGCACCTCGCCGGCTCGTTGGGTTGGAAATTGGCCGATGGATTCTACGAGACATTCAAAAGTGGTGGGTCCTCGACACCACGTTAAACAACAAACTGATGAAAGTGACGTCGTTTTCACGGGTTTTTCCAGTCATCGGCGACTTCACTCTACCCGGCGAGCTGGACCCGGTGGCTCGGATTGTTTATCGTGTAGGCTTTCGAAGATTTTGCGAAAACTTTGCGGAAAACATGATAACAACTTTGATTTTTCAGGCCTATGTGAACGCGCGGAACGTGTCGCAGAGCCCCACGCTGCCCCTGCCGGGGCTATATGGGCACAACCTGGATCAGCTTCTATTTCTCAACGCCGTTCAGGTGGGTTTTCCGGAATGATTTTTCATCTTTCATTTTCTCTCGCACGTGCTCCCACTCTCTCTCTCTCTCTCTCTCTCTCTCTCGTCTCATTCTCTCAGAAAACCTCGAAATTTTCAGCCATATTGCGCTAGCTACAGTGATGAGGGCAGGAAGAAAGCAGCCGAAAGAAATACCCAGCTTTACGACGACTATTTCAACAAGGTACAATACCTAGATCTTCTTCTAACCTTTGTCATTTCAGGCCTTGAAATTCTTTGAGCCCTTCCAGACGGCCTACAAGTGCCAGGTAAAACCTCACGAGCCTTCCAAAACATTTGCATTTTTCAGTGATACTCGCCGGACTCGCCGAAGGACCAGTTGTGACTCGATCCCCGCTCGCCAATGACGTACTAATCAATCCTTTCTTTTCATCAGATTCCTTTCTCGACAATTGTTTTGTATCGATCTTTATTCGTGTTTTTGTTTGTATAAATGGAACTGATTCTTGGAGCGATAAACGTATTTTCTACTTCTTCGATTTCTTTTTCCTGGATTTGCATTTGAAGATTTTTTCAGAAATTCAAAAGACACGAAATCGATTTTGGAAAATACCCGAACTGACATTTTTTACTGATATTTAAGTGAGGGTTTTACACCGTAGCAGAAAAATTATCCGAATGTAACCCGAGTGATGAAGAGAGAGAGACATCTAGAGCGCAAGAGAGAGCGCGAGAGAGATAAGTAGAGTGAGAGAGAGAGTGCGAGAGAAATAGCGAGGATGAGAGAGAGAGAAAGTGAAGGAGTGGCTAGAATTTGTTAACATACGATGGTTTACATAATTCCTCGGCAAGAGCTTTTTGTTATCATCCCTCCAACTACTACCAGCATATGGCGCCCGCCGCCAGTTCGACGACTCGGTAATTTTTGTAGATTTTCGGCCTTTCTAGGCATCAGAATATTAACGGAATCTAAGGCGGAAATGCCTTGAATTCAGGGTCGTCGACCACGTGTTCCGCTTCGGCGCGCTCGCCTACGTGACGATCTTCACTGTGCTCGTCTTTTGGAAGTTGGGTAAGCTTCGCTAGGGCCCGCCCGTGTGTCTATTAGTGCATCGATCACCAGCTTTTCAACATTTTCAGCTTCTACTTCCGTTACCTTGCCGCACAAAAGCGTCCCCACTACCGTATCCACGGAGCCGGAATCGACGTCAGCGACTCGTAATTTCTGAGTCATTAAGCAAACCAATTTTTGTTAAGATACTGTTCCGGCCTTCCCTACGAACTCTACGATCCCTGCGCCTTCTACGACGTCGCCAAGCAGTTCGCCCACGCCACCCTCGCCTTCGTCGATCGGTAGCTGACTAATTGCCACGATAAACGAACTGCGATTTTTCAGCTCCAATGAATACGACAGCGCCACCTACCACAACTTCAACCAGTACGACGACGACCTCGGCTACTAAGGTCGGGTTTGTTAGCTTGGCTTAGAACTTGGGCTTAGGCTTTATACTTAGGTTTAGGCTTGGGTTTAGATGTAGTCGTAGGCTTAGGATCGCGCTTGGGCTTAGGCTCCCAAATATGCTTAGGCTCCAATCAAAATTGAAAACTTCGATTTAGACAACCGCATCCAGCATACCCGCCCCAAACTCTACGGCCATTCCGCCGAGCGCAACGACTACAACTACGGAAAAGACGACCACCATGGAGACGACCACCAAGGAGACGACCACTAAGAAGACGACCACTAAGAAGACGACCACTAAGAAGGCGACCACCAAGCAGACCACCACAACCGCCACCACCAAAAAGCCCGCCCAATTAAACGATACTCGGCTCGAAGACGATCGCTTCCGCCTCAAAGAGGTGATGAACAACCGATGGATCCCCTCCATCTGAAAGATTAGCCCCGATTTTGTGTGAATCTCCTTGTCTCCGCTAATTCGATGGTCCCGCCCTGTTTTTTGCATGTGTTCGTGTGGTGAATAAAGTTTTGAATGAGCGGACCATGGTCTTGTTTACACTCTAAGATCGCAAAAGCTCAAATTCACGTTTTCGTCAGGATGCGTTGGGTTGTTAGTAAACAACCTGTTCCTAAATTCCATTCAACGGAGATTTACAGGCACCAAAAAGGTACCGTTTTAGGCGATTTTACGAAATTTGAAACTCCATAACTTTTGTCTCGGTTTTGTTTAAGTTTTTGTGTGGAAAGCGGGACTTTTGCTATACTTTATTGCAAAACAAAAAGGCGGGAGGGCGAGAGATAGTGAGAGGGAGCGCGAGAGTGAGAGAGAGCGAGAGAAAGGGAGGGAGAGAGAGCAAGCGATGTCACGGCCCGTTTAACCGGGGGAGTATTCGGCGGGGTTAAACCTAAGACTGACGGTATTTCGAAGCACGACTCGACTTACGATAAGCAGTTTTTCCCCTCGATCGATTCCCCCCGAGCCTTCGCTCCGTGGCAGTCAACAAGGTCCGAGGAAACAGCGAGTATCACTAAAACCGCCATCAGACAGGGCGTCCCAAAAAAACGGTCCCCTTGGTCTTTCGTCGTACCACAGCCGATCTGTCCCCAAATTCGGGCAGAGGTGTACCAGACCCTAAATAACAACAGCCGTGACCTATGGGCCGATTGCTAGAACGGTTCTCCGGTCATAGTAAAAATAAAATTTATTTTACCTTTTTCGGTGGGTTTCGGTGGCGATCGACCTTATATATAGCTATTAAGTAAATGATGTGAAAAGCTTTTTTAACCCAAGAACTTTTTGCCCGCAAAAATCAATCAAATAAACGCTGATTTCAATAATTTTTCCAGCGCAACGTCATCCCCGATATGAAGCGGAATTTGGAATTTACAGCCGAAAATTACGGCAAATCGATGCAAAGTGATTTGCTTGAGAATACCATGAAGCACAGTATTTGCGCTGTAACTCGTAAACTACTGGAGCGATCGGGCTATAGGCTAGGAATGGTTTTATTTAGGATCTGATACACCTTTGTTTTAATTTTTGGACCGATCCGATGTACTACGGCGAAATGCCGGGGGTGTCGCTTTTTTTAGACACCCTGTTAAAGGTTTTTGGGCGTAACTGACACGATTTGGTAACAAAAATTGATTTTACCCCCTGCCAGTAAGAATAGGAGGATGATAACCATTGACGAGACAAGGACCAGGTCCCCTTTGTCGCATTTGAATTTTTCCTTGACATTGGAGACGGCGCCCGTCACCAACGGTTCCAACAGCTCGGTTCTAGCATGTACCGGAGCTGCGTCTGAAGCAAGTTTTAAAATTTTGTATTTAACTCAAGTGCTGGGTGCCTCAAAAAACTACACCCCTCTAGCGGTCCAGAGAAACCTTAGATCGGGATGATTTCTATACAGTTCGAAAGCTCTCGAAAAGGCGTGAAAACAAACAGAGTCAATTGATTAAAATATATTCTCGTTCGATTGATAATCAACATTTTTCGAAAAAGGTCATTTTTCAATAGGAATCGCGCAATTAGCATTTAAATCTCGCATAAATCCGCAGTTTTCATGGCTTTTGAACGTAAAATTCACGGATAAAAATGCAAAAGCGGGTTAGTTACCCGGCTTTATTTTCGTGATTTCAGTAGTTACCTAAATCACGAAAATCGGACACGAATCCGCGCCGCAAGAGGGATTTTTTGGGTTTAGTTTCCCAACATATAGCGTGAAATTCCCCATTGAATGCTGTATGGCCGGATTCAATCAGTGATTTTTGGTGGGGAAAATAAAGAATTGCATAAAAAAATAATAAATCATTGATAAACCCTTCACAAACGTTGGTTTGTTGTTTGAAAAATCCAGCTAACTGGTTGATTGCTAAAATTTACGCGAATATTTTGGCAAAAATCATATCTATCCCGGTTCTTAATCCGTTAAGGGATGGAAAAGCGGATACTTGTGTCCATTTGCAAAACATCTATGTTTTATATTTTATATAAAAGGGACCCAGACCAACCTCCATCCCCGATTGTGATCGCGCTATTTTCGGACTTTGAGGTACAACGTGGCATTAGAGGAATATTTTTGCAACTGAAGAATAGCTCTTGTTAAATAAGGGGACTGAGATGCGACCAGATACCAACAACGACCAGACGGGCCTCGTGCTCATTTCGCTGGGGCTCAGGAAAAAGCGCAGTCCATCATTGGCAAATCGGTGTTGCCATATGTTAGGAGCTGGCGCGTTTCGATTATGTTTGAGAAATATAGCCTGGATGGGAAGAGTCGGTGCTCTTTGGCCCTTGATTTTCCTCCGGGAGAGCCATTAAAGGGACCCGCAAAGCATGGCTATGGATATTCTGGAGGTCGAAAGGCGCCACGACACGCATCGCAACAAGCTGAAGCGTGGTTGATGCGTCGCCTATCGCGGAAATCATCGGAATTCCTTGATCAACCAAGATGGCGAAATTAAAGTATCTTTAACCTGGAATATGCAATTTCGGACCCAATTTTTTATTGATTTTAGTGTAATTTGTTTTTTTTTGTATTTCGATGAGCTTCAAAAATTTTATTACACCCTGAGGGATGGGCGGAGCGAAAGACAGTGGGCAAATACAACTTGTACGTCGTAAATACATGAAAAAGCTAAATTAGCAAGATTATTGATTTTCAAATCATCAATTTCCCGTCCGATCTTACACTTAGAATCTAAATCAATCGATTTTTGCACAAAAAAGTGATTCGCTACCTCAACATCCCCCTGAATCGCGAAGTGTGTGCTGCTTTTTAGCTCACGATTCTCCTCATAGGTGGCGAATTCGAAATTGTTGATGAAGATTTTCAGTTTTCCTTTTTCTGGCTTCATCGTCAGATCAAAGCTGAAACGGCAGGACTTGTCATTAATGCTTGGAACAGCCGACTCAAGCCAGTCTAAAGACGTACACTCGCCAATCATCAATCGGCATAAATTCCGCTCGATCTTCTAATCTCCAGCTGCCCGATGAGAATGTATTTAATACTACGGCCTTTTCTGAGAAGCGAAATGATATCTGAAAGCTTTAATTTTGTTGTAAATTGCTGTATACTGTAAAGGTCGGTTTGTAACTTTCCGGCAGCTGATTCGGCGATCCGTTGTAATACAGTATATCGATACGACTGGCTATAAAAATATGGGTATGGTCATCAAGAATGCGCGAGAGCGAGAGAGATAGAGAGAGGGTGTGTAAGAGAGATAGCGATAGAGAGAGGGTGAAAGAGGGAGAGCGAGATAAAGCGAGTGAGAGTGATAGAAAGCCAATGAAGTGAGAGAAAGACAATGGTCGAGAGTGAGATGGAACGCGCAAGTGAGAGAAAGACCGATGTACAGAGCGAGAGAGAGAGAGGGAGAGAGAGAGAGAAAATCACTTACGTTTTGGAATCTTCGTCTCATCTAACAGAAAATTTGGGTCCAAATTATTTCCATGAGCATCACTTCTGGTATACACCATTCCACCGCCATACACATTACGGTAGGAATAGGACGCCGGGACAAAGAACAAAGCTCTGGCTTGGTTGGTGCGGTGCGCAGAACTTCCGTAGTAATATCCTAAAAAGCATAATTTTCGTGGTTTGGTTCATGAGCTTGTGGAAAAGCCTATGGTTTAAGCTTACCTCCATAGCTCGGAGAATAAACGTAGGTCCCATACTTGCTGGACCCCGTCGAGCCACCCACGAATTTGCCATTGCGGATTGACGATCGAATTGAGGAAATAGATGACGTACGGGAGGATGAGCGACCAGATCCAGTAAAAGACGACCTTCCGAAACCTCCACCAGTTGAACTCCCTGAACCCGAGAGGTAATACCAAGTAATAAAACTAGCCTCGAGATGCGCCACGAGCTGCACTGCCTCCGCGTCCGCCACCCATTCCTCCTTTTCTTTTGACGCGCAGGGTTGGAGCTTCAAGAAATGAGAGTTTAATTTAAGGCTTTATAGTGCTCACTTTGCTGGCCTTCGATCAGCGAATCCCATATCGCGGGGGCAACTAAATTAGATCGGTTGAACTAAGGATCGATTGAGAGAAAGAGAGCGAGAGAGGCAGAGAGAGAGAGAAAGAGAGAGAGAGAGAGAGAGAGAGAGAGAGAGAGAGAAGGAGCAAGAGAGGGACTGATAGAGAGAGCAAGGGGTAGTGAGCGAGAATGAGAGAGAGAGCGAAAGAGAGAAGCGTAAAGACGACGGCGAGATCGAGAATGAGAGAGATGGAGAGCGAGAGAGCAAAAGAGTGAGTGAGAGCAAGAGGGTGAGAGGGAGCGAGAGAGAGAGAGTAAACCAACCCGTTGCTACTGGCTTCAGCGCCATATCCAACCTCCCGCTATAATTGAAGGGCCTCAAAAACGGCATTGAATAATCGTCACCATCCAATTCTAGCAAAGAGGGATCCACCAAGTCACCCGTCAACCTTACACAGGTCGCCTACATTTTTAGATCATAAAATAGTTCATCAAAAACTACCGCGTGCACTTCCGGCAATTTCTCGAAAATCCCGACTTCCCCGCGTTCGGCAAATATTTGAATGTAATCGGCGAGGAATCGAATTCGGAGATCGATTTTTGGCAAATCTTTGTTGGTCTCGATAATCTGACACTTTTGCTCGTTAGCAACTCGATAAGTTAAATTACCGGAAATGGATTTGGCGCCTCATTATAAAGCACCCGCTGACCCGCTCGATAAGCTTCATAAATAATTTTCGAATCTAGAATGAGAGCTTGGAAATTTCGAGATCTTTCTGTTCTACCATCACCAAATAATGCACAAACGCTACACGACACGTTATTTGAATCATTACAATCCTTGGAAAGCGAAACGCAAAATCTAAATATCTCACATGTATTTATTGTCTCCAATTTCTCACCGATTTGCCGTGTAATTCAAGCGCACGACGACATGAAGGTATTGGCCAATCCTTGGAGGTATTGATAAACTCTTTCTGATGCCAAGATTGGGATTGGTATATTCCTGATATTAAAGTTGAGGCTAAAAATTATATTTTAGAACTTACTAGTGGAGCCTCGTCCCAAAATTGGATTTCATCAGGTTTTGGCTCGTATTCGATGAGAAATTTTATGAGGAACCCGAGACCGGTGAGGACTGCTGAAAAAGGAATGTTCAGCAGCAAGGGATCAGCTTTCTATAGGCATAATTCATACTTTATTTAACGCCACAAATTTTCTAAAACCCCTCAAACCCGTTGTTAATCTACAACCACTTTTTTTTTTAATTCTTGGTAATTTTTAAATCCAACTGATGTAGAAAATTATTAGGAATTATCAATCCAGAAAATTTGCTTTACCTGCTACCACCACTATGCATCCAGTGGTTCCACAGCATAAGATTAAAATCCTCTTTTTCAGACCCATTGGACGAGCGGCTTCATTTCTCGGCTTCGCGTTGCTCCTGGTTACGGGGCGTGTGAATTGGCTATCGGATGTTGCAGCTCCATGCGACGAAATATCGACCCATTCTAAAAAAAATAAAGTATCTGTTTTCGTGAAAACAGACTTTCCGGTCTTAATAAGCCCATAGAAAAATATTTCGATACCGTTAAGACCTTAAAGCATACCTGGCGAACTTGACGTGAACGCAATATTAGATCCATTTGTATATTTAACATCAGTGGCCTCATCCTTGCCGCAGCTTGGCATAAACGGCGATACGGAAATTATGGAAATTAGTAGGCGAGGCGTCGGCCAGGTAAACGCTAGTCTTTGTCGGCCAACAATCGACTAGACTAGGCTGGCGCTAAGGGGCGTGGCATTGGGCCCCGGCCAGGTAGGAGAAAACAAACAGAAATACCTCAGCGGGGGCTATTTTTAGGGTACAGCTTTCCCCTCACGTGGCCTATCTGCGTCATCGTCGGCTGGGAAGAAGTGATCAGAAATTAGAGCTAGTTTTCTTGAAGGGATTGGCGGAAACCCATTTCTCCTAAATCCATTTCTCATAAACCCATTTCTCATAAATCCATTTCTCCTAAACCCGTTTCTCATAAATTCCATTTCTCATAAATTCCATTTCTCCTAAACCCATTTCTCATAAATTCCATTTCTCCTAAACCCATTTCTCATAAATTCCATGTCTCATAAATTCCATTTCTCCTAAATTCCATTTCTACTAAATTCCATTTCTCATAAATTGCATTTCTCATAAATTCTATTTCTCATAAATTCCCTTTCACATAAATGTGACATAAGTTTCAAAACTTTCACATAATAAACATAAACTTTCACATAATTTATGCTGTCACAGTTCCCGGAGGAACTCGATCGTCCCACGATTTCGAGTCTGCACAAGGTCGGGCTGAGGAAGCGGAAGGCGATGTTCGGAGAGTTGCCGATCACCACGTCGCTCATTGGATTGATGATTCCACCGGAATTCGCTGAGTACCAGAACGGTAGCGGCAAATTTGGCAATTTCGCTTGACTTCAATATAGGGACATACTATGGTGGTCATTTTGGTGAACGTTCGATTTTAACGGTGAACGAAGTAAAATTTTGTAAAAAAACAATGCTAGGAGAATTTATGAGAAATGGATTTATGAGAAATGGAATTTATGAGAAATGGGTTTATGAGAAATGGAATTTATGAGAAATGGGTTTATGAGAAATGGAATTTATGAGAAACGGGTTTATGAGAAATGGAATTTATGAGAAATGAGTTTATGAGAAATGGGTTTAGGAGAATTGGAATTTATGAGAAACGGGTTTATGAGAAATGGGTTTATGAGAAATGGATTTATGAGAAATGGGGTGGAATCGAAGGGATTCAAGACGCGAAAACTACAGCAATTGACAAAGCCCACGAATTTTAAAATGCTCAGTTAGGAGCTATTCTCACGCCATTGAGTCGCCGAAATCATATTTTTTACGTTGTTAGCATAGTTACAAAGGATATAGCTTTTTATATTCGGTTTGCTGCCCCCGAGGGGCGTTCAAAAATTGCGCCAACACCCATATTTCAGGGCAGAAAGCGACGGGTAATTGGTATCAGTTTTCAACCAGCAATAAACGCACCTCGGCTAGGCCTCATTGGTCACGTTATCACCTCTGCGCAAAGCTGATTTCGGAGGGGAGGGGATGGGATACCTGGCGGGGCAGTGGGCCAGATGCGCGGCGAGTGGGGTGGACCAAAAGGTATATTGGATAATGGAATGGAGAATTGCTTCAATTGTGGAAATAGACATAAGCAGCGTTAGGGGGAAAACGCATGAGAGAGGGAGACTATTAATAAAGAAATAGAGACTATTAATAAAGAAAGAAAGAAAGGGACAGTCTCTGACAACTCTTGACAGCCAGACAGATTCTTGCCAAATTTTTGCCAAATTCAAAAATGATCCTACGGCTCTTTCGACCCCGCCAGATAATAGTGTGTGGCGTTAGCCTCACAATCAGCATTATCGTAACACCGGTGGAATACCGATTGACAAACAGCACGCTTGATAGGATAGTGACCGGGCTACGGATCGGCTGACGACTTTTCCGTTTTACTTTTTTGGCGTGAAACTTTTGGCATAAGTCTTCATTACTATTTTCGTAAAATATTTGTTTGTAAGCTGTACGTTTTCAGTCAACGCTTTATCGCAGGGTGTCAAAATTCGAAATATTTGCTTCGAAATTTTTGGCATTTCGGCGGATAGATGCCTATGCAAAAGAGCATTTTTATTCCCATTTTTTTCGGAATAGCTAGATCTATGACGTACGGCTTTCAAAAAAAATTTTCAAAGTCAAGAAAATTATGGACGTAAGGGACAAGGATTCAGGGAGGTTCCTTCCGATTAGAAGCGATCCCATGGACGGCTTCCCGGTCACCCGCAGGTTACAGAATCCTAAGAACAAGGATCATATTAATGGTGAATTTTCCCCACGGTTGAGTGCAGCTGCCCGGTAGCGGTTCCCCGCGGTCCGCTAGCTGTCTACACATTTGTTGGTGCCAGAACAGGACTGAAACATTCTGATTGGCTACCTCGCAAAAATTCGTAAAAGTCGATAGATTGAGCTTACGGTATGCCCAAAAAATACAGAATATGGCAAAGAGGGCAAAGCAGCAGAAGGCACAAATGTTTTTGAGCCAAGTGCAGCATTGCTGCTTCAAACTCTTGGGCGGTTTTCCCTTTGCGATTGCCGCCAACAGCTCCGCCCTTTCAGGATCTGCCACTTTGATCCCCGGTTGACGTTCTAAAGTGAAACGCCAAGTATAGCTATCATATACCCATTTTGTTGCCGCGGCCGTTTCAGCTCGTTCTAAAGACGAGCTTCGAAAGCGGATCCTGCTACGACATTCCACTTTTTTAGGGGGTACCGAGACTATGTCGGCTGATCAGACTAATTTTTTCCAAAGCCAACCGGCGGGTAATTTACGAATTCCCAAAAGTCTCCAAAAAACCCGCTAAATCGTGATGGTTTTGATGAAAACTGTTGCGAGCTTTGCAAAAATAACGGTTCCAAAAATGATCATTCGAAAATCACATCTTTTCCTTCAATTCAGACCAAATCAATCTCCTTATTAATTTACCAATTTCCTAAAATTTCGAAATTCTGACTCTCGAAAAATATGTTTCAAGAAGTGAGCTTTTGTCAAAGTGATTTTCGAAAATATAATGTTGGTAAAATGACTGCTTTCCATGATGTCAAAACGTATAATTCGGGCAAATTTAAAATTTCCTGGGGATGATTTCCTGGAATATTTTTGCCGGTACCGGCTTACGCCGGAAACCGCAAGGATTTAGCAACAAAGCTGGTTAGATTTCGGATATCGACTGAAAACATCAATTCCAAACTAACCTTCTAGACCGAAGGCAAGCAAAATTCGTTCGCCGATATCAGGATCGGGGGATGGCATCGGGATTAGCTATGGAAAATTTGGCAGAAACTGACTAGCCCTCCAAAGGAGTCCAGGTCCGACCAGATGCTGGGCGAATCAGGCCCTAGGGGCGTGCTTCGTTTTGGCCAAGCAAAAACGCGCGATTCATCACTGCCAAAGCGGTGTTGCCATGTGTCAGAAGGGGCGAATTTCGATTAGCCGGGAGTTGAATTACGGCTGGGGGATGGGAACGGCTAATTTTTGAGGGTCCTACAAGAGGTCGTTTTTAGTGGCAATCGAGTTTCCTTATGGGACCAACGCTATCCTGTCAAGATTCTGATTGCCGCTTCCGGTTCCGATACGGGAGCCGTTTCAAAAGCTGCGAAGCAATTGGATTAAAAATTTCAAGGTCCTAAGGGTGAAAAGGGTCCAAAATTCCACAATCTAAACAATTTTTGTGCCTTTTCGCCCTGAACAGTTTTATAACTTGTTGAATACGTATGTTTCGCACATTTTGAAACCAGGTTCGGAACCAGCTTAAATTTCTGCACAAGCTCTGCTTGGTGTCGTACCCACTCGATGGTCGATTTAATCCGATTTTAATCCCCAACGTCTATCGATATCTAATCGGCGAGAGCTATCGATTGGCGCTAAAGGTATAGCATGTAAGCCGCCGCATGTGAGATCACTTGCTAAAACACTTTTTATAATTTTTTGAAAACCCCTAGGGCCTCGGTCCGCGTTCTCCTCGATTTTGGAGGACCAGGACGACCAAACTATATCGCGTGTATAGAACGGAGCCAGCTATGACTTTAGCCAGCCGTCCAAAATCCCGGACGACAGAACCTTCGTCCCAACCTGATAGTACACATATCACATATTACCATTTCGAAATATTTATTTATATTTTATTATTACACCTGATGGATAGAAAGAAATGGGTACCCTGCAACGAAGCAAAATGCGTAAAAGGATAACGAAAGCATAACATTTCAAGTCATGTGAGATTCTGCTTTATCCCGATTTTCATGCCAACAACATGCCATCCGATCGTACACTCAGAACCTGAAACCATCATGGACTACTGATAAAGTTCCCTACCTCCACATCCCCTTGAATCGCGAAATGTGTGCTGCTTTTTAGCTCACGATTCTCCTCATAGCTGGCAAACTCGAAATTGTTGATGAAGATTTTCAGCTTTCCCTTTTCTGGTTTCAACGTCAGATCAAAGCTGAAACGGCAGGGTTTGTCATGAATGCTTTGAATTCTCTGAAAACAACCTAAAAACCCAAAAACTTACAGCCTCCAATCATCAATCGGCATAAACAGCGCCCGATCTTCTAGCTTCCAGCTATCCGAAGCAAATGTATTTAGTACCGTGGCGTTTTCCGATGTCTGATCCGATTCCGGAACTATTTCTCTGTATTTCTGGCGGAGGGAGAGAGTGAGAGAGCGAGAGAGAGAGAGAGAGCGAGAGGAGGAGAAGTATTTTTTGGCGGGAGCTTCGCACTGTTCCCCAAATATCAAATCCTAAGTGTATGAAATGTTATCCATTTTTTGTATACTTTTTTAACGGTCATTTAAATGGCATTGCTAGAATTTCCAAAATGTCCAAAACGAGCCTACTAACTACATTTTAAAGGGGCTATCACGTGTAGCATGCGGGTAAAAATCCGGGGATGGGTCACCACAAAAATACAATGGTGATACCTTACCAGGAGAGCAATAAGGTTAAAAACTCACGTGTGTGATCAGAAATTGCTGTCGAATCTCCTTCATATGTGGCGGAGTCCGAGCGATCACCAAATAGAAGGCCACCAAGCCCAGTGGAATACCGACAAATGGCAACCCCTCCGAGTACCAGATATATAAAGTCGGTGGTTCGTAGCAGTTAAGAACTGCTGAAGCTGGTGAAGCCATATTGTCTTAAGACCCCGAACAAAAAATTGAAATGCCTGAAGGATCCAAACAGTGTCAAAATGTTGGACGACTCGGACGTAGGCAAGCGTCTGAAACGAAAAATTCCATGTCCACCCGCCCACATTCGACCTGCGTTCTTTCCTGGGGCCAGGTGCAACCTTTTTCGGAGTTCCAGATTTAGCAATTCTTTGAAAGTTCCCTGCTTTTTTGCAACCCGCCGTCGTGCTCCAAAATATCGAATGTGGCTGGACCATGCTTTTTTATCATTATTTGGAGAGTTTTTTGTGATTTTCCGTGTGCTGAATATTTTATTTTTTGAACCATCCAGGCGGCAACCAAATCCGGCTGTTTCACTGCGTTCTTCTTACGAGGGAATGTGTTTTCCGGCCGGCAGCAAGAATGAAAATGCTTGTTTTAGAATTTTATTTTCCCTTTGATTTTCAGCGAGTTTTCGTTTTCAAATTAATTTATCTTTTCCCTCTTATACTTTACGTGCTGCTAACATATAGCGTATTTTTTTAGGGTTTTTAGCAGTGGTGATCACTAGGACATTAAAAAAACGCTAATTTTTGAAAAACCTGACCGAACAAATGGATAATTACGAAAATTCTTTAAATTTTATATTGCCTTTTTCGTGTTTTATAAAATGCAATGTTATGTAAGGGGTATTGGGAAAAGAATTATCCTGCCCTGCTAAAATCCGCCTAGCTGATTTAAGAGGCCAGCCCACAGCTTGCTGCCTTAGGTTTCAGAGCGAGTCATTCATCGGAAATTGTCTAAATCGGACACCTGTACTCAAATTTCTTGGACCTCTTACGAATCATGAGCGACAAAACGTCTCTTTCCTGCCAATGTTTCTGCCAGACCCCGTGGGCTATTACAAAAAAATTGCACTTGATCGATTCGTGCCCGTCAGGCAGCGTTCAGTTTAAAACCGCCGGAACAGGGATTTTATTTTCTACAATTTTTTTCAATAAGACCCTTTTTATGCTTTTTATTTTGGGCTTTTTTATAAAAAATTAACATGTTAATTTCAGGTCCTCGACTTGGGTGGTTCTACCAACTTTTGCTGGCTTCATCGAGAGCTAATGATTTCCGGATAATTTTAAGATGGATGTAGAACCACGTGCGAATTACAGGGATACAACTTTTACAGGTAGCCAAAAGCGATTTACTCCAAGAATTGAAGAATCTGCCTACGGGGCCGGAATATAATGCCAAATGCTGAATTTTAGCGCCGAATGCACGACCGCCCATACTGTTTGGCCAGAAGCGACTGCCTTCAAAGAATTTCGTCAAGTACCCGATGTACGAGAAGCTTTTGTTGCCTTTTGACGTTAAGACGAGGGTTGAAGAGCCGCCTCGCGACCCTAAAAGACCACGTTAATGATTTAAATTAGCTAGCTTACAAACCATTTTGTCAGATTTTCGGCGTTTTCGGGGTTGCACACGAGCTAATTTTCCCCCAGTTTCTCAAATTAAATGGCCGCAATTAGTCGCCAGTTAGATGCAGGGCCCGATTCGTAATGTTTTTAACATTATTATGAGATTGTATAGTAGGTACAGAATCGTATGAAGTCTAAGGAAAAACATGTGTAAAAAAGTTTTTTTTCGAACACCGTGTTGACTAGGATTTCAGGGGCAGCAAGCCACGAGGCGCATTTTGCTAAAATATATCGTCAAGATATGTGGTGAAAAGGTAAATATTACAGCGCAAAAAATGGCATATTTGAGTTTTAGAATTAAAATCGAAGAGATTGGATAGAACATGATTGAAGCCGACGGCGCGTATAGCTTGGCTAATAGAAAACCGACAAGTAGGTTTCCACCCAGGAATCGGGTTTCGTCAGTATCTCAAAATCAAATTTTAAGACTTTTAATTCTAAAAAATCGTTTTAGGAGAAAAGCGACGCTGCTGCCCGTGATTAAATTAAGCAGAAGCATCGAGGAAGAATCCGAAGCTATTTGACGACAACATTGCCAACACATGCTAAAACCCAAAATCCAGAACCAACAAAGATGCGAAAATTACCTAGCTTTGGGCGATGATAACAAAAATATAAAGTGAGTCAGTAAACTTTAATGGAAACGAAATGGGGAAATTTTGATAAATCTTTTTTTTTGCATGAGGCGTTTTGGGAGCCCACGGCTTTCGAAACGGACAAGCCAATCTTGTGTAAATATTTTCTGATTAAACCCCAGTTTTCCGATTTGGCGAGTCGACCATATTTGAAAAATTTGACGATTCAAGGGATTAAAAATGCCTAAAATGGCCAACTCTTTTCCCTTTGGCGCCTGAAAACTTATTTGTCGCGATAACGTCATAGTTTTTCAAAACTAGGTTTTAATCAGCGAGACAGTCTGCACAAGGTAAGCTTGGCCACATTTTGAATCGGCAAGAACCGTAAAAAACCACGATTGTTAGGCTTAAGGAATCGCCCAGTTTGAGGAATGCCCCAGCCGACTGGTACAAAACATAAGGTACGATTTTTGCGGTACCTTTTTCCCGACAAAACCTCAGACGGGAGCCTATCTTTTCAGCTCCGTACAACCGGTTTAATTATTGATTTACGATCATCAAGCAAAAACGCTATAAAAAGAGCGTAGCCGTCGATTGGTAAGGTTTCAACAGGTTTTATAATTTACGTCATTTTAGGGCCAGCCGAGTTGATGGCCAGGGCGCAGCGTAAAAAGATTTCGGCTTCTTCTTCGGCTTCGGCTTGAGAAAAATGACCCAACCCAGCAAGTTGGAGGTAAAACGTAGCAATCTACTGGCCGGAATTTAATAAACCTAAGACAATTGACGAATAGTGGTTGTTATAGAAAACTTAAACCTTTTCTTTTTTCTTCTTTCTTATTAGAATTTTTTTGGTTGTATGTTGTGTGTATTTTGTTGTATGTTAGAGGCAAGCAATCCATATACAATTTGGGAAGCAGAAAATATAAAGCCAAGTTTTGCTCTTTTGCAGACATGTCGGCCTCCAATATTGTCTGCCCCAAACGTCTGTCTCCAAAGCATTTCGCCAAGTTCCCAGGGGTACGAGACGTCTTTATTGCCTTCTGACATTAATATAACTTTTGCAAACGGAATTTCAGCCCAATTGGACAATTGATCTTATATTGCTAAAATATAGCGTCATAAGTGTGATGAAACGGTAAGAACTGCATCCATAAAAAATTGTATGTTTGATTTTTAGAATTAAAATCGAAGAGACTCCGTAGATGTTGATTGAAGCCGAAGGGCGGGTATAGCTTGGCTAGCAGAAAAACGCAAAAGTAGGTTTCCACTAAGCAGTGAGTCTAATGATTCTTTCAAATTCAAATTTTAGAAAATCGGTTTAGGAGAAAAGCGAATAAAATAAAGAAGCATTTGAATAAAAAGAAGCTACGGAGAAGAGGCGGAAAAGAAGTGCCAAATGGAAGGAAAACCGGTAAATTTTGATGAATGGATTTTGGATGGTAGCTTCAGGATGGAGGGCCAGCTTGAGTAGCAGAAGTACCAACTCGAACAAAACGAAGGTCAGGATTTTGTTATCGATTCTTACCATCACATTTCTAGTCTCAATCCCATTGTTTCCGCTCCGGACTAGCGGTTTAAATACCAAGAAAAAAACAACAGTGTGAAAAACCGCGGGAGTCCGAGCTTGGTAATTTTCAACAAATTTTTCTAAAGATGCCATTTAGAGCCGGCGAGTTCATGGCCAGGGCGCAGAGTAAAATATTTCGGCTTGAGGCGATACCACAGTCCACACTATTTCGGGGTAAAACATACTACTTTCACGCGCGGGCAATGAATGAAACTGAAGCAGTTTGGCCCCGTTGTTGCTATGGAAAACCACATCCTAATTAATGATAGTTCAGATCGGCCCAGGACTGCTCCAGTTTGAGAGCAGAAGCACCAGGCTGAAATGGTAAATAAAGTTAGCGATTTTGTGACTTAAACTCTTTAACAACGTTTCGCTTTGCCTTACTTTGTCAGCGCTCGGGTAATCGTGTTTTTAGCCACGAATTAAACATACAAAAAATTGAAAAAATCTACAAAAATCCAAGCTTAGATACCGCTCTATCTATGTCCAACATGAAAATGAAGAGAAACGCAAACTTTTCAGGTATTATTTGGTCAGTCCAGCTCAAAAATCTGGGGCCCCTGAAGCATGTGTAAGATAGCCCTAAAGTCTCAGGCAGTAAGTGTCTTAACCCAAACACTCAAATCAAACGTATTTAGTACGTAAAACCAAAAGCCCACATAAATGATTCCTTTTTTAGATGCTCTACCAATGCCACCCACGCAAAGCCACCATTGCCTACAAACGACGTCGACGAGACCAAAGGCCCACACCGCCTTTCTCGTTTTCGTGTAGCTAAAAAGTTATTAAATGGAAGCGCGATGACCCGCAGCACGCCAACCTAAAACAACATTTCTCCATATAAACTTACTACTAGAGACTCGTGTGGCCCCGTCGGGTAGGCTCACAGTGATATTATTCCCCTTATATGTATTACTGTTATGTTATACTATTAGACGTACCGTACGGTTGCGGTTTATTCCTATCACAATAAGATGATACGATATATATATACTTAATATATAAGACAAGATAAAGTCTAATCGTGGTTCTCATTGTCCTATTGGACGATGGGGGGGAGACAGACCGACTGCTCGAATCCTCCCTCGCATCCCCGAGGGCACTTTATATATATTGACTCCGGATAGGCCGGATGTAGGGAATAAAGGGATCGCACAGGGTGCGACAACTCGGCACAAATTTAGAAGGTGTTTTAAGAACTTTTCTGATGGATGCTCAAATTAAAAACGGGTATAAAATTTTTGAAAATGCATTTGCTGCCCCCGAGGGGCGTTCAAAAATTGCGCCAACACCCATATTTCAGGGCAGAAAGCGACGGGTAATTGGTATCAGTTTTCAACCAGCAATAAACGCACCTCGGCTAGGCCTCATTGGTCACGTTATCACCTCTGCGCAAAGCTGATTTGTGGAGGGAGGGGAAGGTATACCTGGTGGGGGAGTGGGCTAGTTGGGGGGCGAGTGGATGACTTCTATTCGATGCTCGCTGTGCATGCAAATTGCGGTCAAAGTCCTTATATCAAATTTGAAAGCTATGTAATTTCGTGCCACGTTATTAGGGATACAATAAAATTGCAATAAATTTTTGATAGGGACAAATTAAGCAGTAATACAATGTGATGAGATCAAGAGGTCAATCCTTGGCAGAGCTTTGAAATTCGATTCTCACTGAACCCGATTCTCAGGCGATCAAGACACCATTGGATTTTGCGTTTAGAATCTAAAACAGTAGTTGGTTTTAAAAACAATCCAGTCATTTCTTACCTCCACATCCCCCTCAATTTTCAAATGTGTGCTACCCATAAATGACCAATTCTCGTCATAGCTGGCAAATTCAAAGTTGTTGATGTAGACGCGAAGTTTGCCGCCTGCCGGATGGAGGGTGAGGTCAAACCTGGAAGATCGGGGAGTGTCATTAATGCGGCAGTTACGGTACTTACAGTCTCCAATCATCGATAGGCATAAATTCCGCTCGATCTTCCTGCTGCCAGCGTCCAAAGGAATAGGTATTTAGTACTATGGCGTTCTCCGAGAATCGGAAGGAAAGCTAAAAATGACAAAATCATCGTATTTATTAAAAACATACCGTAAACGTCGGCACTGGATCCTTTTGGTACTTCGACAAATCGGCTTTGTAGTATATGATATCAATTCTATTTGCTGAAAAATAAGATATATTGGATTTTGTTTTAAGTCAGTTTTAAGGTCCAAGGCTACTGTAAATTAATTTAGATACATGCAACATACGTTTCGGAATTTTCGTCTCAACCTCATCAAAATTTTCGGTCGCATTTTTTCCATGACCATAGCTCCTCGCGTACATCATTCCACCACCATACAGGCTACGATATGAATATGAGGCCGGGACGTAGAAAAGAGCGTTGGTTTGGGGTCTCCGTTGGGTCGAGCTACCGTAGTAGTATCCTAAAAAATATTGCTTTTGCTTTTCGTTACACTTCCACTTGGCAACTGTATCCTAACAGTTGCCAAGTGGAAGCTCAAGTGTACTTTTACGGTATGCTTTTTACCTCCATAAGTCGGGGAATAGTTATAGGTTCCATACTTGCTGCTACCGCCGTAACTACCCCCACTAGTCCGACCGCCAGCCAGGTAAGTGCTACGGGATGTGGAACGCCCGTAGCCTTTGAAGGACGACTTTCCGAAGCCACCACCGCCAGATCGACCTAGACGACTGCTTTAATAATCACTAATAAAATTATCAAATTATATTAGGTTTAGAAAGTTTAAGAGAAGCTCAAATTTGACCAAGAATTTGGCAAGTAACAGGCCTATGCCGCTTCCTCTTCCGCCGCCACCTCGAGCTCCTCCACCACCTCGTCCGCCTCCGCTACCGCCTTTCCGCTTGACACGCGTGCCCGCAGCTTGAGGAAAATTTAATTCTCTCAAATACACCTTACTTTTAACGGGTTGGCCTTCGATCAGGGAATTCCAGAGCGCCGGATCGACTAAAGAAAATTATTGTCGTACCATCGAAAAAAGCCCATTTTTTCGTCGATTTTACGTTAAGCCAACATTAAAATTATTAAAAGTTCATTAAAACCCGAGTCCTTAAACCGCACCCATTGGTACCGGCTTCAGCGACAGGTCCAACCTAGCCACATAGTTGAGGGGCCGCCACAACGGTGTGGAATAATTTGCCCCATCCAGCTGTAATATGGTGGGGGATACGACGTCTCCGGTGAGTTTTAAACAAGTCGCCTAAATTTGCGCTTATAAAACATCCATGAAATCCAGTAATACCTCATGAACGTCCGGAGATTTGTCAAAAATTCCGACTTCTCCGCGTTGGGCAAAAATTTGGACGTAGTCTTGAAGGAAACGGATGCGTAGATCGATTTTCCCGGATGCGTTTTCTGGGTCCTAAACGAAGCTTTAAGTCATAATTCCCTTATCGAATAGCCAGATACCCTAAAAATTCAATTCTGGGAAAACAGAAAATGGCAACGTACCCAAAATGGATTCGGCGCCTCATTGTAGAAAATTCGCTCCCCATCCCGGGTCGATTCGTAGACAATTTTGGGATCTGAATTCCTCCATGAAAATTCTATTTTTTTTGCAGTACCTCCTTTAAAATACGCACAAACGCTGCAGGCCACGTGATTAGGATTATCACGAGCGTGAGAGAGTGTCACGCAAAACCTAAAATACTGTAGTTTATCGGCCATCTCAAAATTTTCTTAACACTCGGTCCCGCTCGCCTTCAGTTGCGCTACTAAATGAAGGTATTGACCAATTTTTGGCGGGCTTCGCAGAGTTTCCCGCATCGCGTGCGTTCGACCTGGGTCGGCCGAAAATAGACATTTTTGAGAGAATATAAGCTGGTGCTTACATGCCAATGCTCGTCCCAGAAGCGGATCTCATCCGGGGCGGGTTCTTGGTCGATTTTGTCTAGCTCGTACAGTGCCACTAAATTATTGTCAAAGAAATGTAGGATATCAAAATCCATTTGAAAGTGGCTTAAAGGGATGCCGACGGCATAGTCAATCGGTTACGCGCGGAAAAGAAAATGTCTCTGCGCCTCTCCCCTGAGCGCGCTCTCTCAGAGAGAGAGAGAGAGAGAGAGAGAGAGAGAGAAGAGATAGAGAGAGAAAGAGAGAGAGGTATAGAGAGAGACCGAGCGAAAAACCATAAAGATATTGGAACCCACCAAGACATAAGACGAACACGAGGACGCAGACGAATATTTCCCATTGCTTGCGAACGCGTTCCTTTTCCAGCCTCCATTCCGAATTGCGCCTGTGCATCGCGGGCACCTCTGGCCACGGTAATGGTTGAGGTGGATGTTGAGCGATCTGGGGTGCCAATTCACCCGGATTGTCCGTAACTTGGAGCTTATCGGATCCGCCTTGTTTTTCTAAATTTAAACCCATTGAATTTTACGCGTCTTTAGTTACCTACCTTCAGGTTTGGAGGCGGAAACGGCCATGGACGGAGACGGAATTTCTGTGGTGGACGGGGATTCCATCGGCAAATCCTTGCAATCGATTTTATTACTTTTACAACATAGCTTACAATTCTGAAATAAAAATTAAATCGGCATAAATTTTATTAAAAATCAAATTAAAATTAAAATTAAATTTTCAAAGTAAAAAACTGTTTTTTTTATTGGCAAATTCACAGATCTATTGAGCCTTAGGTCAGGGTCACTATAGCCAAATGAGCCGCAGGGCGCCAGTCGGAGCTATAGACTACACTAGGGCCGAGGGGCGTGGCCCGGGCCCTAGTCGGGGCCCGAAGAGCATCCCAAAATACGTCAGAGAGGCCCTATTTTTAGCCTCCGGGCCTTGGTCCCACCGTGGCCTGCCTGGGTCATAGGCGCCTCGGGCACAGGGTGCGGAAAATGGCACGGAATACCAAAAAAACAATGATTTGAAAGGGATTGAAAAGCTTCAAGCAGAGCAAGACAAAAAAAAGCTTCAAATCAAAAATGACTCCAGGGGAGGCCCTATGGCTGATACACGCCAAAAAGCTATCCGACCTCATCGGGTGTCACGATCCGTGACCCCTTGAGCCACGATATTCGGAGATAAACGGGGATGGCCAAACGGTCATTGCTATACCGGGTATTGGGGAACACGTGCAGGTACGACAGAGACCTACTTTGCTTCCATTTTTCTGCACCCGAGGGGCGTTCAAAAATTGCGCCAACACCCATATTTCAGGGCAGAAAGCGACGGTTAATTGGTATCAGTTTTCAACCAGCAATAAACGCACCTCGGCTAGGCCTCATTGGTCACGTTATCACCTCTGCGCAAAGCTGATTCCCGAAGGGAGGGGTGGGATACCACGCGGTCTGGTGGGCCAGGCGGGGGGCTAGTAGGGACGTCAGCTAGATGCTTTCCTCGCATGTAAATTAAGGTCAAAGTCAGTATTTTCCATTCACGGCGTTGTTCGTTTGTGCCAATCTATTGCAGATGCAAAATCTTTTTCTATTATGTTCCTTATCGGTAGAAGAACGAAAGTTAATCCCTGACTGAGATGACGAGGTGATGTTAGTTCATTAGGTCTGGGCAAAGCTTCTACGAATTCGGTGCTAATAGGCAGCCCGATCCCCCATATGATCGACACACACATCAGATTTGACGCTAAGAATCTAAAATGTAGGTTTGTTTTAGAAAACAATTTGTACTACCTCCACATCCCCTTGTATCTCGAAATCTGGGCTGTGTGGTTAACTGACGGGCCGACTGACCTTGCTCCAATCGGTCACGAGGTAAAAAGCATGGTCCACTCACCGGCACCGAGTGTAGATGGCGGGGGGCGCAACCGGCCAACAAGGCGCCCCGACAACCCCATTTCTCTCAATTTTGACCCTGTCTATTCGGATTTATCTGCTGCAACGGGATTCATGCCTACCACAGAGTATCAATTTACAGATATGATTTTTGTCTTCGTGTTCATCGCCACCGCCGCCGTGCTTTTCTACGAGTTATATTGGAAACGTAGGGGATTGCCGCCAGGTTTGTAAACATTAAACATATGCTGGTTTCAAAGTGAAGAATATCCTGGAATCAGCCATGGCCATGGTAAAAAAGTCGCAAAACGGCTTTTCAACCCTGTTTAACCTTTTATTTTTCAAAATTGATTTTTGCATCACGTAAATCGTAACATCAACGCAGATCCGCTTTTTTCAGGACCAACCCCCCTACCCCTGCTCGGCAATTTGGTATCTGTTGCCAAATGTAGTCCCGGCTACGAGTGTTTCCGGGAGTGGCGCAAGGAGTATGGTCCCGTGTATACCTATTGGAAGGGTAATCATCTGATTTTTATTTATATCTAAGACTCTAGGCCCTCAACCGATGGTGGTAGTGGCAGACTACCAAACGATGAAGCAATCAATTATTAAGGAGAGTGATAAATTTGCGGATCGAGCGACGTTGAAAGATTTGTTTGATCTTCTGAAAGGTAATTGATCGATCTAGTTAAGGTTTCGCTGTTTACCCCATTAAGTCTTGGGCTTGGTCACGAATATTTTGATGTAATTTTCAGCTCCTTCATTTTTTTAGGCGGCAACTATGGCGTCATCAATTCATGGGGTGATATCTGGCGGGAACAGCGAAGGTATACAAAAATTACAATTTTTACAACTAATTTTGCAGATTTGTTTTGCATACCTTGCGCGATTTTGGCATGGGCAAGAATTTGATGGAAGAGCGGGTACAGGGTTTTTAATTTTTAAATTAACCTTGAAAGTTCAACTTTTGAATTTCGTGCGCAAAAACGAGAAAAATTTTTTCAGGTAATGCTCGAGGTCAACTTCCTTATCGATCGCATGCGATCACTGAAAACGAATTTGAATATGCGGGTGAGATAATTAATTTCTGAGCTAGACTTTTAAATTTCAAAACTTCTAAATTTAAAAACAACAACTTTTAAAACTTATAAATTTTAAACCATTTTTAGTCCGAATTCGATACCGCCGTCGGTTCCATCATCAACAACATTTTATTTGGATACCGTTTCGACGAGGTATACATATTTACAATTGAGATCTATTAACACTGCAATAACATCAACGCAATTTAATTTCCAGAGCAAACAGCACGAGTTCAGGCTGCTCAAGGGGCTTCTGCGCAAGCTAGTGACTGGTGGACAAAATATCCTGTTTTTGGTACCCGCTCTCTTGCCCGTATTTAGGAAGGTCCCGTATTTCAAAGGTATCAAAGTATATTTTTCGGCTTGCAACGATTGCTTCTAGAACATTTCTACGGTTTCGTCAACGGGCATCAACAAATCATGGATTTTATCGCAACGCAAATTGAGGCGAGGCGGAAAGAAGTGGATTTTAGCAGCGATGTAAGCGGACTTGACATACACTTTTATTTTTCAGGAATACACCGATTTTGTTGAATGCTATCTAAAGGAGCAGAGAAGGCAAAAGGGAAAAGCAAACGAGGCGTTTTACTGGTCAGACCCCAAAAACCAGATTATTCAAGTTTTTAGCGACCATCAGTTGACGAATGTGGCTTTGGATATTTGGGGCGCTGGTAATTTTTGGATCTGTGATGCAAGAAAGAAACTTAGGGATGGAAACAACGTCTAACACGCTCACCTGGGCCATTTGTTATCTATTAAATCATCCAAATGTGCAGAAGAAGATGCACGAAGAATTGGATCGCGTAATCGGTTCGGACCGGATGATTACGATGGCTGACAAGAACGATCTGCCATATGTAAATGCAGTTGTTAATGTGGGCTTTGAGAAAATTAAAAATTCAGAAGTTGAGAGAAGTCTCTCTTCTCTTTTCTCTTTCTCTCCCCCCCCCCCTCTCTCTCCGTCTTCCCTTTCTCTCTCCCCCACCCCCGCTATCTCCTTTCCTCCCTCTCTCTCCCTCTCTCTCTTTCTCTTCTCTCTCTCTCTCTCTCTCTCGCGTTTTCTTTCGCTCGAATTCCATCTGTCTCTCGCCGCAGTTATGATCACGGAAATTCCAGGAAACTCAAAGAACCGCAAACCTTCTCCCTCAAAATCTACAGCGCAAACTCCTTGCGGATACGGTAATCGGGGGTTACCAAATAAAAGCAGGCACCGTCGTTATGCCCCAAATCAGCACCGTGCTCTACGATGAAAGAGTGAGTTCCATCAACGGTTGCATCATCATCCTTAATTTTTAGGTATTCCCCGATCCATACGCCTTCAAACCGGAGCGCTTCATATATCCGGATGGGTCAGCGCGGAAATACGAAGAGCTTATTCCATTTTCTGTTGGAAAGCGACAATGCGTCGGCGAGGGATTGGCAAGAGTCGAGCTGTTCCTCTTCGTCGCAAATTTGTTCCAGCGGTTTAAGGTATGAACAACCATTTTAATCATCTCAAAGATCAATTCAGGAGCCTATTCAAATTTCTGTAGCCGCTTCTCGCATTATCAAAATCTGCTGAAATGCTTGATTTCAGTTCACGGCCAAGCACACCCCATCAATGGTAAAAAACCGCGGGGAAGTCGTCACCGCAAAGGACTATTTGTGTGATGTCCTGGATCGACATTTGTGATTTGGGATGTTATTTCATGGGTGTCGCCGGTTTTCATGACAAAGTTTTTATAGCACTATTAATCGGCCAAATTACACGTTGTTGAGATCAGGAGGTAGGGCAGCATCAGTTATGGGACCAGAGACCAAACAATTCAAATAATCGCGTTGAGCTTCCTGTCAAGTAATCAATTTTCCGCCGCATTTCACATTGAGGATCTATTTAGTTCAATTAATCTTAGAGATGTCTAATAACCTCCAAATCTCCTTCCACCTTGAAATGCGTGCTGTTGCTGATCGGCCCATTTTCGTCATAGCGGGCGAATTCGAAGTTGTTGATGTAGATTTTTAGCTTTCCCTCCACTGGGTTAATTGTTAGGTCAAACCTAAAAATTGAAAAACGTCTATTAGTGCGTAAACTACATCACTTACAGCCGCCAATTATCAATCGGCATGAAATCCGCTCTATCCTCGGCCATCCAGCTGCCGTGCAAATATGTGTTTAGTAGCACGACGCTTTCAAGGAACCGAAAGGATATCTAAAAATAATGAAAGTGCTTACAAAAAATCAAAAAATATAAATACTTAATCTTACGATAAATCTACTTACAATGAAAGTCGGTACGTATTCAGCCGGCACCGCATTAGGGTCGACTTTGAAGAAATGAATATCGATTTTTCTAGCTGAAAATAAACGTTTTTCATGCGGTATTATAACTTACGCTTCGGAAGCGTAGCTTCATTCACTTGAAAATTTGCGTCAGAATTGTTTCCATGACCATAAGTCCTTGCATACACCATCCGACCTCCATGAATGCTACGGTATGAATACGAGGCCGGGATGTAGAAATTAGCGTAGCCTTGGCTGGTACGGTATCCAGACCTACCGTAGTAATACCCTAAGATGCAGAATTACGCATTTTTCTGGTTTATTTTTACCTCCATAGACCGGCGAGTACGCATAGCTACCATAGGTGCTGTATCCACGGGAGCCACCACCCGAAATCCGACTTCCTCTATTGGAAGATGAACGGAATGTGAAGCGCCCAGATGCGCTAAATGAGCTCCTGCCGAACCCTCCGCCTCCGGACCGACCTAAATGGGTTGTTGAACTGCTTGGCAAAGTGGCCGATACCTCCTCCTCTCCCGCCTCCACCTCGTGCTCGTCCACCACCTCGACCGCCTCCCTTGCCGCCCTTCCGCTTGGCGCGGATATTAGATCCTAGAGAACTAACAAGTTCCAAAGAAGCAGCCATGCTTACTTTTAAGAGGTTGGCCTTCGATCATTGATTCCCAGAGCACCGGATCAACTAAAGAAAAATTGGAAAAGGTTATGTAGGAAAGCGATAGAGCGAGAGAGAAAGAGCGGAGAAGAGAGAGAGAAAGAGAGAGAAGAGAGAAAAAGAGAGAGAAAGAGAGGAGAGAGAGAGAGAGACGGCGATCGATAGACAGCGACAGAGAGAAGGAAAGAGCAACTAACTCGTTGGCACCGGCTTCAGCGTCATATCGAGCCTGCTTCCATAGTTGAATTCCCGCATAAAAGGTACCGAATAATTCGCACCATCTAGTTGAAATAGAGTTGGAGAGATTACATCGCCGGTCACTTTCAAACAGGCTGCCTAAGATTTGCATAATTTCAAATTTTCGGCTTCTAGTCGGAACTAGGCTATCAAAAAATCAACTCATGTACTTCAGGGGCTTTATCAAAAATTCCGACTTCTCCCCGCTGAGCAAAAATTTGAATGTACTTGTCAACGAACCGGATGCGAAGGTCAACTTTTGGGGTTTCTGCCTCCGAGACCTAAGAAAAATGATGTTTGCAGAACTTGAGCAGCTTTGTGAGACCTCATCTTAAGATATCATAGGTCTACACTTGCCTTAAATGGATTCGGGGCTTGATTATACAAAATTTGCTCCCCTGCTCGATGGGCTTGATATACGATTTTTGAGTCTAAATCAGTTTTTTACGAAAAAATATATAAAAAGCATGAAGCTTGAAAAATCTAAGCGAGGAAAGCTCCCATTTTGAAACTACGCGCAGATGCTACACGCCACGTTGTAGGAATCATAACAATCGCGAGACAACGACACACAAAACCTAGAATTCCGAAAAATGTAGGGGTTTCTGTAGTTCACTTACCATTCGACGGCGCTTGAGTTCACTTGGCCAAGCAGGTGTAGGTGTTGCCCAATTTTTGGTGGGTTGTCTAACCGTTTTTGAATGCCATAGTCTCGATCCGGGTTTGCCTGAAGGTTAAGATTTTAGGAAATACGGCGAGAATACGTACCATCGAGGCCTCATCCCAAAAACGAATTTCTTCAGGCGGGCGCTCTTGCCTGAAGTATATGATGAGGACGAAACCAACTGAATGCGAATTTTTATTAGCTATTTATTAGCTAATTCAAAAACCGAATATATTAACCGAACCGCTGTCTCTCTCTCCTCTCTCCTTCCCTCTCTGCCTCTCTCTCTCTCTCTCTCTCTCTCTCTCTCTCCGTCTTTCGCTTTCTTTATCCCCTCTCTGCCGACGGGGCTGAGAATTTTTTTGCTGCTAGAATATGCTACCGCTTTTAAACCCAGAGATTTACGATTAAAAGTCTAGAAAAAATAGAACACGGCAAAACATTGAAAATTTAATTAATTTGAGTGTGTAGTTTCTTATTTATGCCAATTTTGATCCCGATCACTTAAATATGACGATTATTGAACCAGAGAAATGATCAGGCTGCGACTCCAACCGCTTAATCGACGATATTCGAAAGTTTGAGACCTTTTTCAATATTTTAAATCGTTAAACTCACCGACAGAAGCGATCACCTTGCAAGCATTGTGCCACGGTCTGTTACAATCTGCATTTTGGCGTCGTTTTAAATCATTCTTTCGTATCCTTTCACGGTCTTGTCTCCTTTCTTCTTCAAGACGGCGTCGCTCGAGCTCTCGGGTCACCACCGGCCACGGGGTGCGTTTGCCCGAATTTTGAAGGGCTGTGGTGGGTAGCTCGGTCAATACTAAAAGATATTAACTACCTAGAAACAAGAGACTAAATGCCCGAGCCATCAATTTTCAATCAATTTTGTTCTTAAAATTTTTATTGTACCAGGAACTTCATGAAATTTATAATTTTAGCGGTTTTAAGCCGCAGAGTACCTTGTCTTTTCTAATAATATTAAAAAGATAAAAATCAAAAGTTTTTTGCGAATATACCACGCCTTAAAAATAAAGAGGTGTACAGATAATAAACATTTTCTTACCATAGCCGTTGCTCCTCGATGTTGACGATTTTCCTACACCAGCAGAAATTTGTTTAAATTCCGAAGGGCCACTTTTACAAATATCCGGCATTTCCAGGCCGTTAAGCATTAATAAAATTCCATAGATTCCAGGCGGAAATTAAAAATTAGGTTAGGTATCCCCAACAAGCCCCATGCAAAGGGTAACACACTAAATGAGCGGCAGTGCACGAGTCTAGACTACGGACTACACTAGGGCCCAAGGGCGTGGCCAGGGCCCTAGTGGGGACACAGCCTCCCGAACTACGTCAAACGGGGTTATTTTTAGACGCCAGAGCTTTGGTCCCGCTCTGGGCCGCCTGGGTCATAGGCGCCGCGGGCAAAATCATGGTGGAAATGGCATGGAATTTCATGTTCAATGCCATCTGAGGGATCGGGAATTAAATAACCAGGAAAAATTTCGGTTGTAGCTTCTAGTCAGTGATGGGACCGGAAGCGTCGCCAATCCTGAGTTAAAGATTCCTTTAAGCTGATCCAACCTGGAAATTTTTAGGAAAAATGTTTAGGAAAAGCCGATTTCCTAGAAGTCCATAACTACAACCTGAGCATTCTTACAAGGATATTTTTGTTATCCTCTCACCATCTATGGCTTTCTTTTTCTCTTTCTTTCTCTGTCTGTCTCTCTCTCTATCTGTCTCCCTTTCCCTCTATTTGATTTCAACCCAATTTACTGAAATCGAGTGCCGCAGAATTTATTCAGCTTGATGCGATTCCCTGCTCCCTCGACAACTCTGGAAAAACGTCTAGCATGTCCCGGAAGCGATTAAGCAGCTGACGACATAATTCTATTCCGTTAGCTACATTCGCTGCCCCCGAGGGGCGTTCAAAAATTGCGCCAACACCCATATTTCAGGGCAGAAAGCGACGGGTAATTGGTATCAGTTTTCAACCAGCAATAAACGCACCTCGGCTAGGCCTCATTGGTCACCTTATCACCTCTGCGCAAAGCTGATTTCGGGCGCAAGGAAGTGGGATACCACGAGGGGCAGTGGGCCAGGTGGGTGGCGAGTGGGGGCTTTGTCGGGGCTTTCATACAATATATTCTGATCGTTGTCGCGTTATTTTCGTATCCTTCGCATTATCTGTGGCTGTATTTAGTATGTTTGTTATCTTGCCTTTTGGTTTAAGTAAATTCCAGTAAACTGGGACTGAAATAATTTATAGCACCTCTCCAAAAACGGTAATACGAAACAATTTTAAATCAGGAGCCCCACGTCCTGATTGGGTGAAATAGATTATGGAGAACGGATTCTTTGGTCCTCTTGTTATATGATGAAAGCGGTGATGAGGCCCGGTAGATGATATTTGTACTGCAAAAATTGGTGTTTAAGGCTGGTGCGGAATTCTTACCTCGGCAAAAATACATAAGACCTTCACGTAACATTTGTGCATCACTTATTCTTGCGCGAATCGCCGCCAACCTGAGAAAATTATGGATAGGTGAATAGAATCTAAGGAAATTATGCTCACCATGCGACGATTTGGAAAGACCCGAGTTTGCCGTGAGATTCACGAAATTTGGGGTGGGTCCCGGAGAGTTTTGCAAGTCGGCGAGTGCGAGAGTTTGGCCCAGAAATTTTTTATGGTTCCTGAAATGTCATGAAATCGCCAGGGAGCTTAAGTTAGTATTTCCATTCAGTTGAAAAATGTAATGAGGTAGACCTAACGAATTCATGCCAGTTGATTTCTACTTCGATCACTCTCTCTCGCTCTCTCTCTTTTATTTCTTTTCCCTCTCTCTCTCTCTCTCTCTCTCTCTCTCTCACTTAACTCTCTCTCTCTCTCTCTCTCTCTCTCTCTCTGCTCTCTCTTTCTCTTTCTATCGCTCTCTATCTGTCGCTTTTTCTTACTCCGTCTCAGTTTCTACCCTGATCATCAAATGTGTTAGACTAATACAGCTAAGAAAAAATATTTGAAAAGTTTGTAGGAGAATGATCTCCAACTCGGGTCAAAAAGACAGCCAGCCAGACAACAATAGTACAACCAGATTTTCATCAAAATTGACCTTTAAACAGCACTGCTGGAACATTTTCGCAATACGGCTGACTTTGCACGCGGCCTCTCTTCTCCGGTCGACTTCGCGGAAACTCAATCGGCGCTCCGAGCTGCCCCAAGCCACCGGCCACGGCAGACGGCACGCGGTCGGCTGGCCCGCATGGGGTGCTGGCTCACCGGGCTGGGCTATAAGTAAATGGGTGTATATTTTAATTTTTATTCTATATGCAAAACGTTACAAAATTCGGCTAGAGTGCAATTTACCCTCCTCCCCCCCCCCGCCGGCCGGCACCCAAAGTTTGTATCTCGTCTCCCTATTTATATACCGTGCGTCATGTATACGAAAAAGTTCGCCTTGGTCTGGCGAGTATTTTGGTATACTTTACACACCTGTACATGAACGGGAGCCGAGATACGGTAGGTGGGAGACGGCGGGGGGGGGGGGGGCAGACTGCACTTAACCCCAAAATTCCAGAAAAAAGCAAAACGTCTTTCTCAAAAATAAGCTAGCCCATCGCAAATAGATATGTATTTTGCGTATGTTTCTACTACATTTACGACCAAATTTTATTACAATCACCACCAAATAAAAATCATTTTTTCGTAAGCCACTTTCCAATTTTAAAAAGGCTGCGAAAGATAAAGTTCTAGAATTGTATGGCTTTTTGATTGTGTTTTTTGAGCGCTGAATGCGATTTCGATCATACTGCAAATTGTCGAATGAGTTGCAACATTATTACAAAAAAATTGTTAAAATTTTCCCCAAGTCCAAAAATCGATAATTTCCTAAAAAATTTTTCGAAAAATGTTAGGCTCACCAAAATAACATTTTAGAATTTTTATCGATTTTTGAGAATTTTTTTGCTAAAAAACCGGATTTTAATTCAAATTCGGTATTAATTCTAACCCTACTCCTTCAGTAGGTCCGAACTAGAGTGTCCAGAACTTACTATTCGGGTCATAGCTGCGCGAGCGGGTGGCGAGTTTAGCGGAATTTTGGCTGAATCGATTGGGCATGGTGGTGGTGGGATGTATGAAAATTTCTGCTGGCAAATGCGGCCCAGGGCGGGTACGGGGCGGGGCTACAGACTACATGGGGCCTCAGGGGCGGGCCCCTGGGCCACATGCCCCGAGGGGCCGAGTTGAGAAGAGGAGGAAGAGGAGGAAGAGGAGGAGGAAAAGGTGGAGCATGAGGAGAAATAGGCTGGGACCCGTCAAAGGGGAGTTGTTGTTGAGGAGGAGAGCATCATGGGGCATGGGCACTCCGACCGGAGTGGGTTGGAAATGGGAACGACTTCGAAATGGGAGGTCCTAAAGGGAGGAGGTAGTGATATTCTAGTTGGATGGGATATCTGGCTGTTTTTGAGCAATCATTGAAATGGGTCCCGATGGACTTTTCGCGTGATACATGGAATTTGAGAGGGTACGTTTCCCGGAAGTGCCGCCAAGGTGAGCATGAGCATCTTAAAGAGGGATCTCCACCTTGCGTGCCTAGTTTGAGGGAGGAGCTTTATCTTTGAAGCTACGAAGCGGGCTTGAGCGCTTAGTTTTTTTCCGAAGGGGCAACTTTACCTTCGCTTCTCCCTCTCTCCCTCTCTCTCCCTCCTTGTCTCTGTCTTTTCAACTCTGAAACTCAAACTCTTTCTTGCATAAAGTGCAACTTTTATCAGCCTTGATTTGATTCCCAGCCGTCCTCACGATCCCTCAAAGAAATGGCTAGCAAGAAGCATCCTCAAGTCACGTCCAAAGACGCTTCAGAATTTGATCCCGAACTCCACGACGTTCTAGTGTACCCTTGCTGCCCCCGAGGGGCGTTCAAAAATTGCGCTAACACCCATATTTCAGGGCAGATTTTGCATGGAAAGATTTATCACGTCCTTTTAGTGGATAGACGTCTTTCTTTATAACCCAAGCAACGAAGTAGCATCAAAGTGGCTAGGATACCTTAAACTTGCGTTCGCTCTTCAGCCCCCGAGGGGCGTTCAAAAATTGCGCCAACATCCATATTTCAGGGCAGAAAGCGACGGGTAATTGGTATCAGTTTTCAACCAGCAATAAACGCACCTCGGCTAGGCCTCATTGGTCACGTTATCACCTCTGCGCAAATCTGATTTCGGAGGAGAGGGGATGGGATAACTGGCGGGGCAGTGGGCCAGATGCGCGGCGAGTGGGGATGAGTTGCAGCGTGCCACCACTTTTCCAGGTTTCCCTTTGTTATTCGATTTCCAATTATTTCAAAAAAGCCATTCATTTCCCACAGCAGGTGAAAAAATTGAAAATGAGGCCCACTCCGAATCACATGGTAGGCAATAAAAGATGGAGCCGTTTATGATTGTCGGATATCTTCGCGTAGTAACCGACCGTCAGCTTTGAGACCGAGAACCTGGAATATCTCGGTGTCAAAAATGTAAGCCAAAGTTTAGCCCAAAGCTTAAGTTAAGATTAAGCCAAGTCTAAGCTAAGCTTGAGCTAGGCTTAAGCTGAGCCTAAGCCAAGCCTAGGCCTGAGCCGAAAAATAGAAAAGGACCAAACCTCCACATCACCAACGACCTCGAAGCGATCCGAGTCCCTTAGCCACGAATTCTCCGCATAGGTGGCAAATTCAAAGTTGTTAATGTAGATTTTCCAGCGCCCATCGACGGGTTTTATCGTTAGATCAAATCTGGAAAGGAGTTTTATATTACTTCGTTGCAACGTACAGCCTCCAGTCATCAATCGGCAAAAAATTGGCCTGATCTTTGCCCCATCCACTACCCGTGGTCAGCACGACGGTGTTGTCACTGAACCAGAAGGTAATCTGAATGGATTTTTGGCAATATGGGACCAACATGGCAGCATACCGTAAAAGATTTCAGGTCATCTATGTACTCGTAACCTTGGTAGAAAATTATTTGCATAGAGACGGCTGCAAAAGGGAGGGTTAGATGGATTTTTTTTGGGGAATTTGCCAGGTAAAAGTCAACCCACGTTTGGATATCCTTGCCTCGCTGAAGAAAAGCTTGGGATGTGCGTTTTTGCCGTGGCCATAGCTGGGGACATGGACGATTGTTTCGTTAGCCCAATGGAGGTAAGAATAGGAGGCCGGGGTGTAGAAATGGGGAGTTGACGGGGATGGTTTATAAGATGTTCAGCCATTGTAGTATCCTGGAATTTTGTGGTATTGATTTTTAACTCTCGTTATTTCTTGCCCTGTCTTTCTCGCTCTCTCTCGCTCTCTCACTCGCTCTCTTTCTCTCTCCCTCTCTCGCTCACTTTCTCTTCCTCTCCCTCTCTCCCACTCTCTTGGGTCTCACTCTCTCGCTTTCTCTCGCTCGCTCTATCGATCTTGCTCTCTCTCTCTCTCTCTCTCTCTCTCTCTCTCTCCCTACCTCCATAAGTCGGCGAATACTTGTAGATTCCGTAGTCGCTATGTCCAGCCCCAATCCTTCCGCCAAACCAACTCCCGTCCAACGACGAAACACGACTCTTGGAGCGTCCAGATCCCTTGTACTTTGCCATTCCACGCCCATCGCTGACGCGGAGGCCTATAACGATTTTTTTACACCAATCAGCTGTCGTACCATCATTATCCCGATAATGATCATGACAGTTTCTCTTTCCTCCGCCCCAAATGAAAACAAGGCTCCTTTTGCGGTTCGGAGACTCTAAAAATGCGAGGGTCGTCGAATAGCCTCTTACTTTTCCTGGGCTGTCCTTCGAGCAATGATTCCCAGACGGCCGGGTCGTCTGAATTATGGCATTATTGCGATTCCTCTAACTGCTTCGGACTTTCAATGATTTCTGGAGGGTTACTTAGACCTTCAAAGCGTTAGGAAAACGGTGATGAAAAAAAAGGCTGATGAAAACGCTTTAAAAATGCCGTTTAAAGACCCACAAGGTGCCGCCGGCTTCAACGTCATATCCAGCCGTTCGCCGTAGCTGAATTCTTTTTTCTTCCTCGTCTCATAGTATCCACCCTCAAGCTGCAGCAGGGCCAGGCTAGCCACGTCGCCCGTTAATTTAGCGTGGCGCATCTAAAACCCTCAACAAAATAAAGATATCCTTGCAAAAAATACCCGATGCACTTCGGGGAGTTTCGGGAAAATTCCGACTTCTCCTCTTTGCGCAAAGATTTGGACGAAGTCGGGGAGGAAGCGGAAGCGCAGATCAATTTTTGGGTTGTCATCATTCGGATCCTGGAAAATTGGTTTCGAACAACTTTGAATTTCAACAATTTAGGGCCGAAGCTATCGGGGGTTTTCAAAGTCTAAATCGGCTCATCTATATTTTACAAAAATTAGCAAAAATTACCGGGATCGGATTGGGAGCTTCATGGTAATATTGTCGGTTGCCATCCCTGTAGGCTTCATAAACGATTTTAGGATCTAAAAA